TGGTTTGACTGCCTTCCTGTGCATTACAACACTCCTTGCTTCATTCTCAAACTTCAAGATTATTTATTTATGTACCACTGATTCCTTCCCACAAGCAAAACATCAAATTATTCTGAATATCATTACTTTTTCTCATACAGTGGTTTTCAACTGGATAATAATATACACGGTAGGTTTTCTATTGCTCTTTCATTACGTTTCACCAATCTCTCCAATTCTGTACTTTGAATACACTATTGCAGTTACGACATTACAAGAACTTCTTTGTGCGAGCATGTAAGTATGCCATACTGGACTTGCCAACTGATTGTTTTCTTGGTTACAGGAGCGTAAGGGAGAGCAATTTCAAAGTACACTAAAAGAGAGTGCAGGAAGAGAAATCAAAGTTGATGCCTGACTGCGAGTTCTAGACAATACTAACGCAAAGAGTCCCTTATCATAGCTCCAGTTATTGCTCTATTTTATAATTAATTCTATTTGTATACACTCAAGGGCTTAACATTATTATGGCGCCATATCATGGATTGTTTGTGTTGCTCATTATATGCCTGAGATAATACCCATATCAATAATAGTGTTATAGAGCTAGCAGAATAGAAACGCGAGAATTTACCCAAGTAATGTCCTGTCCAGCATGCTCTTTGATAAGTGTGCCGTCGTATTCATGTTGAAAGTAATCATTAACTGATTGATTTCTAACCCCATCTGAAAGTCAAGCCAGCTCATCTTAGATCTCGTCAAAGGCCATTATACACAATAAAAAAAAGAAGAAGTTATATAAATATAGAATTGGGAGCACTAAGCAATAAGAGAACACAAATATACTTTGTCAGAAACTATCATGTCCAATCATACCTATCACTTACAATGAGTACATCTCATCTAGAATACTGAATCAGTGGAGATTTAGACATTTCCCAACTACCCTTAGCGCCAAGTTGTTCCATTACATCTCAGCATCTTAAGTGGTGAATAGAAAATGTCACTATCTTACTAAGAGTTATATTTGCGAACATGTACCATATGACAGCACGTCGTCAACGTCTGTTTGCAGGGTTAACTCAGATTATCGCATTTACATATTAAGTTGGAGCTCTTGCTATTCATAGATTATACTTGACAAACTTTAATACCAAAATCTTATCTCGGACAAATTGTAATACATTCATTGACCTCAACATTACGTTCAGGACAAGGGTCTTTTGCTGTCTTCTATGTTGTCATTGATACGTACGTAGGCTATGGTATAGGACTGAGGAACAAGAATTTTTTTAGCCTTACTCAAAATTTGTGCTACAGTGGGCATAATCTGGACACAGCCGAGAATGCCAATCCAAAGCGACATCCACTTGCTCTCTTCGAAACTCTTTCCTCTATGCGAGGTCTTTTCCATGGTCCCTTTTGAAACCTAAAAATACTACGTCAGTTTCGACTGTTGGCGAGCAATGGACTGCTAAACCAAACTCTTTTACCCATTGCGTGCACACGCATATTGATAGCCGTTCGCTTTGAACATATTCATAGGAAAATGTAATGCTAGGTTGTCGTTGTCTGAAAGTGCTATATATATGCCCGAAGTATGTTACCTTCCAAGCAGTGCACAATATGGCTAACATAGAGATTTATTGATGCAAAGTTGAATATGGATGCCAAACAATTTTTCCAAGACACTCCAAACTGACTAAATTTGTTTAATCTGATACCAGCTCACGTCCACTTATTCTTGATTCGAAGGCTCAGGTCTGCTCATGAGCCAACAATTAAAATATAGTAAGAGTGAGAATGAATAGCACGAATTCTCGTAAAACTCTATTTACCGAGACATCTCTCTTATGGAGCGTGAGCAGCCACAGTTATCTTCTGTAGGGAATAGCACGAGCTTTCGTATGGTGCTTTTGCTATGAGTCGACACGTTTGTAGATCGATGAAAACTTAAGGAGACAGACGCGAGACTTGTGGTGGCAGGGGCGGGTTGTTCACGGAAGTTGTCGGTAAATAATTGTTGTTTTGTGGTCCTTCTTGTGCCCATAATGGCGGCTGAAAGATAACAACAGACGACAAACGAACAATCTGCACAAGTTCGAACATAACATCGACCCGGATACATATGAGCAACAAAAAAGCATCTTATTTTATACACGAGCAATATCAGTGCTGAGTCATTAAGACATCCAACTAACAAACTTACTTACTGTGATAACAAAATCAGGTCCAACAACATTGCATCAGTTTATAATTCAAATAGAATCAAAAAATTAATAACACGCATACGGCTTCTGATATATAGATGTTAAGTAGAACTACTAAAGAACCAAAGGGCTCGATAAGTCTGGCGAAGCTCATCAGCGTTATAATAAGAATATAAATATCGATGTAAGATAATCCTCGAGTGGAACAGTCCAATGATCAACGAAGACTGATTCCATCGGACTACAGATTGTTATGAACCATTATGACCCCAGATATCGTATCACATCCCCATATAACTATAATGGTTACAAATTGCATAGTGATAGTCTACGTCCAAGAGACATAATGTGTGAGCAGCTGTGATCATAATGCGTGTTCTTATAGCTTCTATCAGCAAATGCGCTCTCAGGGTTTGTGTGTATAGTGCGACATTTGATATTCATAAAATAATCTCTCGGACGTGTCTGCAGGATTATTTACAAATAAGTGGAGAAATGTGCCCAATCAATACATGAACACAGTGTCTCTCTCGATAGTAATTGATACGAAATTACATACAAATGTTGCTCACCCTAATGCACTAGAACCATCTAAACTGACTCTCAGATGACTACATCCGTCTCTATTTATTCTTAGTGCTTCATATGGCTGGGTGCAATAATAGAGTGTTGATCCAAGGGAAGATGTATCTAAGTATGATAGTCATGTCGTCTGGATACAGCACACTTGATCTGAAAATCTTCAATAATCGTTGTAAAATAACAGTTTATCGATCTAATTATATGTCTCAACATGAGTGTGCCGTTACTGTAAATTCTATCAGACAACAACGACTCTCTGCGTGAAAAACATACCTTTGTCTCTGAAACTCCATGCTGTGGATGACTCGACGGATCGATTAGGGCGAGTCATCATGAGCAAAAGACTCTACTTATTGACGACCACAATAATCAGTCAAACCTGGTAGCTTTTTTATAAGTTTTCTCATAGGCGTGGTTGCTTTCATTCCTTCAAAAGTACAGTTACGGAGAGCCAATTTCCAGTTGTCATCGTTAACAATAGCCAAAGCAGCTTCCCTGTTACCAAAAAAAATAAAAAATTGGACTATAAACTGTGGCTTTCTTCAATAAAGCTTCTTGAATTGGAAATTCATACAAGCTTTCTGGAAAAATGTCTGTTCTTAGCTGATAAGGACTCCGCAGAGATTTCAAAGACTTTTGTTTGTAAATAGTCACATTAAACCTATCGACGTACTTTTGATTATTTTCAATGGCAATGTCAAGACAATTCCTTCCAGCATGGTCCTTCCTTGATAAATCAGCTTTGTTGGCCAGCAGTAACTTTACCATGTCCACATGTCCTTCCTTACTAGACAGGTGAAGTGGGGTTGTCTGAAATTTAAAGTACTAACATTCACAAAGAACTGAAGGAAATGAATAGAAAATAGGCATGTCTTTTGCGTACTGTTATCAATCGGGTCATACCCAACAATTATGGATCTAAGAATTAAACTCTTTGGGCCTTATCAGCTAGCACGTTTTGGTGCGGCGTTGCAGCTTTGCAAGACTGGGAGAGAGAATAGGAGAGAGAGACTGGGGGAGGGGGGGGGGAGGTCTGCCATTGATAATGCCGAAAAAGACTTTACCACAAGTATATAAGTCAAACTTTATACTAAATAAATAATTCTTCTGTAGTTAGTGCTCACCAAAGCTATATCGCAGTTCATTATAATTGAAAATCTAAGAAGCTGATACACAGCTGCCATTCATGGCATCAAGACAACGCCCTCTAGTAATAGCTAGACAGTATAAGGTGTTTTCCTTGGTTTCCATTTTCCATTTAAATTCCGGGCTTCAAGGTTTCTTGGTACCATCATAACCGTTTTCCTGTATTATACGAATCTAAGAAATTGCTATAGGTTAGGAATTGAACAAGTTTCTTCCTGTTTGATGTGGATAAAGGAAAGTTCGAGATTTCATTCGGTTGTTCCACCTTGTTAAAGTACGAAATAATATTTAATTCTTCAAAGGTATAATGTACAAAAAGCTCAACTACCTTGCCTCTGTCTGTTGGATCGATAGGGGAGTCTCCATGAAGCAAAGCCTCTGCGCATTTCGTCCACCCACGTGAAGCAGCACAGTCTAAAGGCGTCCACATATTCGCATTCCTATTACAGAAACAAAGAGAAAGATGGAACGAGTGTTGCTACGATTGCATCGTCATTCATTCATAAACACAAAACATTAATATTTTCAAAAGATGATTAAAATTTTCTCTCCTTAAAACTAATAAAAATATAATTAAACTGTTATTGAAACTTAGGCAGTTAATCAGATAAGGTGCAGTGATATGAGCGTAAAAATCACCTTCTTTGATAAAATAGCGCTTGAAAGGTTACAAAAAATAGTAACTATCAAAAATGATGACAGGTAAATACAAAATACCTTGCATCGACTGCAGCACCGGAGGTAAGCAATGTTTGCACTACTTTAGAATGCCCTTCGAGGGCAGCAAGATGCAGTGGGGTATTGGAAGCGTCATCTTCATCGTTGACAATGCTTATGTCACGCTTAAGGAGAATATCCACGATCCTGCATTGAAAATGAAAAATAAGTCTGAATCAAGGCATGAATAGGAAAGCAGGACGGATTTCAGCTTGTTTTCATATTGAAAAATTTCATCACTCTTGCCGAGATGAAAATGCAATGAAATCAGATTTGGTCACAACAGAGGTCATGCTAAGGAAATTCAATCTGAGTAAGCAAGTAGCTGGGCCGGCTTGCCTTCCCATATGAACAGAAAACAAATTTATACCAATCAATAGTGGATTAAGCGAGATCTCTGCTAAACTTTGCATCCCGGTAGGAGGAGGGGGAGGGCGGCGCGATTTTTCCAAATGAAAAAGCTTTTAGAAATATTATCATTGGAAAATTCTCATAGGAAGAAGAAAAAAGCGTAATTCTCCTCGTCAATCATTCTTTTCTGTTTTCCGAGAGCTTTCTTCGTCCGAAAAACTCCTGTAATGGTGCCCAAAATGCAAAATTTTCATCTCTATTCTCTACAAAAAATTTGGTCTTACAGTTTTTCTCTATACAGTTCGGGTCAGGTTGGTGCTTCTTGACGTACTTCTTTGTTATATATATACAGTAAATCATTCAAAATAAAAACACACCACAGTGTGTGTTAGGGCCTAAATCTTGCGAAAGAAGAAGTTTGAGAGAATTCAAGAAAATTCTCAAAATTCTCAACTATAATTCAGGTAATACCTTGCCCTGCCAAACTTTGCAGCTAAATGCAGTGGCGTTAGATTCTGGTCATTTTTGGCATCGATTAAGGCACCGTGTTGGAGTAGAAGCTAAAAGAAATAAAGTAGCAGCAATTGATCTTCACTGCAGATAATAGCTCACAGCAATCTTGGATGTCTTGGAACTGACTATCAATGCCTATTGGACACGTGACAAAGCGATCTATTGCAATGATTATTGGTCAAACAGTTGATATGGAAAATGTGCCTTTAAAACATGTCAAATCTGTGAAGAATGATATTTTAAAGACCTTTTGATCGCTGGGTGATGATTAAACAAAACAATATCTAACCCACAATATTGAGTTCAATTTTATTAAAAAAAATGGCATTAAACGATGATTTCTCAAAATCTCAACAAAGATCTTCGAGGGAAAATGATAGAATGCAAAACGGGCATGATATTTTTAACGAATTTTCTTTCACATCCATTAAAACTATGTAAAGTGATAAAATCCAAGAACTAACTAAACCTTAATAATCTCCTTTTTTATGTGGGAAATAGGTTAAATCGTGAGTCGTATCAAATGGCAACATATCATCATAAAAATTTGTCTTTTTTAGTGTATCCCTAACTAGGTCCCTTCAATCACACCTTAAGGGATTGACAAGAATTAAAACATTTGTATTAAAAATTGCGAATTTCAGATACCTTGACAATTTTTATGTATCCTTTGCTTGCCGCAATATGGAGTGGTGTGTTTTCTTGATCGTCAAACTCATTCAACAGCATATGGCCATTTGGTTGGGCCAAGAGGATCTACAGGAGGGTTAGGAAAACATATTTGTTGAAATCATTGGGTTCCTATCTAAAAAATGGTCTCGACATACGGGAGAATAGGAAAGAAAAGGCCAGTATATTTCTGAAGATGCTAAAACTATCCATTGATAGCTAAAACTACTTAACAAAATGAATCACTTAAAATCACCTAATGCTGAAACCAAGATATGAAGTAATTCCATTCTTCTTAGATACTATATATACCATAGATAAAAAATTGCACCTAAGAGTCAACTATGGCTAGTCATGTATTGTTTGACAGAAAAGCAAAGGTTCAATCCAAAAAGACGAGCCCTCCTTCCTCGTAGCATAATCTGATCGACATCTTGAGATAGAAATTCGCATCTTTGGTGATGAAAACCAATAATTTTACCTAATTTTAATCTATCAACTCCATAGATTCTGCTTAAGATTTAACAGACCATTTCCTTAAAGTCTAAACAAGTTTATTCTTACCTTGCAAGTTTCAACACAATCCTCCTCCGCAGCTATAAACAAACATGTTCGATCGTCAGCGTCCTTTAGAGATACGTCAGCTCCAAGAGCAGCAAGCAGCTTGACAACATCCGTGTTATTTTTACGTACAGCCATCATTAAAGGAGTTTCGTTGTCTTTATCTCTGCAATCTATCTTGGCACCGCTGAAACAGAGAGACATACCAATAAACTCAGTTTGGTTTATGGGGAAATGTTCCTTTAAAGTCTAAATGAAATGCACAAGAAAGCTTCTACAAAGTAAATTTCTGGTGATGATGGAGCATCAGTATCGCTTTTGGTTCCACGCAATTTACTAAATCAAAAAGGAAGGCGGAAATACTGAATCTCGCTAGAGAACATGAGTCGTCATATTGGCAAAAGAGCTAACCCATATAAATCGTCAATTCAAAACTCCTCGTAGATCAGGGACGCCGGAACGACCAAGGGGCAAGAAGAGCAGGCTTGAGTAAAAGGGCATTTGAAAAATAATGCCCAGCTACCAAAAATTCTTTCTTAACCGTCATTTTGTTTCGATCTTCTGTCGGTATTATATCGGCTAAATTTTGGCATAAGAAATTTCTTTACAAGTTTTTAGAAACTTCGTCATAAATAAGGAACTACAGGCAGGACTTCAAATGAACCTCTTTGATTTCCTACAAAAGGCCGGCATCAAGGGCACTTCTATGAAAAGAGCACTTTAGCCCCCTTGCCCCTTCTATAAAAAAGGCAGCGGGTTTTCAACTGCTAAATAAACAGGGGCGGTTGACCCCACCCCCTGCACCCCCTGCCCGGCGTCCCTGTTGTAGGTTATGACATTTAGCTTACGGGGCTTCCGATTTCTATGCCCGCCAAAAAGCTATAGTGCACTTACATGTCCAGAAGATACTGCACGATATTGACACGATTAAACAAAGCAGCTCGATGTAATGGCGTTTCTTGTAGCGCATTCGTAGCTTCGATATTAGCACCGTGATCCACAAGCACTTTTGCGATCTCCAGCTTTCCTGATGTAGCAGCAAGATGCATTGGAGTGATCAGATTAGTGTTGTAATGGTTGACATTAGCACCGTTTTCAAGGCATATTTCTACAATATCGATATGACCGTTTTCAACTGCTAAATGCAGTGCTGTTTGCCCGTCTCTGTCTTCGTCTAATATCATCCTCGAAAGGGTATGCCAGCCCCCAGTCTGCTCACCAGCATGAAAAAGCAATTTCACAATGTCTGGTGTGAAAAGAGAGCAATGTTAGCGAAAAAGAAAACAGACTCGACTGAGAGGATAACTTATACATATAAATTCTTCAATATCGTGAAAATGACTGTTTACCGTTCGATCAAACATTGCTTGAAGCCGTACGGGCTGAGCTGTACAATAGTTGACAGATAATCATATCAAGCGGGAAACTCGAGTTGCTGACTAGAACCGTCCTCTTCCATACAACAGGGCGCATATCAATTATCATGTTCAGTTCTGAATGCAAAAAGTTATCCTTTTGCAACATAATGAATGAATGCGGCTTAAACTAGTAGATTTCATTAATTGTTTCAAGGGTTCCATTTTGGGATATTTGGATAAATTTTAGAGTAACAACAACGTCATCTGTGTTAAGGTCAAAGATTACAGTCAAAGGTCAAATGAAAATAGGTCAAATGTGATTTACTCACCAATGTGACCTTCCATGGCGGCAAAATGCAAAGGTCGTATGTTTTCTTCATCAGTACATCGTAAATCTGCATTGTGTTCAATTAAAACCTCTACAACTTCAAGCGAACCATTGCTGCAAGCACAGTGCAGAGCTGTCATCTGTGTTCTATCTTTTGCCTAAAAACGTTGAAAGGAAAAGGGTCTTAAATTTATGGAAAGGGGGGATTGTCAAAGGCACATGTAGTCGCTACATGCAAGAAGGGTTTTTTCAGATTTTATAAAAGCAGAGCAGATACTCTTTGAATAATTTTGTCGTTTAAATGGGACTCAAAAAAGTGAAACGAAAAAAATCGGGTCTGGAACCAACTCTATTCTATTGTTGTACTACGCTTCTAATCATTTGAAAAAAAACACGGAGAAGCTGGTTGGAGGAGTAAAGTTTAATAGAACTGCTGAAATACTAAATATAGCTATTAACATGCACAACGAACGAAATTCCAATCACAGATTCATGTTTTAAGCACATTAGTATTTTTAATAAATTTATTGAAGTAAGTAACTTTATTAAAATCAATAGAATCAACGCATACACAAAAATTATTAAAATCAATACAAACCTCAATATCGATACTTTGTTTTGTTAGTAACTCATTGACAGACATAAGATTTCCCCTCTGCGCAGCATAATGCAGGGGGGTTGCACCATAGTAATCCCTCGCATTTATATCAGCGCTGTTCTTCAGCAGGTAAAGTATGATTGAATCATCAACTAGCTTGTGTGGTTTATTGATTTTCTTCAATATAAGAGTATCTAGTGAGCGACCCTCCGTCATAATGGTGTCCAGTGCTAAAGCTTTATCTAACAATTTATGCTCAACAGGAAGTCTGATCGTGTGCGGTGAGCTGAATGTACCGCTTCTTGTTAATGAGATCCGCTCTTTACTCGGAGCTCTATTCTCTTCTTGTGCAGGCCCAAGGACCTTTTCTTCGTCATCATTTTTCTCACTTTTACTGTCTAGCGCTTTTATATCTGGCATAGATAAAGACTTCACCGGTGGCCTAGAGTTCAAACTTATATCTAGAAAACCGTCCCTAGATACAACACTTTGTACCCTGGTCCTATAGACTTGAGGTCCACTATTTATACTGTCATCTTCCTTCTCGACATCACCAAAAAATGAGTTATAATCATCATCATCGTCATCATTGCTACCGCCATCTTTTTCTCTATGACTTGACTGTGTTTCAGGTGTGGCTCTTTCTCTGGTGATATGTGGCACGTTTTGGCTTAATTCCGTATTTGGGTTTTTTGAGCATAAATCAGCATCAATCATACCCATCTCTTCAATCAAAGATTTTCTTTCTGATAACTCGATATCTGGCTCAAAATCTGCAGTGGCTGCGGACCCAACAGATTCTTCATTCCCAGCATCTCTGTTTGGCCCACTCCTGTCTCCTTTCGCCAAAAGTGGCCCAAATATACGACGCATAAATTGTCTATTTTGTGGCTTTTTCATCTTAAACTTGTTTTTAACTTTCCCTTTACCTTGATCATCGCTCTTCCTCTTGCCAGATCCTAGTAGCCCCGTTGATTTCTTTCTGCCTCCATAGCCCACAAGACTTCGCAATGCCTTTAATCGCCTTCTGCTAGACAATAACTGGTTGGCAATTGGCAAATCATAGGGTGCTGTCACGGGTCCTTTCAAGTAGAATTTTCTGTACCTGCTTGCATAATGAAGAGGGGTAGCACCATGTTCTCCCTGAACATTTACATCTAAAAAGGAATTAATACAAATTTACCATTCAATATGATGAAAGAAAGCTAAGATTGGGTTTTGACAAGATGAGGGAGATGAAAAACCTGACTGCGTACAATCAAATAAATATGAAAAATAAGATATAATTTGAATATAATTCCGAGAAATATAATCGGAATGAAATATAAGATTAGAAGTATTCTAATAACAAGCGATGTTGAAATGATTCTAAAGAGCAGAGAACAGGTCTTCATCCAGTTCCTTCTTACAAGCTGCTTATGATATTGTTGTTATTAACTTTAAAGAATTCAATAGACGATGCTCGCTCAAAACAATCAATTCTGCTCCACGACATTTAAGAAAATGGACGAGAGCTCATCGTACCTTTTCCTGGCTAAGGCTAAAGTTGTATGATATTAAGAAGCTACCACAACTTAAAAATGAAGGATACGTGGTCATTCTTGCTTTTACAATATATAGTAGTCCAGAATTTTGCTGCAAAAGAGTGGTAAAGCAGGCGTAACGATTTTATCAAGTTACTTGTTTGCTCATCAGTTATCTATAAAGTTATACACGATTGTCGGGGAAATTTTTCAAAATCTTGTCGAATTGAATCAGGTGTGAGCTTCCCGTCACCATACATCTCCAAACTCCAATCAATTATTTAATTGATATGCGCTATACTGAAGTTCTGCAGCATGCTAGATTCAGAAGGGCTTCAAAATGACTGTCTCAGAGCTCAATCAATCAATCAATCAAAAACTTTATTAATGTGTCAAAAAATATTTAGCTTACAAGCTAATTGGGGACACATTAGCTGACAAAAAAGGGTGGTTTGAAGCAGGCGAATTTCCGTAACTACACCAAGATACCAGATCATCGTGCAAAGTTTAGGCCCAACATCCGGAGAAAGGATAAAAGCTTTACGGAACTCTGTTAGAATGACTTCAGTACTTCATGCCATGCTGGTTTTGGATTGTTCAAAATGAATCATGAAAAGGCAAAAATTTCCTAATCAAAATTCATAAACCCAAAAAGCTTCGTCAAAATTTCAGTAATGATGTAATTTAAAAAGTTTTGCACTCCAACCAAGAGGTTTCATCTACCATACTAAATGAAACAAAAAACTCACTTGCACCACTTTCGACCAAGAGCTTAACAATGGACATATGGTTGTACCTAACTGCATAATGTAAAGCGGTTGTATTTTCAATATCCTTTTTGTTGAGTTTCTTTTTGTCCCTTCCAATTTTTTCAATGTGACTCCTGACAATATCGATCCTTCCATCCCGGGCAGCCTAAAAACAAGATTTCTTTTTTAGTGAATACAAGAACGCCAAAGTGATAACGCCAAAGTGATAACGCCAAAGTGATAACGCCAAAAAGTGTTTTTAGGAATTTTCGAATTTAGAGCGAATAACTTGCAGGAGAATTATGAAACATCGAAAAATGTGAGAAATTGGCTAAATTGATTACAAAATGTGTTTGATTTGATAAACTATATAAAAACAGAAGAATTTGCTACAAGAAAGCTAAGGTAATAAACCGTATCTCTAAAAATTCTCTAAAGCGCAACTTCTTTCTAATGCAAAAACGAAGACGATCACAAACAAAGACTGATGTAAATTCCCTTCAAGCTTTAACGAACTAACAGAATCAAATTGTACACTTAAGCACTGAAAACGTCTTTCCAAGAAGACACAGTAAAAAATGTTTGTAGCAAAGACCAGCAAAGACCAGCAAAGACCAGCAAAGACCAGCAAAGACCAGCAAAGACCAGCAAAGACCAGCAAAGAAAATAACTGATCTTGTTTCAAGATCTCTCTAAGATTTAAAATAAATAAGTGATGTCTGACTTATCAATAACAGAAAAAATACATGCATTAAATGGCTGGTCTTCTTCAGCCATTTTTAACACCACCTTCATATAAATATGATAAACATTGTCCAGGGTGCTTGTATAAAAAAACGGCCAGCCACAGCTCGGACAGCAAAGCGGAAAGATTCACAAAAGATCTTTATCTAGACTTCGACAAAAAAATCTGAAGAGCTTCTGTTCAAACCAGCTTTGCTTTATTGCGGCTTTGGCTCATAAATCATTAACCTCTTCATCATTATAAAAGTATTTACAGCCAAAAAAATATCTCCAGCATTAACAATGACGGGGGTTGTATAGGACCGAAAAAAGGGAAGAACCGAGTTGCTAAATGTCAGGAAGGTTAAAACCTGTTGCATACCAAGGGATGCTGTGGCTTTAGTTTATCAGGGGAGCAAATGTAGCTACAATTTCTAGAAAATGCGTGTCCAGTTTGGAAGTGGCTAACTAAGGTATTAGAAGGCCAATGATTGTTCCAGCGAGGTGCAACAAAGCTTGCTTATCCGACGAAAATGTTTTCAATTTAAAAGAGATAAAACAAGAAATTCCTACAGGACGATGCCATCACGTGCTGAGCAGGAAGAAGTGAACGTAGCCTAGCGATTACATATGCTTGATAAGATAAAAAGTTTGATAAGATAAAGGATTTGATAAGATGAAAAGTTTGATAAGATAAAAATGTCGACCAGATCAACAAGGTGCTTTTATAAAAATTCAATCGTGAAACCAAAAAATAAGATAGACGAAGAAAGTTACCATCCTACCAACTTAGTAAGACAAAGTGATTCTACGGAAATTTGTATCTGTTTCGTCTGAGGAAGGATCTCAGAGCTTAAGATTCGGAACAAAGATGAATACATTTCTTGATATTTTCAAACAAGGGCTAATTGCAAGATGTTTTGTTCACACGCAACCTTGCAACACGCAAAATCAAAATTCTTAAAAAATCCCACAATCGAGCCACGTCTCATTACATTTTTACGGAGAAAGCTTTTGCTTCTTTAGCCATAACATTGGGAATTAGGTGGCAACTTCGAATCACAGCTAGTGAGTTAAAAGTAAAATGAAACACTCGTGACCGACATGTGAGGAATTCAACCTATTTTCCAACAAGAAGCCGAGCTGTTCAACAGGACAGCAAACAAAATTGGCAAAATTCAATGATTTGTCAATGACAGATGCGGCGAGACTGCACGCATTCCAAAAGGGTTCCAGCCTTTTTCAAAACTTCCGCAGACATCCAGCGTTTCTAATCATTCTAGAACGTCTACAGCTAGTACACTGACGTTTGCTGCAATGGATGAATAGTTTGGACCTGGAGCTGAATATCTGCTGTTCAAAAAGAAAACAAACAAAAAACAAAAATATCAATCGAGGACAAACAACTCCGAACAAATATAGCAAATATAATCATAACAATCTAGCTTAACTATGAGAAGCCAGCACATATGAAAAAAGAAAAGATTATTTTGAGAAAAATCTTTCTTACAACAAATAGCTGTTTTTATAAGAATTTTTATCTATTATCACTTAAAATGGGGGAAATTTAAAGGCACAGAGGCATGATAAAAGGAAAGACTATACCAAAATATAGTCATGAGATAGGTTCTTCTGGACATAGATCTGATCACATGGAGTTGCCTCGGACTAATTTGTCTGCTATATTGTCATTAATGTTGTCAACGGTCTGCTGTAAAAAATGGGCGCCAAAATCATATGAAACGACAGTGATCACATGGAATGCAAAGGATGAAGATAGCCTCAACTTTCAAGGTATCAGGCTCCTCAGCGTCACCAGTCTCTTGGAGTGGTAAGAGAGTGCGATGATCGTCGCTCCTAGTTGCTATTTCATTAAATCAGGCACGGCTTTAGTAATTAAAATCAGGCCCGTAGCAAGAGAAGTGGGTAAGGCATAATGACCCAGGCCTCCACAAAACTTTCAAAGCTCGTTTTTTAAACTCACTATTACTTCTTTGGTAAAATGGTTAGGTTTGTTGGCCTCCAACATCAACTTTGGTTTACCTTTCCCTCAAAATTTTTTGGTCTCAAACACCAAGTTTATCTTAAAACAGTGATATTGTCCAGGACCTTGTCAAGGAGAAAAACTATATTTTTGTTGAGATGACCAGACCCTCATTATCAGCACATTAAAACGCCAATAGACAACAAATGCCAAGAGCGACTCAAATCTCTTCAACTTCAAATCATTTGTAAGAGTTTTTACTTACTTGTTGGATTGAAATTAGCTGCTTCGTACTGCTGGGGTTGAAATGATGCTGGCTCTTTGGATACAGGCTTTTGCGTGGTTGCTTTGAATGTATGTTCCCAAAAAATACAGTTGGATGTAGAATGCTTTCAAGCGGTGCCTGTTGGTTGTCAAGACTCTGCAGTGAGCTGCGAAGACTATGGCTGATAAACTGATGTGATATGTTGAGGCTAGAAGATGTCCCGGGTTTTGCCATCACTGTGTTCTTGATTGTGTTGCATCTATGGTTGAAATCCTACAAAAAGATACACAAAATGATGTCAAACGAAATTTATTGACTCCTCTCTTTTGCAATTAAGAAGTGCAGCTGCTGGAAAACGACAAATACTGACTGCTACCACTTCGAAGTGTGTTAACAAATAGAACGTTTGTGATAATGACATGACTGAAAAATGTGTCGGCAACGAAACTGAGCATATTAACTTCCACTTTGAGAGGAAACCAATTAACTTTAATTGTATCACATAAAATATTCACGAACTCTATATATGAGCTTTAAGAACTTTATGTACTAAAATGGGACATTTTCGTTTAAGATTGATTGAAATCTAGTGAACTTCGTGAAAAGTGTCTTTGAAAAACATCTGCAAAGAGTGGCTAAACATTTTTGAATTGCAACCACTTTAGATTATAGCAGTTGTCAACTTGCAAAACAGCTGCATGCCAAACAGCCAAGAAACAGAAAAGCCAAAATTTGTTAGATAAATCTTCTATTTAGAGACCTAGCAAATACGCTCTCTGTGATTTAAAGCTGAATGCTAAAACGCCAATAATACAGAGATTACTTCAGGGTAAAACAGCAATGCGATTTTGAAAATACAGGGGGGGGGGGCATAAAAGTATACAACGAAAGGGAGTACAGTAAAATTATTTTCACTACTTGAGTTTGTATATGCTACTACCTAGCATTCAAAGGTAGTTTTTAGAACACTGAGGCGGCTATCGGATCCAGGAACAACCTGGTTAAGTTTCAATATAAATAAAAAATGATTCAGTATTATGTCAGTGAATGCTAACTACAAAGAGCCGAATGAAAAGATGATGATTGAAAATTTCATACAGAAAAGGCCAAAATCAAGTTTAGTGTAGATGATTTACGACCCGAAAACGAAGGTTTTATCAACCAGGGCTTCTGCATCTACAAAACGATCTACAGACAACGCAACTTTTCAAATGAATTGAATAACTGATTTCATTTTAAACCTAGCGCTCAGATGCTTGAAAAATGATATAATTTGATTTTCAACAATGTGTGAAAATTTCGCTAGCTGCAAAATGAAAAAACGTTAAGCTAGCAAACCTCAAAATCGCTGATTGCTTTTCTCCGATGCCAAAAGTATTACTTTTGGAAAGAATTCGAGTCTTGCAGTTGCCAGAATTATGCATTACCTAAGACCAATCTTTATAGATAAGAAATTGCACTTATTTTGATGAAATACTGTGCAAAATTAAGCTAGAATTTTGTGCTGCTTATCATTGACAATTGAATAATTAATCAGCCTTAGAGCTATTATCAAAAATAGCATAGCATGGGTCTATCAATGACTCAATCATCTTCTTTATTTACTGCAAGAATTTTCTACAAGAAACTGTATAGACCATTGCATCGTACAGATGAGAGCTTTAACATGAATTATTTTTGTACAAATTTGATGTTTTCATGTTTCGCTATGGAACTTAATTTTGTTGCTTCAGTTTTGTTGATCAAATTTCTCCAGTAGGTTTTCCTGTTGACTTAATCAAAAACACGATCACCAAATAATTGTAATGAGGCAGTCTCTCAGGCATGAAGAAACGTGACTTCGTAAACACTAGAAGAAAAAAGTTGTTTGGGATACAGTGTTCAAAAGGGAGATGGCTATTTGAATAAAACAACATTACAGTCAGCATTGCAGAGTTTGTTTCTCTAAAATTTTGCAAAACTTTTGTTTCATGCAGAGAGTAAATTGGCAAGCTGGTTAGGGTTGAGAGACTTTAACTTAAGGAGTGAATTTTTTCTTTTCACTAAATAGAACCTTGGTATGGTTAATCCTATCAAGGGAGATTAGCCTAATCTAATTAGCATTGGTATTAACTGGATTTTTCTACTAGGAATTATCTAGTAACTGAAAATTTTATTTATTTTTTAAAATCTTGACTTTGTTCAAAACATGAACGGCCATTTTAATTCTCTCTAAGATGATGCTGTAGTTGACCTTTATTTTCGTTTGATGTTTGTTAAGTTTATTACAAAGCTGCCCTATCCAACTAATCTTTGTAGCTATAAATCAAAGCTTTGAGCTAATGAATGCGAAAAAAAATTAAAAACTACTTTCAAATTTTATATGTAAACATTATAATAAAATCTAAATTACAATTATGGACTCTGCCACTCAAACATGTCACTTTTAGACATTGTGGCTGATTCTTATATCTAAAGTTAAACTAAGAATTTAGTTGAAACTATAATTTTCAATGAAAATTCTTGATTTAGCATGTTCTTTGTTTTAAACATTTTAATTATTAAAAGTTACCACCAACATCTAACAGATCAATAATCCCAGTACTCTATTAAATCTGATTGAATTTCAAAATAGTAGCCCTGACCTGACCTCTGTACAACCAGGCAATAATTAAATTGTGATAATTACCAAAACCTCTGCTGAAAGGGCTTACTCTTCAGTTTATAAGGATTTATTCATTATCATTGTAAAAGATAATCAATAAATTAGCAAAATTGGCAATGTTGACAATGCACATATAAAATATCACCTCTACTTTTAATTTGGCAAATAAATTCCACAGCTGTTGTAATCTATAATTCATGTGTTCCCATGCCAGTTTCAAGTTTTTATTGATTAGGTACCTGTCTATTCCAAAATAAGTAATTGTTTATTTAAATAATACGACAATAAAAACTTTGTCTTTGAAATTTAAACAAGGAAGTTTTAAGGCTTAAACCAAATTGTTGGTAAATTACCTGGTGAAAGTTTTGACTTGATTTGAAGGATTGAAGAATGATCATAGAAGACTAATGAGAGCAAAAAATAAGAAAGAGCGTGAGAGAAAAAAGATTATGGTTGGAGCCATTCTACTCTAGCATGTAGGTGTTGTTTTCGAATAACATTAAAATCCTAAAACATGTGAGTAATGACAACTCAACATTGACTAGAAAAAAAATTCAGGATTTAGAGCAAATTTTTTTGTAACCTTCTGCATACATCTGAGGGGAAATAAAAGGTAGAATAACATCCATCAATTTGAAGAGGTTATAAGGCTTTAAACAGTTTTACTTTTAAGTCCTACAAAATTTTTCTCATGTATAGGTCAAGTTGGTTGATTTGGATTTTCAAAAACTAACAAGAGTTTATAAATACCATATTCCATCTTATATTCCCACTGCAAGTTTATTCATTAAACATTCTAATTTGATGCGGGATTATTAGAGAGGCAGGATTATCAGAGAGGGAGGACTAATTCTTTGATGTGCTTTATGAAAATGGGCTTAAATTTTCAGCATGTTTTCTGTGTTCTCTTGCATAGAAAATTGGCATGTAAATTGGAACTACAACTAGCACTAATTGGTTGAAACATTATTCAAACTTGCTTTGACAATTGGACACAATATATCATCTTATGAGACACTTCGCTGAATATTAAAAATAACTCAAATCTCTAAGCACATTTGCAAGGCATTGGTTTCTTTCTTTGATCGTACCTGCATGCGGGACTATCAGAGATGCAATATTAGAGCAGGGTGGAATACAACAGAGAAAATAGTATATAAGATCATAAAGCAAGCAGGCAATTGTATTTGTTTTTGTTACTACCTAGCATCTGAAGGTAGTTTTTAGGACACTGAGAAGCTATGCTCAGGGCCGTCGCGAGGCAAGCCTTGTTGGGGGGGGGGGTGTGGACTACAAATTTACGTGATTAAAAAATTTTGCCTGAAATTCTTTAGTTGCTGTCACAAAACTCTGCAATGCATTTTGTCAATCTAACTCTGTATATAATTCTCAACTTTCATTTTAATTTGATAATAACGGAATTTTCCTAATATTTTTGTCAAATCTCTATCTCTGAACAGGTAAAGGATATAGTTACTACCCGAGGCAGCACCATGGTTCACGCCAAAGGAGCAGGAAATTTTCGAATTTTGATGCTTCTAGTTCCCTGGAAAATGCACTCTTTTAAGCACATTTCACTAAAGCAATCCTCCTAATCCTATTGAAAATAATTTTTTTTGCAAACAAATTGAACAACAAATAAAACAACTGGTACAATTTCGTTGGTCTTGAGAAATGCCATGTTTTCAGTTACTTCTGAAGTTAGGTAACAAGCAGCACTGGTTGTCAATTTAGATCCCTCTTTCCATCTTAGCATGCCTTTTGAATGTTAAAAAAATCTGGAGCTCATAGTGAATTGCAGTTGATGCTTCTACTGAGAAACTTTAGGGGAAATGGACACAAGACACAATTTTGCCTAAAGAGGGCCTGGATTTTTCGATTTAGTGCCAACAAGAAATCTTCAAATCTTCAAATCATTAGTTTGTTTACCTTCATTCATATCAAAGAATATCTTATTCAACCAATGGAGCAACTACCTTTGCTTGATCCTTTATTGATTTTATGACATGAAGGTCTCTAAAATACTTAAAGCGTTTCTTCCACCAAGAGATTTTACCTGAAATTTCCTATTGAGATACTATTGGGGAGGTGTGACACCCCCCACACCCTCCTGGTTGCAACACCCCTGGCTATGCTTATCGAGCAGTGTCCTGGTCCTTCCTCTCGATGTGACCACACCTTGTGATTCTTACGCCTGGAATCCTGATTACAGAGAGCTGGCGACTCTCCCCACTCTGGGTGAAGGTTTGGTCACGCCAGGTAGTCGAACCACGGACCCTTAGGTCAGTAGTCAGCACCTCTAACAACTGAGCCATCCTCGCAATGCGTCCCTGTGTCAATGCACTGAGCTAGAGGTAATGTTTTCTTTGGTCTCACCTACTTTACTTTTATATCATTTAGTTTCCTATAGACAGAAATGAGTTTGGTCAGAAATGCTTAATGCTGTTTTATTTAGTCCTGAACTTCAGTCCCTCAACATATATCTCAAATGCATATACATAAATATATATATCCCTGTATCTAGAAACATTTCTTTGACTGCTTTACACAATGCCATACTGGAAACTTTTTTTCTTGCGTGGACAAGCCCACTTTGAAAATTTGAGACTGTGTACCAGAAATCATGCACTTTTAGTTATTTTGGAGTTGTTAATGTTAAATGTTATTATCTTGGGATTTTGCATGGCCAATATGTAAAAATGTGCAGATCTGAGAGTGGGAAATATTGCAGGTTTTTCAAAAAAGGTTCCAGTCTAGAACAGATAGAGTCAAAAATTGAGCAACAATAAAAAAAATCTTGATGCAATTCTAATATGTAATTTCCCACAGCATTAAGTCTCATGGTTCCTTTAACATGTCATTTGGATAGATGTTTGTCTTCTTTGTACTTCATGAACTGAATACCTTTGTTTCTTCACACAGCTTGTCAAGAAACGTTTCATTTGTAAAAAGTATAAGCAAACAATTGTGAATTTTTTTTTAAATCAATAGGCTTGACAGAGTAGCAGCCACAAAGTTAATTTGAAATCACAAATTGGGCATGGAGTAAATTATTCAGTTTTCTTGGGTTAGCAAACCAGTTCACCTCAAGGACTGAATAATTCAAAAGGCAGTGTTTATTCCCACAAATGATGTTGTTTAAAGTGTGGTTTTGAATATTCCTTAAACAATGGTTAAGGAATAAATAAGTGGCTTTAAAACAGGGAGAACAAACTTGTGTCTAGTGCTTGCTTGAATAAAAATTGCAGTTTTTAAAATATACAATTCGGTGAGATCAATTTGATTTAGATATAAGATGTTGTAACAGTTAGCATATGATCTGTATGCAACGTTCACGGCAACATAGCAAACTGAAAAAGATCCTGAAAGAAAATTTGGCTTAAAAATCATTGCCTCTCGGTGTTAGGTCCCATTGAAAAGATGCTAAACACATACATCTCGAATTCTTGTTGGGCTGAACGCCATAACACTGGTATTGAAAGCATTTTATAGAGCTCACATCCATCTCAAAAGTATACTTCAGAAAGCAAAGTTCATTTTTGAATAGAATTACAAAATCTAAGACCGTCTTGTAACTTTAAACGTCAGCAAAATATATTTTATTCCAATGATGGATCCATTAATTTTTTTTTCGATGCACTTACCGTTCATTTCCTCCAGTTCTCTTTCGGGGCGTAGATGCTTTAACCAATTTTGACCGTGGGCTGATCGAGCTCTTTCCATCAGAAACTGAATACGGTTTCTTTCGACAGAGGGCAATCGCCACAAACATGTCACTGACAACTTTTGCATTTATTTCGTTCCCAGAAAAGTAATCAACTACATTCTTTTCCTGAGGTGAAAACTACCAAGCGTGACTACTCGACTCCAAGCTAGGCAAGCAATACGAGGCCAAAGTGTAATCTGGTACATCGTAACTGAGGAGGAGACCACGACAAACTCATTCAAATGAAAATTTTACTTTAATTGGCGAGACTATTGTATTTTCACTGGTGTGAGCCGGGTTTAAATCGGTTTTTCTGTGAGCTGCATTTGCCTCGGAAAAATGGAATGAATGAAGTTGCTCTCAAATGCAATCACATCAGTTGTGTGATTTGATTTTCTTTCCGATTTGGCTAAAATCATCGGAGAATATGCTTCCGAAAGACTTTAGCAAGCATTAGCAAAGCTTTCTTCATTATTTGCTTTTGATTTCTATCAAATGTGTCGCATGCTATCCTTTTTCATTCCACTACCGCAATTCAAATTTTGATGCTAATTCCACTTTTAAATTGAACACAAAAGCAAACATGATAAATAAGTTATGTGTACATACCAGAGTAAATTCGTGAAAAATTCTTTTTTCACGCTTGTTAAATGCTGGCATCGGTGATATTCTTTAGATATTGCTAATTTGTTCAAACAATTTCTCGTTCTTTGACCATCACTTCGGAACTTTTCTAAAATTTCGGCATGTTCGCCGATTGTGGTAGATTTTCTTCAGTTGTGTGAATGAAAGCTGGAAGATCAGACTCACATAGTCGGAGCACATTTCTTTGTTGCGCAACGTGATTATTGATTTTTCTTAAGCGATTGACACCACCAAGGAAATTAGCTTAAGGCGAGAACAACAAAGTTGCGAAATCCAAAACGATTTTGCCGTGAAAAGTTTTGATGAGAATTAGCAAGGCCATCTTGAGAATTAAGGCCATCTTGCCGTGCCGTCACCATTCTTTGTAAAGAAATTTTCAGTAGAGCTGGTAGTATTTTTCTTTAACTTACGACACGGGAAATTTTTTAATATTTTTTACGTAGTTCAGTGGGAGAAATTTCAACCGATTAAATTTCATACATTTTCTTGGAAATGAACTTTGATTCTATAGTATGGAATTTTGTCGCAAATGTGTTTAAAAAAAATTAAAAACAGCACCAACATACAAAGCAGAAAAAGTTGTTCATGTTAGTTAAAAAAGTTTTCAATGTGACGGAATTTTGGACAAAGATGTGTCCGATTGTCTGCTTCAAATTTGGTTGAAAGTCTTTTTTCTTTGGCGTCACAATCGAACAGAGACTTCTTTGTTGACATCGACGTTCCTTGTGACGTTTCTGATCCGCGTTTTCTGTTTTTCATTTGCATCGCTGTGACAAACCTGTTGATGTACCTTTGAATGACTTTTTGATGTGAACTAAAGCAATTTTGCAATGATATTCCGATTTTGTAGTAAAACCAGGCCTTACTGCGGCTCTGATGGCTTTTATCAAAGGTTGCATAAACTTATCGACCAATCCATGCGCTAGAGACAATAACGGGAAAATTAAGAGTCTATTAGGGCCGCCGTTAAGCGGAACGCGCCCCGGGACCGATGCAATACTCCGCCCCTAATTTTTTGCGCCGAAAGTGCAAAAATCTTCTGGTGCCACGCCCTGTTTTTGTTCCTGAAAGCGCATTTGCTCTGAAATTGAATGTAAAAATTGGCTTCATACATTGCGTTGTAACATTGTTTAAACTGTTCATCTTTTCTAAATCTTTCTCACAAACCTTACGCTTGGGGTTCTATTTATGCAAAATAGGTATCAATACGGTGATAGAAATTCAGACAACAAATTAGTTACGTGGCAATTAAAAGTGTGTCAACTTCTGAACCCCTCTTTCCCCGATATATTTTATTGATACTGTTACCCATTGGTTTTAACCTTAAGCGCAAAGGCAAAAGCGTTGTCACTAGATTCAATCTTTTTAGCAATATCACTTTCAATACTCAGCACAGCCAAGTCATTCAGTCGTCCCTGAGTCATTGTTAAAAACATGAAATGTTAAAGCCAATGTTCCTTGTTATTCTGACGTAACCACTTCACTAGCCTGAGTTCAAGATCGTTGAAATTTTTTCTAAACACTAACAACACGGAATTGCTTTTAAATACTTCAACATACAATGATTGTATCTCATGTTTGCTTTTGGGTGATTCCTACCTGCTGGTTTTGGCAAAAAATTATGCATATAGGCTCTATTTCATGAAAATTCACCCCCATCTAAATAGATGGAAAAGTTATAAAGGCATTATCCAAATATGTTAAATGAGATTTTATGGCTTGTAGATTCAAAAGCTTGGAAATATTACGCTCTTTAGGAAATCTTGTAAAAAGGGACCTGGTCGCCTTTGGTCGGGCGCATCTATGATCAATTTGGGACGAGGAATTCAGACTAAAAATGTGTGGATTGGTGGAATGAAAATAAAAAATTACACCCAACAGTGGATCGTTGCCCCTCCTTATGATTCCGCCTAAAACGCTCATTTTAAAGAAATTATTTCCCTAAGGCAAGCCAATATTTTCTGTTATTATATCAATTTGTCTTTAGATCACTTTACCCCATGCTTGGCAAATAAGATGAAGCACTAAGTTCAGTAATGTCATAAATAGTAAATTCCTGGCAAAAGTGGAATTTATTGATTACTAATGTTTCAATACAAGTACTCACGTCAATTATGTCAACTGGTTATGTCAACTGGTTACAACTTGATATAGTGATGTCCGGACAGTCGCTTGTGGTGTATGACAAGGATCAAGTTTAGCTGCTTACAACTTTTCGTGATTGTCAAGGGTATTCTTCGTGGTCAAGCACGAGATGAATGTGGCGAGTAGCGCTGTCATACAGCCTTGCTTGAAGGTGAATTAAATTTTCAATTATTCTTCAAGAGATTAGATACGCGTTTTTATAGCTAGAGTTTGATGAAAACAAGGTGATAATAAACAAGATGATGATCTTTTATCTCACAGATACCCGATGTTTTGTCATTGATTCTAATAATCAAAAATAAGAGTCCTGTCATCAAAATATATTTGCATCCATCTGTTCATTAATAATATGATATTGCTGAGGTTCGAATAATGTATTTCTATAAATAAAACTCCAACATATTTTGGAAGGGGAGAGGGGAAACAGCTAATCTAAATGACATGACAATGTACAGAGATATGAACGTTTTAACATAAAAAAGAGACAATCATAGTCTCCAACACTTTGCTCCATAACTGCCAACGTTAAAGCTTGATTTTTTGACGATGATGAATCAAATTTGGAATTCAATTTCTGAGATTTTCTTAGGCACTGTCCTTTAGAAAATTATTAAACACAGAATGAAATTTTCTTCCCTTTGCCACTCGTCATTTTCTTTTTTTATAGTTTCCAATGCATCTTATTTGAAGAAAAAGATTTGAAACAAGCAGAAACTATTAAACTTTACAATACACTATGAGCTAGCCCAGAATTTTTTGATAGTACATAACAACATTTAGATACTTTGCAGAGAAAATCTTGCATCGCACATACGAAGATACCCTGGGTAGCAGAGCCGCAAAAATTTAACGGCAGCAAAAAATAATGAGAGCTGCGGAGGCGAAGGAGAGATAATTTCCTTTGCCTCCGCAGCTTTCATTATTTTTGCTGCCGTTAAATTTTTGCGGCTCTGGTACCCAGGGTAATACGAAGATAAACTTTCGAAATTGGCTCGTCCATGTTGTTATACATTGAGGTATCTATGATAACCAAAGTGTTGGCTTTCAGCTAGAAATCGAAAGCTAAGGCTAGAATAAAGAAGAATAGTTGAATATCTAAAACTGGAAAATACAACAAAGTAGCATGCAACTCAAGGACTTTAACAAGCATACTTATTTAGCCAGCTTGGTAAGGTAACAACTGATCTGTGGGGCATTCCCCGGGAATAGAAGCTCAAAGTTGAATCTTCTCACTTTCTAACCTATCTTTAGCCATTAGGCAACAGGCTCTCTGCTCATAGTTTGAAGAAAAGCTTCTGCAGACTTTTCTTACGCCGGAGGCCATTGAGTAGCAATCCTAACGTATCCAGGGCCATCAGGAAACTATAGGTTGAAGAAAACTATTTCTTATGTTGAAGGCAATGGAATAGCCTTTTTCAACATTTCAACATGTGAAATATTCACTTCGCGATCTGAAAAAATATAAATCTAGCTTTTATCCTCACTGCTTGTCCGAGTGGAACAAAATTGATCCTGAAATTAGATTTTTGTTGTTGCTTTCAGGACGAAGATACTATCTAAGATCCGCCCCCCTACAAAATCAGTATTTGGTATTGATGAACCGAAAGGCCTGTCTCATCTTACTCAACTCAGGGTTGGTCTCAGCAAGTGAAACTTTCACAAATTTCAACAAAACTTTAGAGATACAATAAATCCAAAGTGTCCAAGTAACGATGGAACGAGAATACGGAGCACTTCTTGTTTCTCTGCCTTTTGGCGTTCAAAGGACTGATCTCCTCGCTGGAATATACTCCCTTGTACGACGATGTGGATATGCAAATCTTGCAAATGATGTTCTGTTGCAAATCTTATTATACGGCGAATTTTCCAAACCATCTCAATAGAAGCATCCTTGAGTTAACAATACATTTTATACATAGTTCTGGTCGCTTTGAATAAAGTATCTTCCCCCCTCCCCCCCCCCTAGTAAGCCAACAATCGTTTAGTTCTTTGTTTTTTTCCTTTGGTAATTCATATGTAAGTTGTCTTAGTTTTTCGTGATCCCTCGGAGTAGTCATAGTATTTTGCACCCAACGGCATCGTCCTTGTAGTGTCGTTAAGTATTTTGTAGGTAGTGTAACCAGTAAATTTGTAATGTAAATTTTTATAGGAATGTAAAAAATAGCATTTTTGATATACAGTCTATATTTTTCTCCAATGAGCGGAAACTCTGCATTAAGAAGCTTGTTTTGGTATATGGCCGAGATTTCCCATATGTGTCGGTTTTTACTGCAGTCATTCGAAAGATCCTCGCTTACCATAAATCAGCACTGAATAATCTCAAGGAAGATTTCACATACGGGTCTTGATCCTGCTAGCTTAATAATGATAATTTCAGCATACTCGACTTAATTAAATCAAGAGAAAAGCAATAGCTTGCGTAACCCAGGATTATCGTAAGGTAAACTGTGCTAATCAAAGATTATTGCAACATAAACATGATGAGAATTTCTCGATGCCACTGCATTCGTTAACTTTTTTATCAGGTTGTTGTGGCATCTGTCAAAACATACTACACGTGCTTCTTCACGTTATAAATGACCATACAACGCTGTATCTAAAAACTGTTCTAATCCTTCTTGAATCTTTATCAAAATACAACTTCTCTGTTTGATGTCCTATTTCTAGATTTCAAAATGCCTGATATACGTCACAATGCTAATGTCTGTAGCAGTGTAAAGCAGGCTCCTCAACTTGAGTCTGCTCACTGGAAATGCTTCAAATAATACTGCTTTCTGCAAAGAGCAACGAAGTGCTTCACAATTCTGCAAAGCATAGCTTTGGTAACTGAAATCTGTAGTCAAGGATACAGATGACGAAAGCTTTATTCTCGACATATTATCAGATGTGGAAACAGTTTTATATGGCTTTGATAGGCCCATTTGTACGTAAGGTTTTGCAAGCAGTGTGTTGTAGCATGAGAAAACTCTCAATGCGGTAGAAATATTCAAAATAAGCAGGGTTTTACCATTTGCAGGTTTTATGTAGCTTATATATGTTTTGGATTTTGGTTAAAGTAAAAGTGAAAAATCCATTTTTGAGACATTTTGAGTATTTAGGACGACTTTTTAGTACAACTATAACAGATTAAAAGATAACACTATAAATTTGAATATTCCTCATCAAATATATTTTTATTTATCTCTTTATAAACACACGTGTGTGTGAAAAAGACATGGAATCAAACTCAAGTCCAGCTTTAAACAAAAACAGGAGTTATCTAGTAACACTACATAGGAAAGTTTTTTACAGCACAATGCTGACTGCCACTGGAGCAGGAGTCAAGTTTAAGCGTGGTAACTAGAGTGGACATCCATTCTCCTATCATTGATCGTTGAAAATAAGACTTTATGAATCGGTCATTTTATGAATTAAAGAAAATACTGTCATAAAACATTCTGTCTCTATCATTCTAGTATTATTTCTGCTATGATACGGCTGCTACATTTAGCAATTCACAAACAATCATCTTCCAGGTATATCTCTGCTACCATCTTATATCAATGCTACTACTTAATATCCTTACTACCACCTTATATCCTTGCTATTACCTTTTACCATTTTTCTCACCCTCCATCTCGCTGTCTCAATCGAAGCTCAAAGATGTCATATTCTTGACCTCTTCTCGTAAGTACTTTCTTGAAAATTCTCGTGGACTCTCTTCTCCCTTAAAAATCAGCAACGACAAGGCCAAGCATCGTGTTTAACAATAATCCCAATCGTTTATTTGATCAGGCAGAAATGTTCGTAACTGAAACAGATAGTTTGACGCATTAAGCCATGATCTGTCATAACCTCGTTATACAACGCTAGTAACAATACAAAAAGCACGTAAATTAAGTTTTCCTTATCTCGAAACTGTGGTACATGCGTGTGTCTCAAACGTTAACGCCTGTGCGAGGCTAGGCCCGAATTCCGAACATAAATACTTATTTTCTATTAGATTAGGGAGGGGGGGGGGCAAAAAATGACAAGATGGGAAAGAAAAGCATACAGATCTTGTTTTTCGGAAATAGAGAACCGAAACGAGATAATATTTCCCCCTTCAGTTCTCCATTAAAGAGGCAGACACTCTCCAGTGAAGCAGATGCAGTCTTGACCAAAAAGCAAAACTTTGCACAAATAAAACGACAATTAAGCAACAAGTACTTGCAAATGTGTGGTTCTTGAAGGAGAGGTCTGGGCCTAGTCAAATGCCTTGCTTTATGCGGATTAATAATAATTTCATAGGTTTCAATACCTGGATATTTATAATCCCAAATCAATCTTTGGATTGCAGCAAATAAACTTTGTCTTCAAGAAGGATAATACCTCAACGAAAGAAGAGTGGTCTCGCAAAACCATAATCTATGAAAAAAGTCGAAGGAATGCGAGAAAGGATAAACCATTTTGCTAAACTTGTTGTAGGTTGACTATTGATGAATCATAATTTATCTTTATTTACATTTTTTAAATAAGAGACGAAAAATCAACCTAGGACTTGGTCAACCTGAATCTAAAACGATGCAACATCGTTAAATTGTTGCGGCGTGAAAGACAAGCTAAAATAAAGTAATGACAGGCAGTTGTTCAGTTTTACGATTACAACTAAATGACAACAAAACCAGGCTGCATTGAACCAAAAAAGAGTAAAAATGAAATGGAACAGCTAATGTAAGGAGCGTCTGGGCAGTTTGTTTCAGTACGGACCATCTCATGCATTCCTGAACCAAAATATCTATGTTCCAAAACCAATTGTCACAATGGTGCATGCCTGAACCAAAATATCTATGTTCCACAACCAATTGTCACAATGGTGCATTAAATAATTCAATTTGTATAGAATAGTGAAGATAATTATTCTCTTCTGGGCAGTTTGTTTCAGTACGGACCATCTCATGCATTCCTGAACCAAAATATCTATGTTCCACAACCAATTGTCACAATGGTGCATGCCTGAACCAAAATATCTATGTTCCACAACCAATTGTCACAATGGTGCCTTAAATGATTCAATTTGTATAGATTAGTGAAGGTAATTATTCTCTAGCATACAAGGATACTGTCCTGAAGATCCACAAAAAGATTTAAACTTTATCATCTAAAGCAAGATGCCCGATAATGCCTGAAGGAAGTAATCCTAGGTTAGGAATAAAAAAGGTTAAATAAAAAGTTTAGCAACCTTAAGGTAAGCAGTAAATTATGTCCTGTTGTTGATCAAAAGTAACATGAAGGAAAGAGTGACAGATAATCAAGTAGTTTAATCCTTTTGTTGAATTGAAGAAAGCTACGAGAAGAATTTCGTAGAATTCGTAGCTTAAGAGTGTAAGAGCACCACAAAAGCGACACCGCATTTCGGAAAAGGTGCGGCCTATTTTCAAAACATATGCTTCTCAGAAGATCCGCGGCAAATCAGTGGGATATTAGATGGGAAATGAATGAAATGAAATGCAAAGAAATGAGAGATATCTCTGAATAGGCTTCAAATAAGCAGTTAATGGCAATAACATCTTTTAGAAGAAGACATTTCAGTCAGATTTTAACGTGATTGATCTCTGATCATCGTCACCGATTGCCAAAAAATTTCCTCAGATTTTAATGGAATCTGGAACAGCTGGCTTTCCTGATCTGCGTGAAGAATTTCGATAAAAAAACAGCAGAATGAGTGTCTATATCAAAAAGATATATACCAAAGTAGCGATAATCAAGGCATTTAGAATGTATAGATTTGTCTGCAATACTTGACAAAACTGAGGAATAAAGGAGGATTAAATACGAAAGCTTTCTGTCAATGGATAACCAAAGATGTTCAGAAAAACATCAACAAAAGGATATTGGTTTTCAATGAGCACACATCTGGATGCAGTCGTTTTCAGACGGTAAAACAAAGAATTATTCGCATTTAGGAAATATACTTTGTAGCAACAGCAAGCAGTCCTACAAAGGAGAAGATTAGCAGTGCGAAAATACTGCTTGTCAAGAACTAATACTTCAGTGAGATTCTACAGATCTTAGACATATGGTTGAGATGATACATTTATAAATAATAAGTATGTCTCGAAAAGTCTTCATAAAAGTGCACGGAACAATATATGAAACGCTGAATACCACATTGCAGCGTTATCCGTTCACTCGTCTCGGCTCGGAATCAAAGCGCGTGGCATTTCAAGAAGCTGGAAACAGCGAGATTTTGACAGTAGACTGTAAAAGTTCTGCATTTGACGCAATTTTATTCTATTACCAGTCATTTGGCATCCTAAGACGTCCGAATGATGTGTCTATGGACGAGTTTGTACAAGAATGCCGAAGCCTTGAGATTGAGGAGAACGATATTAAGAAGATGCAGGAGCAAGAAGGATTTTTGTATGAGAAAACAAATATTGGTTTTGAAAATGTTCGTTGCAAATTATTGTACGATCTTTGGAGATTTTTGGAAGTTCCCGAGTCTTCGGTTGTAGCAAGCCTCTTCGCAGTGTTCAGTTGCGCCATGATCGCTATTTTAACATGCCTTACATGTATTCAAACACTGCCATCGACAAAAGAGACTCGAATGCTTGCATTTTATAAAAATCCCTTGCTCTTATTTGAGCTCGGTTTGAACTTATTCTTCGGAGTCGAGTTTACCTTGCGACTGATAGCGTCGCCAAAGAAGCTCGAGTTTATCAAATCAGTTTCTAACATTGTTGATTTCCTTGCGGTCTTCCCATATTTCATAGCACTGATTATTGACGTCGAAAACATTGGGTCAGTGCAATTTTTACGCGTTGTCAGAACGGTGCGAATCTTGAGACTGATACGACTCACAAAACATTCAAAGACATTGGACATTGCGGTACGCATAATGGGGAACTGCCTTGGTGACCTGCTGACAATGGTATCGATCATCTTTATTTCCTGTTTCGTCTGTGGAGCGCTCGAGTATAACGCAGAGATGAATGTGCCGGGAACAAAGTTTACGAGCATTCCCGCATCAATCTGGTGGGCCGCCCAGACAGTCATTCCAGTCGGTTATGGTGACATAGTGCCGCAAAGCATGACGGGAAAAATTGTCGGAGGGATAGTTGTGGTGCTATCAGCGTTGACTTTCACTCTGCCTTTGTTGTTCCTCGGCGGAAAGTTCTTGAAGTTCTATGCTAAAAACTTCGGTGTCACGATTATGAGCGACTTTAGGCCAAGACAAAAATCCTCGTAAAGGTAGCAACATGGAAGAAGAAAACTCAAAGTGACTCGTCCGCTTCTTGATTGTAATTTTTTAGATTGTAATTTGATTGTAAATGTTAATTTTTACCTCAGACAGGACCAATGTTGAAAAGCTCGAGGTATATTGGAAAATTAAAATCAAAATCAATTCTTCTGTTGTAAACGTTATATTTTAAAAAGATGTAGCATATACTGACATATTGGTGAAAGGTGTTTAGCCGAGTCACTTTTTTGCGTCGTCGAGGTTTTGCAGATAGAAGATTATCAGTAATTAGATGCCGAAAACTCTGATCACAGAGTGACTTAAAAGGCCGTGTCTACAAGATTTTGTTTTTAAACGATTGCTTTGCTATGTAATTTTTGCGTCTACAAAAAACGGTGCATTTTCAGGTTATCAAGTTCTCAAAAGATTCTTCTTTGGTCACAGATTCTCGGTGTCATTTAGATGGGAGGAAAACACCTTTGTGTAGACGAGGTTTTGATGGATTGTCACAGGCTAAATTAAACAACTAAAAGTTTTCCAAAAAAATTAACCAGACAAATAGAATCACAACTAGGGTTATGAATTTGTATTGATATTATTATTAATATCACTATCGTACAGCGGGAGACTCGCACCATGCTTACTGGGTCTTACGAACAACTTAAATTTCCTTATGAACCAGAATCCCAGCTGCTCATATTTATTAGCTAGTATAATTTCAGGGCCAAAGCTCTACCACCACACTTTCACGGCTCCTGATGGCAACTGCTTGAAAAGAAGAATACAGATCAATACAATTTCAGCGATATGTAGATATCAACTGCATATTTAACACATATACTAACAAAGTCATTAAATGAGAAACAAAGTCGACGTATCTCATTGCTTACAGCTTTGTTTCGTCACATCAGATGAAACCTTGGGAAAGAAAGGCCTCATAGATGCAAACTAACCTTTTAACCAGAGGTTGCAAAAGTTTTGAAACGGAGTTCAAAAGTGGTTCAAATTATTATATAAGCATTAATGATTATATATCATTAATTTTGAAAAACATTATATTGAAAAACATCAAGTATCGATTGACAGAGAACATGGCTCGCCCAAGCCTGTGAGAACATGGTGACGAGTTATGGCAGTTTCTCGCCTAACGAGGTGGTGGTAAAAATGGACAACCCAAGAGCATAGGTATTTTACATAACTACAATTATCATTAATTATGACACGTTCAGATAACGGTCATAAATTCAGGACTCAGAAAAATAAATTGAGCTTGACATAAAGAATGATTCTGCTAGCATACTAACCAAAGGCTTTTGAACTTTCTTATAATGATTTAATATTACATATAATCTTTTCATTTTTCTTCTACTCATGTGTGGATTCCTTTAAATGAAAAATTAATCTTAACCATGAGATTGTGGGCAAGTTAGAGTTGTTGGAAAATCGTTTTTGGTAAAACTGTGATCAGTGTTTTCAATTACAAAGGACTCTTAGTCATCAAGGCAGGTGTCTTACATCCAAAGTTTTTTTGCTCATAACAACAATGGTAACAGTTACTGTGCTGGAGAAAACATAAATGCCCCTAAGAAGAGTCTGCCCTTCGCGCACTCTGGGACCAAAAAAGCATCATCATTAACATGTGAACAATGAGGAACTTTTTGACGTCATTCTGCAGTCCATTTTGCATAGCACTTTTCATTTGCCTTGCTAATGGGGATAAAACAGTGTAGTCTGTAAAGCAAAGAAAATAACAGTGTTTTACTCGCGAATAGTTTTTCTATATACATTATAATACATCATCATTACTTTCTTGGTTTATCTATACTTAACATTATCAAATATGAAGGGGGGGGGGGCTATTAGACGAGTGCTTTGCAAATTTATCTTATTCATTATATCTTTGAGCAAGTAACAACTTCCTTCAGACATGTTACGTATCTGCGCCTGAGCTAGTCCTATTTTGAATGAGTATAGTTGTAGCCAAAATCTACCAATTTCAACAGTCTTTCTCGGGTAAGCCATTTATTCGGATTATTCACAGTGGATTTTTCCTTACCAAACTTCCTATTAACAAATTCAGTCATTGGGTTGACGCGCAGTTACGAAACTCTCAGCACTGGTTCCAAATAAGAATTTTTTGCTGGTGTTAAGCTGTCACAAGAAAAACTTTATTTCAATTCTGGCTAGATAGCACACAGAATAATGGGAATTGTTGTTAACGGGTCTGTCGTGCGGTGCTCGATGCCGTACCGACAGAGACAGGTACATGAAGCGTATAGAATAAGATGGGTCTAGGTTGCAACTCTAAACATCAAGCTAAATGCAATTATCAGGCAACTTTTATAGCTGATAAATTATATTGAAATCGTAACATGTTCTGTTTCAATTCAAAGCAACAAATGAATTCTCAATTATTTGCTATATTGTTCCCTACCAGCCCAAAACTCGAAATTTAAGAAACCTTAAAGAAGTTCGAGCATGCAGATGGCGAAAGATTTGTGTTAAAATATGCATGTATCCGTAATAGGAAGAGGTCAATAATAAAATATTCTGAATGCCCTACCTACTCAAAACATCTTTAATGATTCTAGGGATTGATTCAAACAGGCGTTGAAGTGCTGCTATCTGCGACCTTTTCCGTGGTTGTAGAAGGAAGGGGGAGCAAATTCTTCGTTCCGTTCTTCTCTCAAAGACTTAATCCACTGCGAAAGACCTTCTCTTGCACCTAAAACAAACAAAAGTAGCTATCAAAAACAAAATGCAACTGACTTGCGAAAGGCATCGGTTCAAAAACAAGCTTTGAATCAAATGAAATTTTGATGAAATTTTTGTGGCCTATTTCGATCCACAACAGGGTTTACATAATTTCAAGCAAGAATTTCCATATATAAATTCATAAATTTTAATTTAATTATAATAATAATTTCCAAATATACCAAATATAAATTTTTCCACAAAATTTTTGCTTTTTAAAGCCATCTTGCAACAATTTGTTAAAACAAAGCTTCTAGTAATGGTAACTTCTTCATTCTTTCGTGGAAGCCTTATTATACCAGAAATCTTGGTAGATAAGAGCACATTTAATAAAGAGTTATTTTCAAGAGGGGATCCTATTCATAAGATAAACAATGAATTTCATAAGCAAACGATGACATGATGAGATGGACTGAAAACCGTCATCCCTTTCCAGTCTTTTCTAATCGCTGTTTCCTACTTGGTAATTCAGTGGCGAACAAATGAAGTGTTGTGACCTCCACCTTCCCTTCCCTCTGTGTCATATTATGCAGAAATTTTACGTCAAAAATTATGAATGTTTTAACATTGCAAAAATAGAAAACCGCCCAAACAAGCACAGTGACTGCGCACACCCAATTTCAGCCCCTGCCTAATGTGAAAAGCTTCCCTGATTATATGATGCCCACGATTTTGAAGAAGTGTTTCTTCCTGCCCTGATAACTACAAAGCCGAGGTCTGCGAAAGCATTTTGAGAAGGAATTAGCTCGATAAGTCAAGAAGACACTAAGAGCTGATCTGACGCTTAAAACTTTTAAATGATGCTTTTAGGCATGAGAATCAAAAAAGAAACCTTTATGTTTATTAACAGATTCCTCTAGCTGCTTTGAAGCCGAAATCGAGGTTGAAACGGTGCTGTCTTTGCTTGAAGGTTGGCTGGGGCCTATTTCCTGTCTTTGGTCCACGCGAAGCTCATCACTTTTTGAGTCATCAACCGACAAGCTCTCACTACTGGTTTTCCCATCTTCTGTTCCAGTCAATCTGCCTGCTTCAATGCTGTCTGATTGGCTTTCATGACTTCCCCTGTCTTCGGCAACAGGCTGGCCTTCTTTTTGAGCTTTTTTCTGTCGTATTTTGGCTAAGCGAGCATCAAGGGCAGCTTTACGTTTCTGTTTTATTGATTCGCGTCGAGTACGCTGCTCTAATGTCTAAAATAGAAAAGAGAAGCTGAATTTACACAGGAGATTTAAACGGAAAACTGCTACAAGTTTTAAAAAAAATTTAATCGATCGTGCAGCTTTACCGCTACATAGACTCAAAAACAAAATCAATTATACTGTGTAGCATCTGTCTTAAGCGTTATCCTGTGGTACATAGATTTTATGCACGTAGATATTATACGTACATATTTGTTAATAATACACTTAATTACGCTGGATGTAAACTCCAAGTAAACATATGTAAATCTCACTTACACACATAATTATCATTTCACTTAACTATAATTGCTATGCAATTACCATATAGAAAACAACAACACAAAAAACTGTACAATAACATCTTGATTACTAAATTACTCAACAAAATATTGGTATTGATCTTTATAAACAGCACTGCATTCTATATGTATGCAATTACTACACGGCAGATCTTGTTCTAAGAGATCTCCGCACCTGAATTGCAAGAATCATCTTCGTTGAAATTTTTTATAGGAAAATAGGCCCTCTTGACTGATCATTGTATTAAGATACAGGCAAAAAGAACCCTTTTCCAATGTATGGCATCTAGATTAGGGGCGTAGCGTATTGACCAGAGGTGGAAAAAATGTTTTTCTTTCTGGGAACCTAAGAATCTGGCTCAAAGCTTTCTGCAAGATTTTAAGGGGTAGACAAATAAACTCTCTGTTTGTGCCTATATATCTCTATACTTAGTTGATGTATAGAGAGGACAAACTTAATTTTGAGAAGTATGATACTTCTCATTTGGATGTTCAATTTGTTTTTATTTTAATGCTTAATTTGCTTTTTTTTTCTTAAAGTATTTCTATAGAAGGTTAAATGGAATGCATAAAATTGTCAGACGAAAACCTCTTAACATTTCAGTGTCATTTAACATCGGAGATCTTGACTATTAGTCAATGTCAAAGCCTAAAAAAGGTGTTAATGTTATTTTTCCATGGGCAACTTGCTTCGCTGTTTGAGCAATCTGTTTAATACTTGGAAGCCACCTGCATGTTCTTTTAACTGTTCCAAAACAGTCATTCTCAACATATTAGATATGCCTTTACTTAATGCATAAATGCACACAAGAAAGAAATCAACTTTAGCTAGAAATCGATTCTTTCAATCAATCATCATGATGGAAAACCAAAATCAAAAGGACAATCCATGCAATAATCTCCAAACATAGTTTCAGAAGAGTCAGGGGCAAAATTATTTGAATTGTATGGTGCATTTTATGGAAAAGGCTTAGCCTAATCATTTGACAATTGAGAAGCAATATATGGTTGAAATGGAGTCCTAACATGCAACAAATTAACTGAACCAAGCATATTAACTTATGATCAATGCTGCTCACACTATGGTGCCAGAAATATTTTCTGTGAAAGTAGATTCCAGTCCCTATATTAATCTCAGTCTTACTCGTGGTGCTGAAAAAATTCTTATCATGAGTGGCTATCATTTCTGTGAGATGGTGAATGTAAATAATGTGCACAAAGAATTTCTTTCCAATGGAAAGATACTAATTTCCACAGTCCTTTGGCAGCTCAAATTTAGCTGCTGACAGGCGAGTTGAAATAATATTTTCTGCTAATTTGACTTAACTTATGTCACCAGATTTTTACATTTACTTTAAAATTTTCTGTGAAACTTTCTGCCAATATCCTCATCTAGAAAAATTTCTGGGAACTACGTTCCCAGGTTCCGATACTTTTTCCACCTCTGGTATTGACTACCCTGGAATTTTTCTAAGATTTAATCTCAACAGTAACTTCGCAAAAATTTTTTGGTATTCACTTTGCAAGGAAAGCAATCATGCCAAACCCCACCCTCCCAATGAAAAAGCTTACACACTACGCCTCTGAGAATATAAAAACAGCATTCGTGGGGTTAAGATTTCAGCTACCCAAATAAGGTTAGAGTAATAATTTTTTTGATATCAAGTATTAAGTAAAGACGTTAATTATGTTAATGAAAACACCGTTAAGAAATCAAATTAGCAACTTTAAATCAACTCATTATATCGAGCTCTAGAGCAACAATTCAATGAGACTAATAATCGGAAACAGTTTTTTTAATTCGCTGATTTACAGTTTTTCGGTTATCTAGGATTTCCAAGGGCAAACCTCCGAAAACCTGACAAAATTTCTAGAGTGCATTTGACTTGTTTAGAGAAACAAACCCTCAAACTGAACAGAGTCAGGTACTTACTTGCTCTCGCAGCAAATTTAAGGTATCCATCTGAGATTTTCTTTCAGCTTCGTCCTTGGAAAACTGGTAATATGCAACACCATGATCTCGAACCTCTGAAGCAAAATATCAGTGAAAATAAAGACAGAATTGCTAAATTACTCAAAAATACCTGTCTCAGCAGATGCGATTTACTTTCAAGAACAAATATTTAAACGTGAAGGCTAGTGTTAGTGACTAAATATTAAAAAAGGGGCAAGCTTCTAACGAGAAGGGGTTTTTCCAGATGCCATCTTTGAGGAGATTTCTATGATTCGTTCTGCACAAACAATTATTCAAGGCAATAAGTACTATTGCGACGATTAAATTGTTTAACTCGGTAAAAATCTTTGCAACTTTTTTTCAGAATATCATATAAAATTCGAAGTGAATATAGCTACCAGTCAATGTAAATAAATGATTATCCAGGTATTTTTTGGAACATTCAAAGGACCGTGTATTTTCTGGATTTATAGAAGCACTTGTCTCAAAAAATTAAAAACAGCAGAAAACTGTTAAAGTTTAATCAACTTTTAATGACCATGTACTCCTAATACTGAAATATGATTATCTTTCATCAATTTCCAAAATATTTGTAAAAGTTCGCTTTGGCACTTATAGGAGAGGAATGATAAAGTTGGATACAACTGGGTTGAAAGCAAATAAAAATGAATGGATTAGTTACAAACCATCAAACAAGACATTTTGATAGTGAATATCACGGTCTCCCTCTTGGATGAGTTTTTCTTGTTCTTCTTCCCACTTTTTTCTCATCATATCCCGTCTCATATCTTCTGAAAGCAATGTTGGTGGGCTTGGAGATCTAACAATGAACACAAAACACGCCACATAAAAATTTATCACCGTCCTTGTGTATCGTCCTGGTTAGAGATATTGGAATATATAAATATATGATAGAATGAATTCAAAATTGAATTTTTTTATTGTCTTGCGTCAGTTTAATTCTGCATTTTAATTGTCCACAACCACAAAAACCTCGAAAAAAATTATACACGCATAAACTTTAATAAAGCAAAACTAAGCTTAATGAAAAAGAAATACATAAGTGAGAAGCAAAGAACCCACAAGATGATAGTTGTTTTTAACATAATTTATAAAAGTAACTCAATATTTTGGGAAACTGAGGAAAAAACGAAAGCAACAAGAATGCTACAAAAGCCACGTTTACTGCCAGCGAAGAAGCTAGCAGGCCTTTGCTATTTATTAACTGAAGAAATAGTTAGCAAACTCGGAGCTAATATAGCAAGCTATCGTGGAAAATATTTTGGCAGTCTATATGCTTGAATCTCACCTGTTAACGGGCCTAAATTCTTGATCAAGTGACTTTAACTTTTCAAGGTCCCTTTTCCGGCATTTTCGACTTCGGCCAAGGGAATCTTCAAACTCAACCCTTAAGATGACAAGGAAGACCATTGTGAATTTTTGAATCAACGGTGAATATACAAAATTTAACAAAAACTTTGAAATACAATTAGTTGTTACAAATCTCACTAATTTCAGAGAAAATTTTCTCGAATAAGCCAACTTTTACCAATATCAAATAATTACTGGAAAAAAGGCTAGTGTAGCAATAAAGTTATCATTGCTGACCGCTCATCAGAAAAGGAAATTTTTGATGGCGATACCAAAGATTGATCAGAATATGTGAATTTTGAAAATTCTTCCTCTCCTTTCCATCGTTAAGATAGTGATTACTACTCGTTCAAATTTTTTGACCCATCTTCTCAAAAAAACCTTTTAAGAGGAAGCTTTTGGTTTCTCATTAAAAAAAATCAATTTACGCTTCTCAAAAGTATAGAACATTTACAGATAAAAAACATTAAAGGGACTGAAAACCGTTGAGATAAAATCTTTATACCTACAAATTCACTAAAACTGTGTTTATAATAACTGGTAAGCTCTGCCCAAGAAAAAAACGCCATACTTACAATTCATCTCCAGAACTATCGCATTCGTTTTGTTCCATATTCATAGCCTGATAATGAAAAGGCATTGACTATAATTGTGAACACAATATGAACTGGAAGATAAAAGGAAATAAAAAAGAACAGGCAACTCTTCTTTGCCAATACGATATATAAGGGGTAGAGCAAGTTTTGTATAAGCAAAGAAACTAAAGAAATTATCTGGAATCTTTTACAATTACGATATTAACTTTGGAGAAGGTCTCACAAGAGGGACATACGATGAGTGACAAAGAGTGAGAGGGAAATATCTAAGCAAGGAGCGTGTAAACTTTTGTATTTTGGCCCAGATTCATGGTTTTTTGTATCCAGGAAGGGTTGGTAAGGCCAGGAAAGATTGAGCAAAATTCAAAACACTTTCATTGTGAAACTATCACTGCATAGCAACGCAGAACTGCAATATCTCTTTGTTGCACCAGGTAACCTCCCTGGATTAGATGCTGACTCCCAGTCTCCTGCAATTTGAAGTAGAATGTCAGGAGGACATTAAGTTCCCCATATGCATTCCAATTACAACTTGTCACGTTGTACTGCTGGCGCCATTCTCTCGACTCTATTTCAATGACTTGTATATTTATCATATTACATTAAGCAATGAAGCCTCCCTGTGTAGCTGTTCATTAGTAAAAGAAATACTAAAAGTTATATCTAAAAAGTTTAATGTTAGTTTGCCGTTTGGTATTGCATCTTGCTAGAATGCTTGCCAAATCAGGTTTGAAGCTACTAAGATTAGGCAGTGGTGCCTCTACATGTCTACTTCTTGCATGATCCCTATTTATGATTAAATGTAGGTGCTTCTGGAGGTTTTAGTGCTTTTCATTTGAGAATGAACTTCGATGCCTCAATAGCCATAGATACAAAACACTTCACGCCGAAAAGACATATTTTCAGCAAGTTTTCTATTTTGTAAGACATTTTTCGAATTTTTAATTCTGAACGAAGAAGGGCAAGAAACAAGGGCCACTAGAAATTTGCTGACGTACCAGATTTGGCCCGGGGACCGTAGGTTCTCCATCCTCTAAGCTCCAACAACAAAGCAGTTATCAAAATGATACAATGCATTGTATCAAGCTGACAATACAATAATTGAAACGCAAGCAGAGTAGATTCATTGACGGATTAAATTTTGACCCTTTTAGTAAATAAGAAAGGGAAAGGCCCAACCAACCCATTTTAATAAATGGGGAAATGGCATTAAGAAAGAAAGAATGAAACTCACATTTGCATCTGAGCCATAAACCTTCTTGTGAAAATCAACTAAATAGAAAGAGTCGTCTCCATCTTCGGGGTCTAAATAAAAAGACGAAACTTTGGGATAAAGGATGCTTATTGTCAAAACGTGTTTGTTAATCAAATTCATTATATACACATGCGGATGATTTCGGCCCGATGCTGGATACATTGAAATGATAAGAGCAGTGGAGGAGACCAAGTGTGTAGGAACTTGGGGCACAAAGGAGCACGTTTCCCCAACTTTTGGGAAAATGTCTCTTATCTAGAAGTTTCTTTTCCTTATCTTGGAATTTTTGGAAAAGTTCCAATTTTGAGCATTTTCTTTAATAATTCCATGACCAGTCCCCAATAATAGTTTTTTTTCTGTTCATTTTTGTGTCTTTTCTTCTTCTCTCATTTTCGTACTCTATCTGTTAAAAGTAAGGTGAATGCAATCAACAACAAAAACAACACCATCAAGAAGGGAAATGCATACAAAGTGCGTAGAAGTAGCCGACAGCACATATAAAGGCCACTCTTTCCTGTGCCCCGACATCTATGAAGTGCTTCGGACATCCTTTGAGGAAGTTGACAAAGAGAGTGAGGGAAATCAAACATGCTGTATTTTGCTTAACTAAAGATGAAATTCTACATTAAATAGCGGTTACATTTATATACTGCCTGTTGTGGAACCCCGAATGAGTTAGTGTTTCTCTCAATATTTCTAGCTCCTGTACTTTGCCATCTAGGATGCGGCATCTAGGACTGACCACAGCATCTAAATTCAATGCTGCCATCACAGAGATGGCAACCATACACACTTCTGTACCTAGCATTGAAGAACTACACGTTAACTGCAACATTTGCCTTTCTATGTCTTTTATTGGTTCAATGAAGTATGCCTAAAGAGCATTCTACTACTGACAGGTCTCATTTATGCTTCATAATATCGGAGGTTTATTTTTGAAACTAGCCTTAAAGATCAATCTTCGAAAGAGGTGCTAATGAATTAAATCTTTTAAACTAAAGAGTCTTTATCGATGAGTTTTGAACCAAAGTTTTAATCCGAAATTGGAATAACAGATAAAAGATAGAAACGAAAATGTCGTTTACCGGTTTGGCAAAGCTAAACAAAGCTAAAAGCTATTAGAAAATTAGAGTCTTTCTTAAACTTAAGAAAGCAATTAATAAATCGAGCCTAAACCATGATGATCGGAGGGGGGGAGGCCTTTAGGATAGAGCTAAGCAGCAGAAATGAATTCAAGAGAAAAACACCAAAATTAACACAGCAAAATTTAATATACAGCCAGTCAGTTAAATACGTACAGAATGTAAGCATATAAATTTGAATGTCTCTAGCTGGAGTTCTAAATTATGTTGGACGTGCAAATCAAACACAATCTTTATATAGGGGAATCATCTGATGCAATTTATGCGTGATTTGACTCTATTGAGAATGTTGAAGAAATAGGTTATCAACCAAGAGTAAACAACGAAATAGACTATGATTGTTAGGTGAAATGCGTACTGGTAACATTAAAATTAATGGCATCTTTAATATTCTTCAAACGAAAATCAATAGGACCATGATTGCACGGGGATACTGAAGATCTTTCACAAGTAAAACATACTACAAAAAGGTGGATTGAACTTGAGCAATTAGCATAAAAGCTGCTTTAATTACTGGAAATACATGCCAAATATAGAGAAATAATGTGTATTCAAATACAGATAGCAAGGGCAAATTAGCTTAACAATTATTAAGTTCTGTATGAGATAAACCTACCAGCCAGAGAAAAACAGAAAATCTATGATGATAAGTCCAAGTCCTCAAGCGTATTTAAGCAAGCGTCCCTCTTCTTGATAATCAATCATTCCTCCATATTTCCCTGGTCAGCTTCCTTTTCAATTGTCAACTGTTTTACCTCATGTTTTATGGCAGGCATTTTATCAGCTTCAAGAAGCAACTTCCCTTCTTTAGTAAGCTTTGTGTGCAGAGTGTCAAGGTTCACATTTTTTGGGAGCCAAATTCGCCGAGCAAAATTCCTGTGATGTACATACGTCTCCTTTTCATCTTTGTTTTCTGACTTCTGCTCCCCTTGAATAAGAAGGTTATTTCCTTGCAGTTTGACAGTAAGTTCTTCTGGCTTGTAGGCTCTTACATCCAATACTGCCTTGAATTTCTTCTCATCTTCCTCTACACTCTGGCCTGCTTGCTGGATAGCTTGTGGCTTGACTTTCGGCGCCACAATCTCCAAAATGCCATTATCGTCGATCCTTGATGTGAATCCTTTCTCGTCTACATCAGATGGGATTGGATAAGATCTCTCGAACTGCGATGTTTCGTATCCAAATTCACTTTGCTTATGGTGCTTGCCACTCACCAACAGCTTGTTTCCATCAACCTTCAAGGCAATTTCATCAGGGTTGTAGTGCCTGACATCCAATGTCACCCTAAAGTTGTCTTCATCTTTGCCTTTAACTTGCTGTTGCTGGCTCGCACTACGTCTGAGAATTTGTCGCGTTGGATCAATGTATGGACGAGCGAGTTGATACTGAACTGGCGGGAATGTCCAGTCAAAAATATCATCGAATATACTGTCAATTGGGTCTGGACGCAGAAGGGGGATGTGCCACAATGCCATTTTCCTTTAAGCTGGAAATAGTGAAAATATATTTTAGTCTTCAGAAATTGATAGAAACGGTAGAAAATTGCCATCAGGTCTACTAACACAAATAGTGTGCTACTTGGTTAGTCGTTATGAACCGATATATGCTATAAAATGTGCAAACAGAGCAGGTATTTTACGAAATACAACTAGCATTGTAAAGAGTTATAATAAGCTACACATCTCAAAAAATGAATATCCATTTGCCACTCATCAGGATGCAAAACAAAAAATATATTGCATTTTCGCAGTTTTTTGGCAGCTACGTTCAGAAAAGGCGCCTGCTAATCAGAACTGATGATACCAATTAGCTTACTGATAACAACAAAGCTAACAACGAAAAGAAAATATGATCATACCTTTAGTGCAACCTTTCTTTTCAGCTACCACTTCGCTTCAAGTTTTCCTTCAGCTTCTTCTTCGTATCTCAAGTCTCGCCTTTTATTTGCAGCTCTCGTATTCTTGCTCGGCTACAGACACCTATCTGCCTTTTATATTGTTCTGGTCGAACATTCTTGAAAACCAGCCTCGTTTCAAGGGAACTAGAAAATTCTCGATTTCTTTCTCGATTTGTACTTGTAAACAAAAAGTTGAGGAATCACCGAATCGACAGATGCCAGCAATTTGAAGAAGGCCTCTGGAACATCACAGAATTTTCAAGAAGATTCCGTCGCTATTATTCAAAGTGAATGTTGAAAAAAACGGAAAATTATCCTTGCAAACACAAACTGAGCAGGGAAGAGACCTTGCAGCGATGGTCCCCGATCGGTAATTATTGAAGGATCGTTTTGCGCGAGGACTTCGGGGACAGGGACGGATTGTGATGCTGTGGAAATAAGCCCAACAATTAGATATGCAGTGATTTTCAACGTATAAGTTTGCTTTCCCTTTTACTTTGATCTTGGAGACAAACTATCCCGGGAAACGAACAAAGGAAACGAAAGATTGGCAAACGGTTAACGGGGTGCATATCCATAGGAGAGGTTTGAGAAAACCTTCTCTCGATATTAATCGAAATCTGTTTACTACTCATAATTACAAGTATTATAAATTATTATTGACGGTTCGCTCGGAAATCATAACATTTAGGCCACCCGAGAAAGCGAAGACTCTTTGACAGGGGAGTTTAAAAAAAGCAGAGGAAAGATAACAAAAGCTAAACTACTGTCAGTAAAGATATCAGAACCTTCTACCCCTTTTCTATCAATTAACAATTTTGGTCTCAATTTATCTTTGGAAATTTCGAGAAAACTTTTCAGTTCCACGAAATTTCTCGATTCAGATTTTTCTGCCAACAGAAAACATCTGATTGGTTGAGACAGAAAAATTGGAGATTCCCCCAGGAACGAAAGGCCTAGCCAACGAAAGCTGTCGCTGGACGAGAAGGCTCTAGAATATTCCCATGGATGGCACAGCGACCAAGCGCGTATAAGCGGCATACGGTTAAACTCATGACGACGATCGCAGAGTGCACAGGCAAAGTGATTTCTCAACTGTCTCTGTTCAATAAAATGCGCTTGCTTGCTATGAAAAAGCCCAGACTTGCAAGGCTGAATTCGTGATAAGGTTCGCTGGGAAAAGCAATCTCAAAAATTGGGAAAGCAATCTCAAAAACGGTCCCAATCCGTGGTTTGCATCCATCCAAAATGGAGATTGGTGAGTTGTGTCAAGCTTAAGAAATTCCCATATCTGACTTTATTTATATGATTCAGCAAAAAAGCGTCGTGGGTATAAAGCACAGTCGTTTTCCGTTTTAAACTTGCTGTCTCTAAGAGTGCATCAGAAACTTTATGTCCACATTATGTTTGCACACAGTTTATGCTTTCTCAAAACCGGTTTCAGTTAGCTTGATCACACAGTCTACAATGCAGTTTAGTTTTGTTTTTATCTTCAGAGTTTGATGTAGTTTCATGAGAAAATACTGGTATTCAGAATAAATGGTGGCATCTTATGCTTGGAAATATTGTAAAATTAAATAGAAAATTATAAAAAAACATCGCAAATCTGTAAACATTTCACTAAGAAAAGCAAAATCAAATTACAACATCATTATAAGCATAATTATATGAACTTTTAAGAAACTTAAAAAATGCTTTCCACATCAATTTTTAGGTGCAAACTTGATTCAGTGGTTAGGGTCACAGACTGCAGATCCAAGGGTCTGGGGTTCATGTTCCAGAAATGACAAAACTTTCATCCAGAGTGAGGGGAATCATCAGCTCTCTGCATTTCCAGGCACATTGAGAAGAAAGGCCAGGACTCTGCCTGATAAGCATAGCTCCTCAGTGTTCTAAAGTCTACCTTCTATTTCATTATTTAATCTATCTCAGAGGCCGACTTTTTAAACAGATATTTGCTTTTAAGAGAGACTGTCTTAACTTTGGTCAATATTTAGAAGATATGGCAAAATAAATAACACTAGTGCTGGTGACATTAGGCATCAAATTGCTTCCGACCACCCACAAGAACTCCCTAGACATGCTTTTTATTGCACAAGCAGCCTGAAGTTTCACTGACTAGTTCTCTGTGTGTTCCTTTACAAAATATGTCAAGATATCTTGTCTGGTCTTAAGGGATACAAATTCAAAAGGAAACATTTCCAAGGGCAAAAAGAAAATTCCTGATTTGATTAATAAATTGGCTGATTAAATAAAATGATTAAAAGGATATGGTTGTATTTTAGAACAGGAGCAAATGCCCATTTTAGTACAAGCAATTTCTTCTGTTGTGCTAGTTTGAAAAAATGGTTTCTGGTTGTTTTTTGCTAAACTAACAAGTGCTTTAATTGTCTAAGCTGCTAAACTCTAAGATGTGTTTGAAATTTCTCTGTGTATGCTATTTAATTGCATTTCTGGGGCATAATCACTCTAAAAATGCTTTTTGTTAAATTTTTCCAAGAAACTTCTTTTGGGTTTACAAAAACCTTGTCTGCTTTTTCAAACAGCCTATCACCTCGAAAGCATGTTTGATAGAATATTATACTAAATATACATTTAAGGATGTCTCATCCTTTTAACAGAACATGTTTTGAGTAATATCTGTAACTTCATACCTTACTGTAATATCATACTGTAATATCATACCTTCAAGGTCTCCTTTGCTCATTTTTTCATATAGCTTTGCCTTTGCTTGTAATTTATATTTGGCTTTTTCATACTCAGCATCATTTTCAGAACTTTTGTAACTGCTACTTTTGCTGCTATCAATAATCTTTTTTTCATCTAGTTTTCGTTTTGAGGGTATCTTCTTTTTCCCAGATAAAAGGGCTATCTATTGAGTATAAGTAAGAATACTTTTATGCATCTGAACAATTATAGCTGATTGTTAAATACCTTACTGTTTTTTATTAAAAGCGAACATTGTCAATGAAAATGTTTAGTTTCATGTTAATGGTTACACTATAAAGTAATAGATAAGTGTCAAGTCAAATTGACTGTAACAGTTTGATTTTCTGCTTTTTCAAATTTTGAGCTATGAGAAACTTTTTGAATAAAATAATGTTATCCATACCTGGCTACATGTGAATTTGGTTGTCAGATTATAAAAAAGAGATTGTTACAAAAATAGATACCTTGTCCAAAGTTTTACTCCCTTTGGAATGTTTGTGTTCTTGGCTTTTTGCAGCCTCAGATGTCAGATTTTGCTTAAATTGTTCTTCTTTCCTGTATAGTTCAGCTCTTAAATCTATAATCTGAAATCAGAAAAAATATAAACATTAGGGGGGTCTTTGGTGGGTATCAGATAACATCAATCAGCAAGAAAATTTACCTATTACCATAATTCTGCAAGAAAATTGTGATATTACAAAGTTTTCAAAATGAAAACACATTACTGAATACACAATGAAAAACAGTACAAAGTTGATAAAGATTCACCGAAGGAACCACCAATCTTGTGAATCACTGAAAAAAATCAATGAAATTGAGTAAGACTAAATAAAAAAATTTGAGACTTGACAGGTATGCATTATGAACTGCTTTTCTTGTGCAATCTCTAAGTTTTTTTCGTAATCTTTTGATCTTAAATTGTGTTCACTGCAAGTTGTACTTCACTTGAACATTGTGTTTATCATGCCCAAAAAATTCAAGGAAGTTTATTGCCCCTTTCTGAAACTTGTGTTTGTGTGTAATTCCATATGATGTCCATATTTGGCTTACTTTAGTGCTGCAGGCATCACCATAAACAAAGCACACAGGTTTACATCAAAATTGACTGAAAAATGCTGCAGACTTAAGCAGCGAGAGTAGGGATGTACCGGATATCCGGTAGGTCGGATAATCCGGCGCCGGATCGCTGATTTTTTGAAAATCCGGTTCCGACCGGATTGTTTCCGAAATCCGGCCATTTGCCGGATTTTCCAGAACTTAACAAGATCAACGATAAAACAAGCACCTTGAAACCGGGGTCAAATGAAAGTGCTCGTCATCACGAAACAGAAAAATGGATGATATAATTCACAAATTTGGTCCAGGGTTGCTAGATTGGCTTTTTAGGCCAAATTTTTCATTTTTGGTTTTTAGATTTAGATTGCTTGGAAAAATTGTTTTTTTGCTTACTAATGAACTTGACCCTGTTGGCCTTTTCAGCAGAACATCTAAAATTAATGAGTAATTACTAAATTCATGGAATAATTAGTAGTTAACTACAAAGTGTTAACCAACTTTCAAATTTTATCACCTAACCTAAATATTATCTTGAAATTAGCAAAGGGTTTTGGAAAAAAGTAAGATTCTTATCTAAGTTATGAAATTATCTAACAGGCACAAGCATAGAAATATAACCAGTGCCTGCTCGATGAATTCTTGAGAAAGTTTTTTATTTGGCCTTTTTATGAGAATTTTGGCTTAAATTGCTTACCAGTCTAGCCTTCGTTTGTAAATTCAATCTGGCAACTCGAATAGGTCTCTTTGATCTTCTCGCTATACATTTTTTCACAAAGTGGCTCAAAACTTTTTATTACTGAAAAATCCATAAATGGCCAGATTATCCGGCGAAATCCGGCCGGATATTCCACGAAGAAATCTGGTAAATATGGTTCCGGCCGGATTCTGAAAATCCTGATCCAGTACACCCCTAAGCGAGAGTAGATTTAAGAGTTATTTTACCACCTCCAATCGGGGAAAAATGCAAAAAATAATTTTTTCCTTTAAGAAAGGCATAAAAAATTAATTCCAGTCACAATGTTTAAGTTTGTTTTGAGCAGTTAAGTCTGGTCACTTGTCTGAATTTATTGAAATGACACTCAATGTTGATGCTATTGCAACCATCTATCATTTTATCAGTAACTTTACACTTTTTGAGTATGAAAGAAAAAAATATACTTCAAACTTTTTCAACCTGTGAATGTCAGTGGTGCTTCATTTTCAAATTATACTCTGTTAATTATACTCCCTTATATCTATGGTTCAGACTGGGGTACTCTTGTCCAGACCCCTGGCCATAAATGGAGAAGGCCCCGTCATAGAAATTTGGAATTCTCAATTTGACATGCAGAAAAAAGATTTGATATTTAACCAAATCAAACCTTGCCTCCAAGTTCTATTTTTAGACTGGGTTACTCTGATACAGACCCCTAATTCTACCATTGGCCATAAGCAGATAATGGTGATTGAACTTTCTTGTTAAAGGCATTGAGTCATGATAAAATGGATTGGGTATACCCTAAGTGCCAAAATCCGCTGAGTCATGATTTTCATGACTGCGATGCTATTGGTTGACCTGGAACTGGTCACATTAACTCACCTCGTACTGATTGACAAAGCAATTTTCATCAATAGAAAGTTTTGAACAACGGATGCAAATATCACATGAAACAGCAGAAATCACGCCGAAACCAAATTACCCCCTATAGAGAAGGCCTATTTACCATGACTCAATGCCTTTAAGCATGTCTAACTCAGTGGTGGCGCTAGGTTTCCTCCGACAAAGGGGCTAGCACTTCCGACGGAGGGGCTAATTTTTTTAGAGAACGATAGGGCTAGGGGGCGACAAGGAATTGTAAGGGTACTGGAGACCGAAGGCGAGCGTTGCGAGCCGAAAATTCGGGGGGTCCGGGGGTACTCCCCCGGGAAAATTTTGGTGGCTACACCCATTAGATTGGCTAAAAATGCTATCAAAATGGTGTAATCGTGTTTTTTACTACGTTTTTTGACATATTACTAAGGGCACGTTTGCCCCCTCCCTTGCCCCTCCTAGCAAAGGGCAGGAGGGGCGCTTGCCCCCCCGCGCCCCCCTTCTCCGGCGTCCCTGGAAATTTTTTTTGAAAGCTGCCTCTAGATAAGCTTAAAACTACTCTAAATCTTTACAACTCATCAAACGTTGCCAATTCAAGTAGGGCCTATCTTTGGAAAGTATGAATTTAAATAAAAAGCAACCAACTGAACTTAAGGAAAACTGGAACACAACGTAACTTTATAGGAACAGACCTAAGCGGTGGAATACGCACTTCTACATATCGAAAATTCAAGTCCAAGAATCAAAATTGTTTCACAGAGCAATTCTACTCTTCGGGAACTTAGCCTTAAATCTGTCTACTACTGAGTCCAAGTCAAGAGCACTTCCACGGGCACGATGAATACCTAGCATCATCAGACTGTCTAGACGCTCGTCCTTCATAAGTGAGCGCAGATCACTCTTGATGAGGCGCATAGAGCTGAAGCTGCGTTCACATTCGGCTGAAGAGACTGGCAAAGTGCATGCGATGGATACAAGCCGGTGCAGCTCAAAGAAAGCTTCATTTAGCTTTTCCAAGTGTGCCTCTAGTTGCAGAAGTGTGCTTGGGCGGTGTTTTTCTTCTTTTCTTGAGAGCATATATTTAAATGTGGCAATTTCACTGCGTAGTGCACCAATTTCAGACTGAAAAAGCTCAGCAAAATTGACAAGAGTTGTTGGGTCCAAGTAGCTTTTCGACTTGGGGGCCAATGCAGTTATGCCTTTCATGATCTTTATGTTTTTTTCGTCAAACCGCTTGCAAAGTTCTGCAGTTGTTCTGTTTAGTATTTCTTTGACATTTTGTACGTAGCCATCAAACCCGCTTGCTACTTGAGGCTCTGAAGATGCTTCCACAACAAACTCTCGAAGAGAAGCAGGCGTTGCCCTCTTTCTTGGTGGTCTTTTTTCTTCCGGCAATTCCAAGCGATCCGCTGCTTCTTCGGCAGTATCCCAGAACTCTTGAATCTTATCCCTGCTTTGACAGTCATCCAGTTCATCTTTCAATGTTGCAATGAGATCAATGGCTTGACTCAAATCATTGGAGGGTTTCTGCAACATGTCAGACGCAAATTTGGCTTTGTTCAAGACGTGTCGGATGGCAAACAGGTATCTCACAAATTTCCTGTCAATCTGCAGAAGATAACCAGTAGCTTCTGTTCTGCGACCGGGGTTCGTATCTGTGTCAATCACATCCTGCAGGACTTCCACCAAGATATCCAACCGCTCCCAGAAAACATTGAATTGCTTCGCCTGGCAAGACCATCTCGTGTCAGAAACTTTTCCAATTTCCATCACATGAACCTTGTGATCCTCTTGGACCTTTACCCATCGTACATGAACGGTGCTGCTGCTCAGAAAAGAATGCAGGCTTCTGAATAGCGATATCATGTCTGCCACACAACTGATTGATTTCACAACATCGACGATCACAAGGTTCAATCGATGACAAAAGCAATGGACGTAGTAAGCCATTTCAGCACCGGTTTTCAGAGGAAGTTTCCTTTGAACGCCATTCAGGTGACCAGAAACAACAGAAGCTCCATCGTAGCCTTGCCCCACGCATGCTTTCATGTTGGCTTCGATGCGTTGCAATCGTTCAATTATTGTGTCTGAAAGACCATCTGCATCTAAACTTTGCGCCTCAGCAATGCCAATAAATTCCTCATGTATGGCATTCTCGTAGCAGTAACGGACTGCAACAACAAGCTGCTCTTTTTTGCTTCTATCTTTAGACTCATCTGAAAGGACGGTAAAATACTGAGCCTTATTGAGCTCACTTTTTATTTGCTCAAGAACCATGTCTTTCATAATGTCTAAGATGGCATTCTGTACGCTGTGGTGAGTATACTTTGCATTTTTCGGGCCAGTGCGGATTTTGTCAGCAACAACTGGGTCATGCCTTGCAAGAAGACCAAGTATCGCAAGAAAATTACCACAAGAAGGTCCATAGTCTAGAGCTTCTTTATTTATATCGGCAACACGAAATGAACCTCCAGTCTCACGTTGGGCAATCTTCCGCTGAGCAGTGAGAAGCAGGACTTCGCAAATCACTCGCATGTAATGCCTGTTGTCTTTAACCAGTTTCGAATAAGCGGCATCATGAAGTGTGGCAATGGTCTGAAAATTTCCAGACTTAACGTTTTCATAGTGCGCTTTAGCAGCTACACTTTGGGCATGAAGATGGCTGGTTTGATGTTGCAAGAGTTTGTTATCATTCACTTTGGTGCCATAGCATCTTTTCCAATTGCGCAAGCCTTGACTAACAAACGCTGGATCCTTCCGATTCTCTGAAAAATTACGACAGTGGAAACAGAAGATGGCATCCTCCATTTGCGAATACTCAATCCAGGGATACTTTTCATACAGCAAAGGTGTGAATGCGCGATGCTGATTGCCAATCAAATGTGTAGGGAAGGAAATATTACGAGGCTGCACAGGTCCGCCGTCTTTGGTTGAGGATATGTCCTTGGGGCCAGCGACGGATAGTGTAAGTTGCGGTCCTCTCGAATCTCCTTGAAGTGCTAAAACGAAAAAAATTATCCATCACACTTTGCAAACTTTTTTCCTGTTAAGTTCTTGGCAGTGCCCTATTTTATATCTGAGAAGTGCCTCTTTTCATTGTTTTAGACTTTTCTTTGAGCTTTAGTGCGAAAGAGGCTATGGGAGCCAAAGTGGCTGCTTATATGCAAAACTTTTCCGGGCGAGCATGCCCCCGTGCCCTTCTAGCAGGGTTTGCCTTCGTCTTCATTACATACCAAGGTGCCCTTTTTTCACGCGCCCTTCCACTTTTTAGTACCCCCCTACGCCGCTGGTTAATGGAGAGTTACGATTATATCTGATAGCTAGTTAGTATACCTTCGGCTGATAATCCTGCAGGATCAACTTCATCTTCCAACTCGAGTTCCAACTGTTCCAAATTTTCCTCGATATCCTCGTTGCTGTCGCTTTCATTTGCTGCTTCCACAATGTCCGACATCGACTGTTCGGCTTCCGAAATGGTGACGTAGTTGTCAGCATCTACATTCGTGACTTCGGGGTCCAAGCTAGAAGTTGTACCTGGAAGTTTAAACAAATGATTTACTACCCTGTTTTACATGTGTGAAAAAGATTATAATATCTCCTGGGAGATGGACAAAAAGGCATTTTTACTAATCAATCTTTTGTGACTCTTAATATCAAAATCATCCAAAAAATTATTTTTATTTGTAAATAAAACGAAGAAATTTATACGTCTAACAAGGTTTATTCCTCATCCAGTCATAGCCAGGTATATTTGTTTAAATATGTCGCAGTCGCAGTGAAATCCCATATTATATAGGTCCGAAAATAAGAAACTTTTAATTTCTGGAGAGCTAGGTTTCCTATAAAAATACACGTTTTTTTCTTAATAAGGAACTTGTTTATAAAAAAAACTAGAAGGATTTATCGTAAATAGTAATAGATGGTTTCCCTTAAAAATAGTAAAAAATAAGAAATTTGGAAACTATTAGTACTCTGGGCTTGAGTCAAGTTTCTTATAAATAAAAAAACGTGTACGTAGAAGCAAAACACTACAAATATGTATGGTTGGGATGGGGTAAAATGGCTTAGCTACTACGTAAATGAGTTTGATTGTTTTTATGGCTGAAGCCCTTTGCTAAGTGTTTTTCCTCGTATTAAAAGGACTTAAATATTAAAACGTATAACATACCACGTTCGATTTGCTCTTCGTCTTGAATTTTCGAAATTTCAACTTCTTGTTCTTCGGGGTCTTCTGTTGTTCTTTCAGTTTCAAAATCATTAACCTTTCGTTTCTTTGGAAAAGTACCGCCTTTTGATTGAAAAAATGTTTTTATTTTTCTCTGCTGCGAGTCCGTTTCAACTATTGCCGTCGTAGGAGCAGTCCTTCCCATTGCAGCCAAATCTTTGTGCTTGGACTTCGTGTGGCGGGCAGCGTAATCATTGTTAAATACGTCATTACATATACTACATCTAACACTGAAACGGGTAACATTTGTTGCCATATCGCTATCGCACAAAAATATTCCGATGTTGTAGGTTGGTTATAGCAAGCAAGATTTGGACGAACTGCACTATCCATAACATAAGATCAAATTTAACAGCATGCGGAAAACACCTGGTACTGAACATCTAAACAACCAATTCAAACTTCTTATAACAGATTATTATTTACCATGAAATTGATGTGTCGATGAGTTGTTTTGGGATGAGCTTCCTGAATTCTGATAACAGTCCTTTTAGAAATTTCTATTTCCGCCAAAACTTAAAAAATTCGCTCCGACAAAAAAAATTCAAGCATAATTTATCTTCCGACGGAGGGGCTAGCCTCCTCCGACGGGGGGGCTGTAGCCCCCCCTGCCCCCCCTCTGGCGCCACCACTGGTCTAACTGCCTCTATATTGAGAATTTTAACTTTTATTTCTATAACCTGGCTCTCTCCCTTTATGGCCACTAGTAGTATTAAGGCTCTGGACCATAGTTTCCCATTCTAAGAATAGAACTTAGGGGGCAAGATATGATATGGGTCTATATCACACGTTGTCCACAGGCCTTGCTCTAAGTAAAATGAAGGTGCTCCATAAAAAGAGCCCCTTAGAAACTCTAGGCGCTCTATTTCGCACCTGTAAGTAAATTTCCTTGAGAGCATCCTTCGAGAGCTTTAGGAGATCGAGAGCTTCAAATCGAAAGCTTCGGGAAATTGTTAAATATGAAATTCAACGGTGATACCAGAAAGCACCATAATATGAAATAACAAAACATGCAACAAATACTATGTTAATATAAATATAGAAATATAATAAAACAAAGTCGCAAAATTGTTCAGATTTTTCTAGATATGCAAGTTGCCATCATTCGATGAGCTTTTATCAGTGTCAGTATCACTACTGTTATGTTCAGTTTCACATATTGCTTCATCAAAACGCATGGCTTTAAATCGAACATTTAACTTTGTTTCCTTTTTTCATGTTATCCATTCTATAAGAAACGCTAGAACATCTACTACTCGCAAAAGCAAATTAAAAATGAGAAGCAATGCGATAATTTGGACGGGAACGTGATCGCTGATTTGTACAGGCGCTTTTAAGTTATTAAAAAAACTGAAAATAATATATACCTCAATAGAAGATTAACGCTTGCTCGAAAATCAAATAAATCTGCCGGAGAATACGCTTGATGGCCTGTGTCCTTGATGGTTATTAGAGGGTTATTAGGAAAAAAATGATATTGAAAACCCAACGTTGAATTTGCTGAATTTTTTCTCAAGGGGTAATCTTACGCAAATCATAATATTGCGGTCTGTTGGGAAGATTGTTTATGCTTGATCAAGTTGATTCAACAAATTCCAAAAATTTATTTTGCTCCGTGTTAATATTGTTTTTACGTTTTGAGGGGCTCTAAAAATCGCTCTCCAAGGCTTTTTTTGGGTGCGCTCTAGGTGCGCGCGCTCGATCGAGCGCCTTTCCGGGCAAGGCCTGTGTCCAGCATATCTGAATGATTTCATACTGTGAATTTCAACTTTCTATGACCTGGCCTTCTCTGTTTATTGCCAACAGTACAACTAGAGGTCTGGACCAGAGTACCCCAGTCTAAAAATAGATCTCATGGGCAAGATATGATTTAGGTCTATATCACATCTTTTTCAGTGTGTCAAACTGTCTTTATATTGTGAATTTCAACTTTCTATAACCTGGTGTTCTCCATTTATGGCCACTGGTAGTATAAGGGGTCTGGACCAGAGTACCCCTGTCTAAAAATACACTTAGGGGCAAGATATGGTTTGGGTCTAAGTTACATGTTGTTCAGCATATCAAACTTGGTGTTTGCTGAAATTTAGGTGCTTGTATCACAACTTGCATAATCCTTCCTGTTTAAAAGGCTATATATTGGGGACTTTTTGTATGTATCACTTTATTGAGTAGATTGTAATTACCTTGAATACCTATGTAGTATTGCTCCAAGCTGCCCCTGCCTGGCAATACTGATTCCTTGTGTGGACAGTTAAAAAGAAAATAATCAAATTGGTTGGGAACAATTTTTACTACACCTTTGATATTGGGAAGATGCCCTTTCACAATAGTTATAAAAGACCTGACACTTAAAGGAAATCAAACAAGATCATTAGACAAGTTTGCAGAGTATGGATGTTTTTGACAAGATTACTGGTGTTCTAATAGCCCTGTGCCTCAGGTGCGGGTGCATAAGAATTCCTTGTTTTTAAGGTGCATGCTTTGCATTGCATACTGGTCTTTCCATGTGTCCATCAGCCTAAAATTGTTTAATTTTCATTGCTGAATTATAAAATATTGCGGTTGACCATTCATTGTTATTTAGCCAAATTAACTTGGATATTGTATATTTAGTATAATTATGTTAACAGGTATATTGTAATTAATCAATTTTATGCTGAAAAAAATATTTTGAGTTTTGAGTTTTGATAAACAATAGGTTACATTATCGAATGCTATTCAAACATAGATCATTTTTTACCGACGATTAATTTTTACCAACAAATTGATATTTTTATTTTACTTAGGAGATATAGTTACTTAGGACAGTTTTACTTAGGCCTTATCGCTTAAAGACACTTTTATATACTGACCTCTTTTAACTATATCTTTGGCAATAGAAAATAAATTGAACGCGTAAGTTTTTATATTTTTGTGAGTAAATAATACGAAATCATAAAAGTTACAATTTGCTATGGTTTTCTGGTTACTGAGTAAACGGGTTTTAGATTCTTTAAAAGATACCATTCACTGATTTAACAGCCTCTTTGATACCTGCTTTGTCGATTGTCGAATCCATTCATAATCAATTCACTCTGCTGCTTTAGATAATCAAACATTTCAACGATCCAACGCGCATGCAATGGTTTCAGGACAATTTAATTGATACTTTCACATCACCAGAAGCTACACCTCTCCTTAACTGCTCACTATCACGATCTGCGTACCACGTGTTGAATTTGCAGAATAATAAGGGCACATCTGTTCCGATTATAATAGACTGATATAAAAGATTGGCTTTTCACATACTTTTAAATGCAAATAAAGGCAAGTAAAAAGAAAAACAGGAAAAGGTAACTTTTTGTAATGTTTTACATATAACCCGGCAAAAAATTTCGTCGGTAAAAAGTGACTAATTTTTGTATAGGTGACGAGTATTTAATACCAAAGAAAATTTTTGTCGACGGATTTGCTGACGAACTTTTTATCGAAAGGTAATAAAAAAGACTCAAATTTTGGGCTTACCGATGATTCGTTGACATTAATTGACTTTTGCATTGTTCTTCTGATTGATTCCAAAGTATTTCTTAAAATTTGCTCATACTATATTGTGTTTTATCTGCTTCCACAACAGAATTGGAATTACTATTACTGTTGAACGATTTCCTATCCTGTGCTTTCACTGAAAAACCAATCGAGGCCGTTCCAAAATGCTTGTCATTTGAAACTGAGGTCCTGGTAATTCCCGCGACTTTAGACCGAGGCTGCATCTTCCTTTAAAGCACCTGAGAAGCAAGAAGCCAGTCGTTTCGTGTTTCGTGTTTAAAACAATTGTTAACTTTAGCAGCTGTTTCGTGTATCTGTTGGTGAGTAATCTTTAAGATCTAGTCCATAACATGGCGTCGCTTGAAATTCTCGGGGATGTTTATTTCAAGATGTTCTCGCAACAGGCCCATCGTTATCAGTCTCAAGTCAAAGATCAGAAGTTTGATTTGTGTAGCTGTGTGTACAGTATTCTACATAAAAGAAACTATATAGATAACGTGCTGTAATATTCTAAGAAATATTTGCTCAAGCTTTTTATGTTTTTTTAGAAGTCATCGAAATAGCAACATGAAGCGGTTAGAGTCAAGTGGATCGGCAATATTTCACATGCTGGTTTCTGCTCATGGGCTTTATTCATTTTACTGGCTTCGCATGGTTGGAGGTTTCCGTTGGACGTCAATGTTCTACTTTACAATATGGTCATTGGTTGCCCAAATTCTCACATCATTCTTGTTCTTCCTGAGGTAAAAGGACCAGTTTTCAATCAATGCTTTCCTAATCTACATTTGAGTTTAGAGTTTTTTTATATATTTCAAGCTAATATGCATCAAACTATAAATTTGGATTCATGTTAACTAATGACAATGCTAACCTGTCATTTCAAGCTTAAACCACAGTTTCCATGGTCTAATAAAGCAGAGCTGAAAGCCTCATTGGAAAGATATATGGTATTTATTTGAAAATTCTTAGGTGTGCAGTTTTTAAAGGTGCATTTCAATGTTCAGTGTTATGTATTTAGAAGTTTAATGAAAGCAAAATTAAAATAACTACCAGAATCTTTACTCAGGCCAAAAGTGCAATGATGATTTCCAAATTTGACCAAAATATCATTTATGTTTTTTACGAGATTTAGTCAGAAGAGCATGTTACTAATCTAATATGTATATGTATATTAAATTTCACAAATGTTGACTTGGAAATATGTTAAAAAGAATATATTTAATTACTTCCAGTGATATGAAAGACCTTTTCAAAGAGGGGGACAAGAAACCAATCAAAGATGCAAAGATTAAAGCAAGCGTTGCTGCTGCAGAATCAAGCCACTACAAATTTATCCTGTTCCATGTGTCATTTGTGATGTCTATTGCCACTGGTATCATGTTTTGGGTTATATATACAATTGAACCAACAGCATTAGTACCAAAAGAATTCTTTTACCCTGATTTGTTGAATCATATGCACCATACCTTCCCTTGGCTGCTTTCAATAATTCAGATGTTTGTGTATGCAAAAAGGGAAATAAATAGTTTTTCCTTGAAAATGGATGTTATGCAAGCTAATGAAGTTGGAATGGTAAGTATGTTCATAGTTGGGGCCCTATACACTATGACTTCGGTTGCATCAAAGTTTTTCCGTGGGTTTTACCCCTATCCATTTATGAATTCTTTGACTTCAATACAATACGGCATTTTTAGTATGTTTGGTATGGCTTTTGCTTTAATGCTGAGCAATTTGTCTAATCAGGTGCTCTTTAAGATTGCAAAATCCATGCGAACACCCAAAGCTATCGCGAAAAATCGCTAGATGTCTTACCAATAGTGTTGTAAACACTTAAAGGCAATTCTATCTTAAATCATTTTGGTGAGGCTAGGCCAGCAACTATCTTCTGCTAATGTAACGTGATGTAAAAAACTTTCAATAAAGTTTGAGTGTTTTAAAATTTTAATCATGTTATGATTGAATATTGAATTCTATGTTTTACAAATACACAGTCCCTATTTTTGAGTTATTTCTTTCTAATAAAGATGCATTTGTCAGAAGTCCAAATAACACAGATAGAGTGATAGATCTATACAAAAAGCAACTTTAGCTTCTTTAGTAGACACATAAACAAATATCATCACATGATAAAACATAGATACAGTTCTTATAAAAAGCCAGAGGATTAATTTCTCGGAATAATGATAAATTACAAAATTGTGAATTATAAAAAGATCAAGTTTACAAAATTGGCAAAAATAAATAACATTTAGCTTCAAGATAGTTTTATCAACAAACACCAGTGCCAGGTTTTTCATATACCTTGGAGCAAAGCTAACATATTCTGAACTTGCCCATTTTATTAATTCAAAATCTCATTGTTTTTACATTAAGGCTACATTTTCATGTTCCAATTGCTTGCATAAACCCCATAGATCATCTATATTAGATTCTCTATAGTAGTTGACATGCTCAGAGAATGAAACTTTATTTCTTGTATTTAAAAGATTCAAAACTAATTATCTAACTTAACTAATCTTGCAAAATGATTTCATACATAATAGAAAATTATCAAGATGTGCTTGTGCCAGAGTCATGATTTCCTTCTTGGTGGTACATTATTTGTGACATTAACTGTTATCTGTTTGCGATATTATGGTAAAAAATCCCAAAATAACAGAAGGCCATCCACCAGTTTAATTTTTCTCAGGCTTCTATGTTGTTACCTTCATAATGATATCCTTAGGCCCAAATATTAGAAGTTCTCCTTATTGTAATAGAACTTGGTACCAGTTTTGTCATCATTGTGCATGTTGGACATCTTGTGCAATGTGTGTGACAGTACAGCTGGGCCACAGAAGAACACCCCAATGTCAGTTCTGTAAATAACATCACACTTTTTCAGTAAAATCTGGATAAGAATAGCATTGTAGTTCAAATGAACATGAAGTTTCCTAAGTTTTTTACCATACTTTTGAAACCTATCATCCTGATATAATGTTTCTACAAATATCATCAGAAATTGTTAGAAATTATACATCCAAAGAATTGTAAATATAGAGAATATGAGCAATTTACCTGGGATGATTGTCAGCAATGCCTTTAAAAATTTGGGCCCAGTTAGGTCTTCCAAAGTTCATCTTTTGCTGTAATCCGGTGATGACATCCCGCTGTGATCCTTGGTGCATAGCAATGTTTCTTGCCTGTGGAAGACAGCATGAGATAATTCCTCAAAAATATTAAAAAGCACTATGAACAGAACAAAATACATACAATCACAAACATACATACATACATTTTTATGTTAATATGCAGGTTTAGTTTTTGGCAGCCTCTTGTTGGCTGATGTGCACCTGCAACTTAAAAGTTCTAAATGAAAATAATTGTAGCATAAGAAAAATAAACAAAATTCTTAGCTATTATTATGACTAAAAATATATATGGACATGTTTACAGAAAATCTATTACTTAACAAAACTTTCAGCACTCTTCAAGTCTGAATTGAAAGTGTTCCATATTATTAATCCTCATAAAGGGAAAACCCTGTGAAGATAATACGCTATGTCAGGGACAGGAAACCCATTGCCAGCAATCCATATCCAGCCTGCAAGCAGCTTTCTCAGGAGTGTTTAGAAATATTCCAGGTAGTGTTTCAATTATGTACCTGATCATTATCCCAGCCTCTGGTGAGATAAATATGGTACTCTAGAAATCCTTGAAGATTCTTCTCCTCCATCTACAATATATATTGAAGAAGATGTTAAAGATTTTATCATACTTGCATCTTCATTTTATGAGATCATAGTAACTACTAGAAGAATGTTGCAAGGATATTTAAGAATGACTGGTTGAATGGTTGAGACTATGCTTATCTGAGTCAGATGCTAAAACAGCTTTAATTTTTACTCCATCCACTTACATAAATCTTTGTTATCATGTTCTGTTTTTTCAAAGTATAGAATTGAAACATTCTTCTGAACAACATCAAGATAATTTCTCACCAAACATTTTATGTGTGTTCAGTCTGCACAAACTGAAAGAAGTGTGTGAGAACAGAACTGACTATGATAGCCCTGCCTTTTCATTTCATGCAGGCAATCACCTAAATCCTGGCAAATCACCAAAACCCTGGCCAATGTTAAACCCTGGCCTAATTATCAATTTTGAAGATATCAAAATGGTCAGCATGCATAGAGTGATACCAAATTAGGTGCTTCATCTAGGCTAAGGCAAAAGGGAACTTTAGCCATGCAAATGGTTCCTACTTTATTCTATGTTTCCTACTTTATTCTACATACCTGGGTCTCTAAAGATTGCAGAAGGTCAGTGAACCATTCAAATGCATTTGTGTCTGGGCAGATCCAGAAGAAATAAACCTTGGTCACCTTCAAGTCAGGGCTTGATGACTGATACTTATACCTTAAGAGCAAGAACAACCAAAAATCACATTTAGGTAATTGATTCGTAATCTTAAGTGTTTTTAGTAAATTGAGAAATTTGAAGAAAAAGTGTTTCAATTAAATGTGCATGCCTTAACATGTTATGAAACTAACATGCTACCAAAGTGTCAATTGAAAATAATCTAGCCACAACAACAGCTTTTTAGACACCTGACCTCATAAAAGAGCACAATAGTCAGGGAAGGATTGGATTTGATCTCCATAAAGGCAGCCTAATAGCTGGAGAAGATCAGTAAGCACTTGCCTACAACCCAAATACATTAATTAAATGAAGTAAAGTCCAGGGAGACATTTTATGGAATTCCTTTTACCCTCTGTTGCATCAGATTAGTTATCTGTTTTGTGCTTACCAAATGGACTTCAAGATGGAAGCAAATGGCGTGACACCTATCCCAGCACCCACACAAACACAGACAGGATAGTTGAAGACGTCCTAGAAAAAATCAAATGTTGCCCATAAAACTGGAATGAAAGATGAGAAGAAACCTGTTTTTCCATTTTTAAAGGCAGTCTGTCCCCTCCATGATTGGCTAATTCCAACTTGAAATCCTTGCCTTTAAGACGGTCTTCCTCTGCCCTTTTAGTATCCAACACGAATTATTGTTGGTGAAGGAAATACGGTACCTTTAATAAGTGCCCCTGATAGAAGCACATTATAAAATTTTAGATTTTTGAAAGGAAAAATCCTCAAAACAAAAGAACCTTTCAGCAACATATTTTTGCTTTCACACTGACCGTTCCTATTCTGTTTTATTCTGTTCAAATGGCACGTTTGAATTGCACAACAAGATCTATATCTTGCAAGTTGCATCAATGGAAAGTGATGTGCACTAAAGGATTATCTAAAATGCCCTATCCGCAAAGGATGCCAATCATTAATAAACAAATTTACTACAAACTAAGCCAGTTAACCAGTAGAAGCAGTAGTTTCGTCGAAGACGTTGAGTATAAGTTGTAGCCATTTAGTTGGCCATAATTCGTAGCCAATTGATTCACAACCGCCACCCCCCATTCCCCCTCCCTCCCACTCTGTCGTGAGCTGGTCGGTACAGTCTTCAATTTGCTCGCGAATCTTTAGTTGGACGGTAAAACCTCTTCGAAAAATTGTTAGGAAAAAGACGAACAAACAGCTTTACCCTAAATTATATTCTGCATCTTTTCTTCGCCAACAATTTACGCCGGAGTACCCGGACCAAATGCATAAGGTTACCGAAACGCATATGACACCGGAACTTGAAGATAACATTTTCTACGTACTTCAAGTTAACAACATGCTTGTTGTGGTAGCTCATATGAGAAACCCTTTGAAATATCTCCAGCCTGCTTCACAAGGCTATGATTTCGCTGCTGATGTAATTTGCCGCTAAAATATCAAAGTCAGTTTACGCCACCAGGCTAAAAGTGTTGGAAAATTAGGCTAAAATACCCACAGCGCCGTATTAGTGACGGGAACTTCACTCCAAAGATCTTTAAGAAAGTGCTTTACTTTAAAAAAGGGAGTAAGAAAGCTTTGCAAAACATTCCAAAACACCAACACTATTCAACAATGGGCAACGGGCGCTTCTGAAGACAAGTGAAGAAACATCAAATTAGAAAAATCTAGTAATTTCTCTGGTTCGAAAAACTTACCGTACTAGCCGTACCAAAAGGCCCATCAACTGCAACCCTGAAAACAGAACAATTATCAACAAATTACTGCAAGTATCTTAGATAAAAAGACTGAAATATTATAAAAAGCGACTAAAATATTACATTATTACTCGAAATAGCAAGTGAAATAACAGTATTAATCGAGTTTAGAAATTCAATTTTAAGTATTTTCTACTACCTGGGAATACTTGAGACATCAGTGGTATCACAGGCCTTTGCTAATGCACCTTTGAGGAAAATACTTCAAATCACTTTGTATACTGTAATAATAACATGTGAAAGAAAAACTAGATTATGGAAAAGACAAGAGGTTGAACACAGAAGCGAAGAAACGCTACACTCACCAGTCCAATCACCAACTAGCCGGATATGCAAGCTGAAAAAATCCTCTTCAGGACACTAAATTTGTGCAAAAGAAAGAAGTTGTATTTTTTAAAGAAGACGCATTTTCGTTACAAAAAAACATTAGACTGCCCTTATGTTTACTTAGGCAAAAGACTTGCTTTACAATTATTGTCAAATCATTGCGATGTTTAACACATCATTTGTGTTCATGAATGTACTGGGTTGGATACCGAATTATTTCGAGTAAATGCTCTTCTCCGTTGGAGAAAAAAGAGATAAAAAAACACAAGCGGACAGCGCAATCATGGCTTTTCAGCTTATGTTTTTTGCCGTTTTTTATAACATTAAGGAAATATAAATGCATTGGAAAGCCGCGGAGCAGGAGCCTTAAAAAGCTACCTAATACAGACAAATATGTTTTTAATGGAGCGATATTTTAATACAAATGGTTCATTAAAACATATTTAAATCGTGATCATATCAAAATCAATTTAAATCTCGAAATCTCTTCGTTTTTATCATAAACATCAGTGAGTCTTACTACAATGCTCAAAGAACATATTACTGTAAGCCAGCACTTCTGCACTGTACAGAACATCTGATTTTCAAATTCACCTTCAAGAGCACGATCTCTCTTGAAGTAAACACACTGTAGCTATTTTGGCAGTATTTATCCGGCGTTCTTCAATATACTTTAGAAGTGTACGGTCTTTTTCGTAAGAGCTTCATTTGAGATAATTTTTTGTTTACATTGGGTCCTCAATATTTGGCCGACTTGGCTATACACATCAATTTCTGCCAGTTGGCTTTGCTGAAAACCTTTGTTTGATTGATGTTCATGAAGATCATGGCAATGGTTGCAAACAATTTAACGGGCATTTGCTGCCCTCTCCCCCCTGGCACTGAAACCCTTGATTAAAGGCATTTTTCTGAAACATCGCGTTTGAGTCGACTCTTTTAAACGCCTCCTCGAAAACGCCTCTTTTATTGACAGCATAAAAATGCCCATGCAGTTTTTCGTAGCAATAAGGTACTTGTGTGTCATTTTTTAAAAGTAAAGTTAAAATAGAGGCTGGTAATCTCAAAGTATTTGATTTATACAGCGAAAGAACACCGTGGGTGGCCCCCCTTTCAACTGTTGGAGGAGTCATCAAAATTTAATTGGACCCATGTGCATCCATGATATCATAGACTAGTGTCTCAGAAGCAGATTTGAAGCATTGTAAAAACCGCCGCAGACCTTCCTATTGCTCTTGTCACTGACTGCCTCCAATGACACAACTTGTGAAATCAGCGGTTTGAATAAACCCAAGTTTTTTCGCTGACTTCCTGTTCAATGATGACAGTATGAAATTTTAACCCTTAAAAAAGGCAAGTGCATTCGAATGAAGCTTACAGGCAGTAGAGTATATCATATTTAACCGAGGAACGTTTGAATTAAGCATGCACAACCAAAAGGTATATTGGGATCAGTTCGAAAGCATTACTATTTTTACAATTAACTGAAACTTTGCAAAAATTAGAAAGGATTCAAAATCTTTCCAGTCAGACTATAAATCATGCCAACTCAAACTTACCGAAGTCAAAGTAAAGGGATGCCATTCGAGATTTGAAATGTTTGGGCAGTGCAAAAAGATGTACTAAAAATCAAAGCAATGTACATCAATTCATGTTTAAGGAGCTTTTCATGCAAAAATCTTAAAATCATTAAACCAAACATATGGTTGAAGGTGTAGAGTTTAATTTCTGTATTTGCTAAACTTGAAGGGTAAACGTTGGTGTGTTCACTCCATCTAGAATGTTCGAGAAAAACGTTTTTAGGTCAGTGTTAACAACCATCTTTATCATTAACCACCAGCTACAGTCGAGCAGTCAAGGAAATAAAAACCAACACAAAATCAACGAAAGACTCAGTTAAAACTTGTGAAAATTTAGTTTTAACAGTACCAGGCAAACAATTTCCTTTTCAAAAAGCCAAGGCTCAAAATCAAGATATTTATATAAAGAACGGGACAATAATCTCACGATGAATTTATTAAATATTTACCTGTCCGGGTTCAGCATGAAAGCCTGGTTTTTTCATTTGGATTTCTAGAACTTTTGATGGATGTTTGACAACCTATGCGGAAATAAAAACATATAATATTTTTATGTGACTTCTTATTTTAGAATGATAAAAGTTATTGCTGTCAAAAAACTGACGCATCTGTCACAGTTTAAATATCAAAGTGTCCAAGTCAGTTTTGATGCAATCTGAAAAGGGGATAATAATAATAATAATAATAATATATCTCGCTAAATCTCTGTTTCGGAGCAGTTACTATACCACAAACACAGAATTGCCAGGAAAGAAGTCATGTGCAGTATAGTACCACAGGTTAATTTTCACTTGAGTTAGAAAAAATTCAACCAATCTGCATGTGCAAACATGATTTCACTTGGAGAGTGCATAAAAAATTGTCACAAACAACACAAGATAAAGCAACGACAACCGTACAAGAAGAATATTCGCATATCTAGAGTATAGAAAACATTAGATTGTGACCTAATTGTGAATAATATTTTCCAGGTATTCTGTTCTACCAGTGAGGGAGTCTTATTCCTTAATGGGTTGAATTTAAAGCATAGGGGATCTGCGGGGAGAGGGGTTTTCACTAAAATCCTTCTTGTTCTCGGGGGTTCCTCCCATCAAATTTGTATAGCACAGGTTAGCTCTTAAAAGAACCCATTGGTAATCGATATACAGCCATGTTAACCAATATTCCATAAAATCACTTAAATTCTACGTGAATTTTTCGGGACTCGCAGCTGTAGCCGTTTTTAGTTTACAGTATCCTTCAACTTGTAAATCATTGAATACACAAATACCAAGATGTTTAACAAATATTTTCAATTGAAAGCAACATATCTGATTTCCCCCTTTGCGTGCAATTCCTTGAATTCTTTAATATTGCTGTATTATAGCGTTATAATCTATAGTTATTAGCGCAAATTTTCCACCTTTGATATTTCCACATTTTGTGTTGATCTGTAAAAGCGAAGGCATCGTTCAAGAAGGTACAGAGCCAGAGGGCCGACAACCCATTTCCATGTCTGTGAGAAAATTGAAAGCAATGAGCAAGAGATCAACAAAGCTTCAAAAGATATTTAACAATCTCTAAATTTCCTATTTTCTTTTCATGAGTGTATTAACGAATACTTTTATGTCTTTGTAAACTTGCATCATTTCTTTGCAATGAATACTGCATAGAAGCCAGCTCAAATTCAATAATTCTCCTTGAAACTCGAGCCATAAACTTTGCAATCAGGACTCTAGTTTTTCGACTTCCAAACAGGTAATTTTTCTGGATTTTTTCAATGCAAAAACCTTTTCGCATTCAGAAACGAATGGTGGAATTTAGCAAGCAAAATGGTGCGGATGAACAAAAACATACCAATTTTGCTATGCAAAAACGTACCCTATTGAATATTGTAACACACTGCGCTTCACAATGTTACAATTTTGCACAGGGTACCAAAACGCATATAACACAGGCATAAAATAAGTTCTACTCGTGGATTGTATACTTCTTCGGCCTCCTAGGCCAGTCCTGCTGGCAATGCTACGTTGTAGAAATGCTTTACGCAAAATTCAGAAAATCAAATAAGCTTTCTTGGAGCAAACTGCAGTCATTTTAAAAACCAGTTAAATTATTCATTCCATCCATTACGATGTAAATAAGTATTTAGTAGCTGATTTGACCCTTTTCTGAGAAACGAACTATCATGAAATAATTATTCGTCTGCAAAAATTGTGAAATGCAGCAAACTGGAAGCAGAAAATAACTCGCCTGAGGACCTGCAGCACCAAATAAAGGTTTCTTCTGACAAGCAGGAGTTGCCGCCCAGTCTTTGTCTTTGCATACTTCGGGATCATGATCCTCAATATTTGTTTGTGAATGAATAATGCCCCTAAGGTGGAAAACATTGCATTACATAAGATTTTAAACATAATTACATAACAAACAAACATTGTGCAAATATGATATGAATCAATATGATATCTAGAACAGGACGATAAAATATAATACAATAAAATATAATATGATGTGCGATATATTAAAAATGATATATGTTATATTATATGGCAAGTAAAACGTACTGGACCCCATGAATGATAAGGCCAATGAAAAAGACAATGAACAGATGATGTGTGAACCAGAAGACTTCAAAATAACTCCTCCTGCAAGAAACAAAATTTATTCTATGAAGATAATCTTTATACTACTATTCATACATAGCTGGAACCTAATTCGTCCTCTTTATCATTTGTTTGCTGCACACTCGACAAAACGAAAAAATTTTTAAAAGAGAACTAACAAAAGCTTCTTTTCAATGTGTTTGTATTTATTTCACTAAAATTAAGGAAAACACGAAGTCATTATTGTTTATACTCAATTATTCTTTGATTATACTTGTCCTACCAACGTGACATGAAATTAGGCTCTGTGTAGCCACTGATCTAAAAAAATGAGTTTGACATCCCTGGCTTATAATTAAAGACCAAATCCGCTACCAAATTTACAAGCAGGCTGTTCCTTGCTATTTTTAAACTCATATCTAGCGTATTTTAGAGACAAAACTATAAATTAAAAGCAGGAGATTCTAAATCTCTTCAAAATTACACCAATGGCAAGCTTTTTAAAACTGACAGCATGTAAATGATAAAGTTGCTTCAAAAACTACCCTGTTTTGTATGTGTCTAGACCTTGCATAGCGAAATTTAACGCTGGAATATGGAAATTCTCATTGCTTACATGTTAAACACACACAAATTAGAGGAGTGAAATCCTACCTTATAAGTTCAGTTGATGACGAAACCTAGATTAACAAGTTATACAATCAAATCAAACAATTATAAAACTGAAAGCAAATGAAAGCTTTAAGTAACACCTCACGGTAATAAGATCTACGGACGCTAATAAATGTACTGCTCTGGCAATAAGGCATTGAGCAGCGAATGACAGACCGAGAAACAGTAATTTTCACCAAAAACCTGTTCATTCAAATGGGGGAATATTACCCCTTCCTAAAATCCCTTTACGAATGATCTCCTTTGGATTTCCTTTCTTACCTGTAACATTATCAATTTAAAATATCAAATCTTAGTGACATGTGGAAAATTGAGCAGAAGTCGACCTGGTTGCCTACAGATGTCTAGATGATTTCATATAAAGGCGGCAAATGCTTTTTATACACGAGCTCCCTTTCAATAAATTTCCTTTGTTTGAAAAAAGTGAAGGGGCATGCCCCGATATGATTCGATCCGACTTGCAAGAAAAAGATCCGCGTAGAACCGAACCGATCTTAAGTAATGTCAACAAAAATAAAAACAACAGCAGCAACAACAGTAGCAGCATGTAGATAATTCTCTAAGCTGAACTGAAGACATACCATTATGATCAGGCACATTGTTATAATAACACCAGAAACTCCAGCAACTAAAAGGGAAGCAATGTACCATTAAGTAAAGTAAGAAATATTAATAATATAATAAGTGTCGTCAAAATAATTCACACGGGGCATTTTAAATGCTTTTACGAGACACGTTGAAATGCTTTAAAAAGAAATTTTTTATGTTTGAATATCAATATATTTTCAGTCACTAGATATGCTGCAATACGCAGCCATTGAGCAAAAGTCTCCTTGATTTTACAAGAAGTATCAATTAGCTTGAAGTGATCAGCGAGTAGAGCTTCTATTTCAAGCTTTTAAGCAGCCAACTGCTACAAACAATATTCTAAAAAGAATAAAACAATGCATTACATTCTGTTTCCTGGGATACTAGAAAAGAATTCAAAACAGCATACGAGTCAAGTACACCCAGCTTTATTGATAACAAATATCGAAATCTAATTTGCAAACAGTGAGAATGAAATTACATTAAACCATATTTACTTAACAAACAAGATGATTGAAGATAGTAGTAAAAAGAAACGAAAAAATCTGTCCGTCATTTAATGGAACAAGTCATAATTTGATTGGAGTTTGTGTCTTAGTGATGCGGGAAGGTATTTTACTTATCTACTAGCTACTGTTAAAACGAGCATAAGTTAAAAGCAAAAATGAGTTCAGGAAAGTCATACAGAAAATTTGAGAACTGAACACATTTCTAGATAATTATTTGCGTACGAAGGTGTGGCTTTGAAATGGCCAAATGTTGTGCGGTGACCAAATTGCCAAATTAATGGGAGAACTCAAAAATAATTTCACAGGGTTCCCTTTTAAAGTGGTACAGGCAGTTCCTTAGTACAAAAATAGCCAGGTACCACAGAATGCAACCTAAATAGTCATATTTCTAGTTATCTCTTTATTTTAGCGACGACGTACCGACGAATAGTTTAATCTTGCCCATAGATAATTTTCTTTGGTACTTCTTTATATCATGATTTCAAGATGTTTAACTGACCTTTATTGTCGTTCTAAACATTGGGTTTTCAAAATGAGTAGAATCATCCTTAACTTTTTCTTTGAAATTTTTTCAAAATGCAGGAATCTTTTTCTAAGTTATTATTCTTGTTATTGTGCTGTTAACTAGATGTTTATTACAGTTTATGTAAATCGGCAACTTTTTACCGGTTTTTCCTTGTGTTGTTCGGTCTTGCCTGAATTTTATTAATGTAATGGAAAAAAATTCCTCTCAAATGGATTAGCAAGAAAACTAGTGTAACTTTAGGCTAAAAAAGTCTTACCAGTTTGTATTGCCTCGGTAACAGAGTCCTGCAGACAAAAAATATTCTTTCATAAAAATAACCGACGCTAGCAAATTTCAAAGATTAACATCATATAATATTGACTCAATCTCCTATTTTCAATATCCATGATTAATTCAATAGATAGATCGTAGACCGTGAGGTAGGCTAATATTAACAAATAAATGTGCCACGCCAAGAATCCACGTTGATTTCGTGGTTTTTGTAAGGTAAATTTCCCAAGCTTTGAATATTGTTCGCGGGAAATCATTTTTATGGTTCTAGATTATCTACAGGGTCGATTGTGACAACCATCTGTCTAGAGAGACGTTAAGGGTTACTTACCCCGTCTGGGTTTCTGATTGGATTGACAAAATTGTCACCACTTTCACTGTTCAGCGTGCTTACAAGTTTATCCGTACTTTGCCAGCTAGTCACGAAATTCTCCACGTTGAACATGTGAGCACCAACATGAATCGCTGAAAGAAAAATGAGCTGATCAAAAGACATCGATTGCTCGAACAATGTTATTTGCAATTTTCACTGGCTGAAGCTATTTTCTTTGAGATTTCGCAGATTTCTTTTAGATTTCACATCTTCTCATTCAGGGCAGTGTAGCTTTTACAAAATAGCTCTATAAAACTAAGAAGATAAGGCATTCCCACGACAGCCCCTGTTGACAAATTGTTAAGAACATGAAATTCAAGCAAAAACTAGACTTAATCTAAAAGGATATCTTTCAGACACTTTGTCCATTGGCTATGAGAAGTGAATACTTTACTCTTAATATTTCAAAGAATTGAATTCAAAAACAAATTTGCCCAAATTTGTTCCAATACTTCGCAATGAAATTCCAAAAATTATTACATTAAATGCAGTTTTCCAACAAAGTGACCTAATTTTGTACTGCATAGGGTAAACGCCTTGAAAATTGCAGCAGTGTTACGAATGCTTTAAATACAGCAACTAAAGACATTTAGACCAAGTTACGGATCTGCTTTCTGTTGCAAACAGCTGTGGAAATTACGGTTGGTGTATAGGAGTGGACAAGCTAAAATTTACTGTTAATAATGCGAATAAATAAATCTACCTGTTGCTATAGCGATCATGTATGCACAAACTCTGTGAAAGGTGATATTCTTATCGAGAAGACGCAAAATGTTTTGAGGCAAGCACTGCATAAAACAAAATCTCATTAACAACGCCCTATAGAATTTAATGATAGTTACTTGAAAAACAGCTTTTTCCAGTATTTTAAGGATTATAAACATGTAACAAATAGAAAAATGTATTACAGTTTGATCGCACGAAAAAATATGGCAAATAACAGCAAGCTACAGCTAAGAAATCAACTACAGCCCCTTCCAAAACTAACAGCAAATTGTTTTTAATTTGTTCTTCAATTACAACGGGATAAGCAATGCAATTGCTAGCCAGTGTGCACTAGGGGTGGGATGCTCAGACCTCATTTGCCAACAAAGTAATTGAGACATCCTTTATTTGCCAACAAGTTCACCGAACAAGCACCGCTCTAGCTAGTAAAAAACTCCTCGTTTTTGTCATGGTCTTTTTTAAGGAGGTTTCACAACATGGCCTCAAGAAACATTTTACAGGAGCTCAGCCTTTGCTTGATCTGAATTCATTTTTAACTTTTGAGAAACAAAGTCTGTAATCACTGGAGGGGCATTTAAGATAACTGTTGTGACACAAACTGTTCCCCCACTATTTAAAAAACTTCTTAGATACTTTTTAAAGGATTAATCGAGAGCACTAACTATTTTATTCATAGAAAAAAGAAGAAGACTATTACAAACCGTGCATTTGCTCCTAACAAGGCTGATAAGATTTCGGCAAACTGGAAGCAAGATGAGCATGCAGTTGAAATTCAAGACCATAGCAGCACCACGTGCAACAGGAAGGCCTTTTCCCTGCAGAAAAGAAAACATGAACGTAAGAGAACACTGCAAAAGTGGCAGCAATGTCACTATGACCTGCGCAACATTAACGCAACGTTTACACGCATACGGATATATTTGAATCGAATTTTCGTTTTCTAGGGTTTAATTTCTGAATATGCAACGAAGCTACGTGAAAATTATAGTAAATCACAATGTATGTGTGGATGATGGCCAGGGATGCAGGGGGGGGGGTCAGGGGGACGTACCTCACCGGCGACCAGGAGTAAAGGGGCGCCTAAGGCGATCCAATTCTTCAAAGGGGGCCAAACTCCCGTGGAAAACAATTGTGAACGAAAAAGGCCACTTGACATTGCCAAGCTCTGAAGAGGCGCATATTTTGATATGAAGACTTCTTTCTCTCATCTCTTTCTTCCTTCCTCCGCATTCCCGCGCCAATACGCCTTCTTGCAACCCGATCAAAACCTTTGACGCTCTAGAACCACTATTAGTTACCAAGCATCCGTAAGCAACCTACTGACTTGCTTGACCTCTCGGAGGTTGGAATACTATGGGAAATTTTAACAATCAGATTTAAAAAAAAATAATGCTTCAACTTTACAAAGATATTTTGCCTTCTATTTTCAACAGAATTGTTCTTCTTTTGATATTCTTATGCTCGTGTTTTATTGTTAAACGTGTTCCTAAAATTTTGTAATACTTTCACCGTCTTCATGTCGCGGTCTTTTCAAATGGAAAACAGATAAAAATATGGTACATAATGATAAAAATAAGCCTATGAATACTTTCTTATACCTCTATTGGGCCTAAAGCGACGCATGTTGTAGACATTTTGAGTGCAGTTTCTGGTCATCGCTAGAAAGTTATACTTTCAAAATTTTTCTTATCGCCAACCATGGTGGCTGCTTTCACTAACCCCTTTAAAGCTCTTAATATTTTTTCCGTAATCAAAAACAAAAATTTATGAACATTTCCATGGATCTTCCTGGTTTTCAAATCGATGTTGTAAATATTTTAGATGAGTTTTTAGAGTTCCAATACTAGAGTTCCTTCATGTTTGTAAAAAAATTTCTTGCTGCTAAACATGGTGGCGCCCTGAACCCATTCACCATCAAAACTTTATGGCATAATGATAAAAGAAAGTTTATGAATACTGCCTAGAGGATCTTTCTTCAATCTAAATCGATGTTAAATCATTTTAGATCAAGCTTCCCGCAGTCCCTTGCTCAACACGTACTTTGGACAATTGATAATTGTATTCAATTTTAGTTCTGTGCAAAGATTAGTTGCCTTTTGAAAGTTTTCATGTTTTTCAAAAAAATAACTTGGGGCAGAGGGCGCACCGGGAAATTTCCCGGTGTCCCGGTGGGCCAGTCCGCTTCTGGTCCCTATAATGGTATACTAGCAAAATTGTTCTTCCCGCCAACCATTGTGGCGGCCTTTATGAAACTCCTGAACAATGGTAACATTGTGCCCCCCCCCCTCCCATTTTCAATCACATTTCGCCGGCCCTAATAGAATTGTACAATGGCCGTAACTTTAGGGGGCGCCAAAAAGGTTGGTGCCCCCCTAGCCAATTTTAAGTCACTGGTGTGGAAGGCCGACTTCAATCGGAACGGAATACGCTACGTGTCCGCGTGGATGCAAAATATTGGATCTGCAACGATTAAAAAATATCCGCACTAATGTGGACTATGGTGTGGATGTGGCCTAGAATGAAGAACAAAATCCAACGAAAAACAGTGATCAGTATTTTATTTACAACGTTGCTTTCAATCTCTCGAAGCTAAATATCAATAGTGTTTGTTTTGAACAAGAATTTTAAGATTTTCATAATCAAGAAAAGAGAAGAAACAATGTTGTGAAATGGTTACATGTAGGTTGCCGTAAGTCTTTGAGGCAGCGGCTGAAGGGCTTGTTGATTTGGAAGTTTTTGGGAGGGGGCTAATTCGAAGGTGGGGGCTTCAATGAAAAAATTGCTATACCTGGAAGTTACAAAACAAATAGCCCTTTTTTTAAAGCTTATCTAAAATCCTGTAAATGGACTTTGATAATAAAGCAATGTGAAAAAGCTTTGTTTACTCTACTTGAGGGTTTACTTTAATGGGAGTTTACTTGACAGTTAGAGTTTATTGATGACTGTTTCTTTCAGGGTGGGGGCTAATTGTGGGAGGGGGCATATACAAAGGCAATTACGGTTTGTGTATTGATCCTTTGCTCCTAGCCCCAAACCCACAGAATATTGTCTTTATGCTCAGACTGTAGATTAGCATAAGTGGTGAAATTATAGGGAGTTCAATTCATGAAAAATAGAAATATATAAACAAGGTTGTTAAAAATGTCAGCTGCAAGGCTGAAAATACCTCACCTTCAAAAGTTCTTTTAAGTAAATATACCTCTTCTCTGTATCAAATTGAATGTATGTGAGAGTGAACAACAGGACATTTATACCCATCCACAGGAACTAAAAGAAAATTAAATATCATTCAAGTAACATATTTTTTAAATAAAGCCTTCGATTTTCTGGAGATCTGCCACATATCAAAAATATAAAACATATCATCAGGTATGTAAACAGTAGCAAGCAATGTGTTTCTAGCAAGATAGGGTCACATGAAAAATTGGGGGAAAGGGGGTAGCCCCTGAGAATCCCTTCAACAATGCCTTCTTCTGGATGTTTCAGTGCAACACCCTTCTGAATCCATATTTTCCATCAAAAATACAAAACAAATATGACCTGCCCCTTCCCAGTACAATGCATTGGCAAAAGTGGAGAGTTACAACCTAGCCTCTTCAACCATATCTCTTTAACCAATTTACTGCCGTCTCGCAATAATAACCTCTTACTTCAACTGGCTTTATTTTAAGGAAAACCAAAAAACTGATGTTGCTTTTGAAAGCTGCTAGCCCCAGTTACACTTTTCTGTTCTTTTCTTAATATTAAATATTAAGAAAGTAATTAGAAATAAAGTATTAGAAAGTAATTTCCCATTGTTCAAAAAGACTGTTGTTCTTTAAAGACATATTTCTATCTTACTCTGCATATAACAATACTATTTCATTTTTTTCTTTTTGAATACTCTCCATGTTTATATAGCTCTCAATTGAACAATTTCCAAATTCATTTGTATATGTTAGAAGGAAATTTCTCTTTTCTGATTGTTTTTGTGTCAAGATAGAACTACTGTTGATTTTTCTCCTTGCTTCAGCATATTATGTGTAAAATTGCTTGGGGAATTCCAATCACCCACCCAAACCCACAAACCTACCTGTGTAACTTGACTGAAACACCTTTTCAGATGTGTGGTATTCTATGTATCCCATTGCGTACAAAATAAATATAATCTTTTCAAATTTACAATTGAATATTATTTGTTTCAAGAGCAATAACAATGAGCGATTTAAAAGAAATTTTATCTTCCTTACCACAAAAATTCCTGTGGATGAACACAACATAAATTCGCACTGAAATTAAGATTAAGATGCCGTTTTCTGCACAGCATTATCAGATGCGAGAAATGTTCTTCTATGAATAATTTTTAAAAACAAAGACATTCTTTAACGCACTTATTGTATCTTAGAGCGAGGTTTGCCTCAAAAACACCAAAAATGATCCTCTGCTAACAATAGGCAATTTCATCAAAGTGCTGTTTCCTATTAAAAATATGTACTTTTAGCATTCCCTGAATCGCAACCTTGCAATTTATAAGAAAGGTAAACAAGCGAAACAAAATGTTTTCGGTATCAAGACTGCAACTTGCGTTTTCCTTTTGTTGAGAAACTTGAGGTCCGATGAATCATCTAGCACACTGCAAAAACGTCTAGATCAAGGTCGAATAAGGCCAATGTAGATATCTGAAATACCACCTAAAACCTGCTTAAGGAACACCATCTAAGGAGAAAAGGAATCCCTGCAATGGCGGCTATTTATTTTCGAGAACGATCAGAAATTCATATGCCTATGAAGGGTGATTTTGCTTTCTTTCTTCAAAACGCAGTATTTCTCGATTCTTGTGTAATAGCTATCTATAAATAAATATTTCTTACCAAGACAACATATTTCGGCCCTTCGTTGACGAACCAGTTAGCCATTTCCACTTAGAGTTCGTAATACGCGCCCTTCCGGCAAATGATTAGGGAGGTTGTGATTGCCGATCAATCTTTGTTTATAGTTGTTGCGCTCCTGTAGCCCTGTGCGCCCACGCTCCTGTGCAGAGAAAATGGAATCAGCATATTTCTTGTGGATTAGCGGTAAAAATTTCGCGTGGGGGGCAATTTGTCCTCAGCAATTTGCGCTCTCCGTTTGTTTTGTAAACAGCGTAAAAAGAGTCAGTAGCCGTATAAAACAGTCTGTCACATATAAAACTTAACTGTTTCATGATTTTAATTATCGGTTAGAAAAATTTGTCAGTTTACTGTCCGTTTAATTGATTGTGTCAGTTTACTGTCAAGTGGGCTAGGGCAGACTAGCAAAACGCACAGGTTCACTTCAAATTATTCTTGCTTTCATTTCATGATTTGAAAATTTTATGGAGAAATTCTTAAAAGTTGCCTACCTTACCCTAAAAAATATAGGCCCAATTTCACCCTTTTTACTGTATCGGATAACTTTTGAAGTGCTACCAAATCCAGAATATTTATAAAGGCTCATAAATAACTTTTCATCGTGTTTTAGAAAAAAACAGCGTTTCTAAATTTCACTCAATTATATAGAAAATTAATAAATGGAGCCTGTATTTGTCAGACATGAAAGCTTGATATCGGGGTGAATATACATTAAGAGCAATCGAAAAATCACTTTTAGGACTAACGACGCCATATAAAAAACAGTAAGCTGTGTTTTCAAGGCAGCTAGAGTATAGTTCCGCTGGAACAGATTCCACTCTTAATTGGTGCTCTAAAGTTACATGAAAGGAAGTTTTTCACGTAAGAATTAAGGCGAAAGCCTTTGATGACTCATTCTATATAATCCCCCGCAACACCGCGTTACTCGTCTTAAGCCGTAAATTGCCGCATCGTTTTTACGTATTGCGCGGCTGGAACGCATCAAATGCTTTAACATCCTGTATTATGCAGAAATAGCTTGTTTTCACTCGTATAACCCCATATTTTTTCCAAAAACTACGTAAACAGGTTGAGAAGAACTTCACCGACTCCTTCCCCTATTTTGTTCCTCTGCAAGCAAAGTGCAGGCTTTTTGAAGGTTTAATTTGTTTTTTATTATTTTGTTAAATTTTGATAACTGCGTGAAGAAATGCGATTTTGATAACTGCAGAGTGACTCCCCTGGGTTTTTATCTTTGGGAAATTTAACCAAAGACGTCAGAATATTCGTTTGCAGAACAGGGCTGATGTACTGAAGGGCTTTAGGGGAGACGGTACTTCAGAGCATGCTAGCCTTTTCTCGAAGGGTCAAAATCAAACTCATTGCTATTGCCTGGGACGAGAGGGAATATTTTTGTCCTTCTGTCGGAAGGCCAAGCCTTTCCGTTAGAAATTTAAAGTTTGTTAAGAAGAGACACTTTACTCAGAAAATGAGCCTATAAAATTTCTTTTTAGAAAATTCAATTGTTCGGTACAATAACTTTTGCAAGTACATATGTTTCTTTTACTATAAAAGTCTTGCTTTAGCTAAAAGCTTTTAAATAGGTTGTTTGTCATTCCTACAATTTCCCATAAGAAACCTCTGGAGCCTTATATAACTTTAGTATAAAACTACTAATACATCACAAAGGATATTACAAACTTCGGTCTTGAAATAAGTCGTGGTTCTTTGTTTTGCGAAACAAATTTTGCTAATTTCCATAATGCTTAATTTTTTCGAATGTATGTTTGAACATATTGTTAATCGCATGCCTTAGTTACAAAACCTTTATGGTTAGATTATATTCAAAGCTTTATGAAAGTATGTATATTGTGCAAAGAACATCGATACAAAAGAAAAAACATGGTACTGACCAGTGGCGGCCTGGCAGGGGGGCCGGGGGGGGGCCAGGGCCCCCCAGCTGACATTTTCATAGGGGCGCCAAAGCTTGTATAGGGCGCCGAAAACTGAAAAAAAGTTTGATACGACCGACTTGTCTGGTTATTAGGTCTCTAGGAAGCCAGCAAAGACAAAAAAGACGCCATAAAATTCAGAACTTTATTGGGGCGCACGCCCCCATACCCCCGAGAACATTCTCACTTCAAGGGCACGTCTTTGTGCCCCCTCAGTACTGTATTATCCAGACAAAACATTTGTACTGTTCGCAGGGGCGAAAAAATTAATCAATTTTTTAGAGGATTGTCAGGAAACTTATGTAGTTAAATTCTTTCGTGTGGATACTGGAATTTTAAGACTGGAATTAATCAAACGTGCTAAAAGGATGCCTTAAAAATAGCAAAATTTTAAACGATTTCAAGAAAATGACTGCAAGAAATATTTTGAAATGTATTTTAAGCCAATCTAAAGGGCGTGGTCGCAACATTTTCTACTCGCTCCGCTCGCAAGAAAGTCTCTTTTATTCAGAGTTATACCAAGGACCTCCGACAACCTCTTGTCGGCCCTTCCCAGTGTTGGTTTTTTTAGTCAAATAAAGCTACTAAATTTCCCAAAGATAAAAACCCAGGGGAGTCACTCTGCAGTTATCAAAATCGCATCTCTTCACGCAGTTATCAAAATTTAACAAAAGAATCAAAAACAAATTAAACCTTCCCCAAAATATCAGCTAAAAAGGGTTGATAAGACCCAAACAAATCAAGAAACCAAATCTTGTTGTTGAGCACAGAAGCGACCACTAGTCATAGCTCATAGTAATTTAGATAGTTCCTATAATAATCAATTGAAACAGATCTGTTCTTTTATTTCTTTTTTGATATTGTTAGGTGATAGTTGAACGCAGAAAATCGGGTATTTTCTTGCTTTTGAGAGTGCATTACTTGCAATTGTAGGTCTTGTGCGCTAGAACTATCTGCTAACAAGAATCATAAAATCAGCGACGTTGGCATGCTGTTGGTGACGTCATTTTCTGCATTGGCCTACTATGTGCTTCTTGGCTTTTCAAACTCAATAACGATGCTTTATCTAATCCAAATACTGCACTCGGTCTCAACTCAACTCTGAATGTTTTGTTCAGAGGACATATCGGAAGCACTGATCGGAAAGCGTGCATGCAGACCGCAGACTACCTGAGTTGGGTTTAATTTTGGTGTGTGTTGAATAGTATTGGCTTTGGATTGAGTGGTGCCGATTGGCTGGTTGCCGATGAAGAGGCTGTCTTTAGCATGATTTCATGGGGAGATTGCTGTGAAAATCTGATTTACTGTTTATGTTTCTGATCACCTTCCTGATAAAGGACGGACCACGAAAGCAAAGGATAGGTGATATTGCAGACAATGATACAAGATTGAATATATGTATAGGTTTTAAGTAATTTTTCGGACCCCAGACCAATATGGCACATGAAAATCTTTTACTTGAATAAGCATAGGAAAAATATATCGTTTGAAAATGCTTTTCAATCGGTCTGCCTAAAGTATGTAGGAATTGTAGGAGATGGAACTAAATTCGCAATGCTACAATGAAGCAAAGCTTGTACAATTAATTTTAATATAAGAAACTTAACTTAACTTGCTAGAAAAAATAGCACTGGACAATCTAAAAGCGTTAGAAACTTCAGTATTCGAAGCAAAAAAGTCAAAAACATTGGCTTGAAACTTTTGTGAAACTTAAATCTTTGAAAGTTTACAGATGACTGATAACAATACATCTTCAAAAAATTCTAAGCAAACTTTTAAAGTGTCTCGCCAACCGTAATAAAATAAAATGGTAAAACAAAGCATTTTCCCGGCATTATAAATCATATGAAGGCTCAACAATTCACAAGGAAATTCAAATCCCAAGTGCTAAATTGCTACTTTTTAGAATGAGTATACAAAGGTGGGATATAACAGAATACCTAATCTGTCAAATGAAGCACTTCTTTCTATCATATCTTTGTCAGTTGACCTATAAACAGGGTGTCGGGAGAGGGGGCATGGAGGCAAATTGCCCGAGGATCTGAGATTTAAGGGGCCTTATAAAAAGAATTCCTTTTTAAGAATGGAATTAGTCAAACTTAGCAAAAGTATGCATAAAAGTAGTAAAAAGTTTTGAAAAAAAACAAGAATTGCTTGCTAGAAACACATTAGAAATGTATTTTGGTGTGGGGGGCCTGTGGTCCTACGCTTTCCTTTACAGTATATCACTTCTGTTTAACGAGGGAATTAATCGTACTACTTCTAGATTTTTATTACCCTCTTCTGAACATGGCATGTAAGTACCAAACCTTTTGAAGGAGATTGCCAATTTGATTCAGAACAACGAAAGAAATCGTTGAATTCAGCTTTAAAATTTTTCCTTTGAAAAATGTAACACTTAGATAAAAAACAGACCACCGTGTTCTGTTTTCCAAAAATTGAGAAATTTTCCGACAAAATACAGGTCACTTTATTTACGAAACTGTTAAGTTGGCAGCAGATGCTGGATGTATTCCAAAAGCGATTTCATACCAAAAACGGCCCCCATTTGCAATTCTCCGTGTCACAGCTAACATATAGCGGTGCATCTCAATATGTATTATACGTTTATTCGAGAAGGTATTAACTTGAATTTTTGAGTGGAAAGGGAAGTGGTTTGTCAGAGGATGGCGTTCCTTGAGACTAAGAGTTTGCTAGAGGAATTACGGTAGATTGATATGTCATTCCAAAATTTGAGTGTCTGAATGGTCGGTTCCCTGTGCGCGTTCCGCAATTCCTGTATCCCGCATTATCCTGCAAATCATGCAGTCCTGGAATAAACACGCATGCCTTCCAACAACTAGTAAATACGACATTGGCTGGAACTCATGACTGATATGGCAATGCATAAGTCATTTCGAATAACCGTAGAACCTTTCATGTTTTTATGCATGAAGGCATTCTTCCTAAATCTGGTTGCTCTTCCACAATTAATCCTGGATAATGTCTGTATAAAAAAGCACAATGAAACTAAATGCGCAGCCATGCTAACTGGGGCATTCAAGACAGAATACGACATGGTGCAAGAGGATGCAACATTTTGGTTCGCTGGTGTCATGGTCATTGCTACCTTCATCACAGTTTTGACCTTGCCTTTTGTTGCTACTCTTTCTGATGAATTTGGACGTCGCAGAATAATGTTTCTCACCCCTTTGTCGCAGCTGATCCAATGCCTTGCGTTTCTTTTAATCGTAAGCAAGGACATTCGCTTCCCAACCTGGCTAATTTTAATCGCAGGGCCCATTCCAGGGCTAGTGGGTGATGTGAGTAGTCTATACGTTTTTACGCATGCATACATTGCAGATATAACAACAGAGAAACAAAGGACAATGCGCATTAATCTCCTCGAAGCTGCCTCTCTATCTGCTGGTTTATGTGCAACGGTCTCGAGTGGGCATATAATTCAAAGGTTCGGTTATGTTGGTATTTTTGTTACCAGTACTGGACTACTGGTTTTGGCTATTATATACTTGATAGTTGTGGTGAAGCCTGTTGAATCGGTTGCAGAAAAAATCGAGGGAAAAAGAGAGTTGGATATTCCTAACCAGGAATGCGATCTTGTCCAAGAGGGGAATCTACTCGATGATGGAAAAGTAAATATGGCATGTATAGAATCAAAAACAGACACTATTGAGAAAACCGAAGACAAAGTTTTCTTTATCGATGCTTCCAAAAGTCTTTCCAACAATAATCATGAAGAAAATATTGAAAATTCCGCTACGAGAATAGAACACAGCGCTAACCAAGACATCCAAGCACCCCAGAGCAAACTGTCAAGGCAAGATGGGAGGCTTCAAAGAACAACGAATAGGCTTTTGAAAATCATTAAAAAGTCAAACCCACTCACAAGTGTAAAAAGAGTGATTAAAGTGCTGAAGGAACAGGGACAATTGAAAAGGGGCCTCACATTGTTTCTCCTAATGTCATTTGGGGCATTTTCTTACTCAGGAGAAATGGCAATTATTGTACTTTATCTGAAGAACCACCCATATTTCCTGACCCCACAGAAAATCGGGTATTTTCTTGCTTTTGAGAGTGCATTACTTGCAATTGTAGGTCTTGTGTGCTGGAACTATCTGCTAACAAGAATCATTAAAATCAGCGACGTTGGTATGCTGTTGGTGACGTCATTTTCTGCATTGGCCTACTATGTGCTTCTTGGCTTTTCAAACTCAATAACGATGCTTTATCTAATCCAAATACTGCACTCGGTCTCAACTCTGAATGTTTCAACAATCAGAGCAATGATTTCTAAAGTGACAACTCCCTCAGCTATTGGCCTAATGTACGCAGCCCTTCTCGTCGTTGAAACCGCCTCTATTCTCATTGGTTCCATCGTCACCCCACTCACCTATGCTCTTGTTGCTGCGGTACATCCGGGAGCAGCATTCTTCATGAATGCGGTATCATGTTGACAAGTCTGTGCATTTCTATCAGTCTAGTGTATGTACAGCACACAGCAAAGCAACCGGACCTCACAAAAACATTCACGGACCAATTGTAAAGACTTGACCCCAAAAGCGGTTGTCAAGGCAAAAAAAACTAAAGATTATGTATCATACGCTAGCAATCTTGCTGTTTAATATGTAACTAAATAAAATGGATTTAAATAAATGTTTAAAAATAGTTTATTAATTTGATTACGCTATGAATATGTTACTGGATATTAATTATAGATACTTTGAACAAATAAGCTTTCGTTTTTACATCCAGAATATGTTTCTATATTATTTGTGTATAGAAATATTCTTGAGTATTCATCGATTGATTTTTTCAAAATTTGTTCGATTCGCTGCAAAAGGCATAATTGGATCATTGCTACATTTCAACTGGAATATTAATCCATTGCATTTTTCGTAATTTTCTCCTTTAACTTCGGTCTTGGCAGTCAATGGCCCACGCAACGAATTTCAGGGTGGAGGGGTCATGTTCTATAAGTCGAACTTGAATGAAGTGCTGCAAAATAGGGTCTCTTTGGAAATATTTTTGCTTTCCAAAAAAGTGGGGAGGGGGCACTACCCCTCTGCCTCCCACCCCCCGCCCCCCGTCGGCGTGGGCCCTGAAATCTCCCTACACGCATTGAGTTTGATTATTTCTTCCAAAACCAGAGCATTAAACAAAAATGCCTTTTAATTTAGCTGCAACAAAAGCAATTGGTCCTTATTAATCTGACGTAACTTTGATTAATTAACGTAACAACATTTGGGTTTTAACAACAAGCATAGCAAAGCATATGACAACAGACTCAAGAGAGCAAGGTCCGATATTATACCATGGCATATGCTTCAATGTTCTGAAAATGTTGGCGACAAGAGATTTTTGAAGCTGAATTCCTTGCGAAAATATCGGAAATGGCTGGACGAAAAAGCTCTTTAATGATTCAGATCCGAGACACGAAAGATAGGTGAGCAGAAATCACAAGACGGGAAATTGAACAGAAACACCAAAACCAAATAGATGAAAGGCTCGAGAAATAATAAGAAAAATCAAAAGCCTAGTAAGTTTGAATAATCATTTTGTGTTTCTGAAGATACCTAGTCTGCATGAAATAATAATAATAATATATAATCAAGTTTTAGTTCATCACACATATCGATGAAAGAATCACAGGAGTTACCAAAGATACCGAGGCAGCTGATAGATAGATTAACAAAGTTTACTTTTTTGAACTTAGGGCGTAGTTCCTTTAGACGGGAACGGTACTTATCAGCCTTACGCGAAGCGTTATTGTCCAGGTTAGTCTCGAACCCAACAGTTAATTCGATGACATACAGACAGTTAGAAGCAGTTTTGATTAGCATGTCGGGACGGAACGAATCGCCAGTTATGATACATGGTGATAATAATAATAATAATAAAAATAATAATAATAATAATAATAGTAATAATAATAACAACATTTCTTTTTATACGATTCAACACTTCAGCTACCCTAATACAATATCAATAAAGTATAAATACATTTGTTCAATTAAAAAAATATATTATTTCAATCTAATAATTTTTTCTTCCAGGGGGTCGTGTTTAAATAGACGAATCTGTCAGCTCTTCAAGTACTCCTTTAATTGTTTTTTAAAGCGACAAATAGTCGGAAATCAAACTCTACACTAGAAAAATAGATTGAAACAATCGACTTTTTCTTCTCAGTTTATAAAACATGCTATAAGGCAGTAGAGGCAAAACACAGATACCGTGATCAGAAATTGAAAAGGAGGCTTGTTAATTGGGCGCCTAAAAGTACCCATGAATTAAATTCAGATGTGGTGAATAGAAAACAAATATAACACACTTTTTTAATATATTTAGCTGGGAGATTCATAACTTTAACCAATGAACGCGTTGGAAAACCATGTACCAAGAAAGGCCGATAATTTTAAGAAAGTAAGGTCCCATTTACAGGATACCGGATTCACTCCACATCGTTTCATGACATATAGGCATTCTGTTTACACGATGGGGACCCAATCCGATATGCTTTCGCTGCGCTTTTGCGATTGGGCGGATATGTATCGGATTGGGCAGAGTACTCACGCAAAAGTTTTACACTGGTGTCTACTTGCTCCGCAACCTCATCTACAAAGTCTGTCGGGTTTCGACCCCACATTTTACTTCGCAGTTTGCGATTGAATGTCGAAAGAAGATTTCTTAATGCCCTGTTATGTATTATAGAGAAAGCCACCTGTAAGCAACGTCGTACATAGTCGTACACAACTTTTTCAAAAAAATAAAAAACACCATTTCTACTTTGGACCAAAATTTGGAGCCATACCACAAGATTTTCATGAGAAAAGTATTGTAGTAAAATGCACTTGCAGCCTTCAGTAGATTTCTTTTGCATTGAAGTCTGCAACCAATCTCCCGGAAGGGCCTTCCACTTTGCAACAAATCAAGAAATCTAAATCCGCATTTGATCAGCCGTAAAATGCTATGAAACTACAGCCTACAATACAATCCTATTTTCTTTCATACAATTTAATACTAGGCCCTATTAACCGTACTTGGCATATTGAATTTTACTTGGCATATTCCGGGTGGTGGAAACATCCAAGGCCAAGTCTTTGCAAGTAAAACAAAACTTCACTCTCAGTACACAAAACAAAACATTCACGTGAACCAAAATGTACTCTGAGGGATAACATTAAGAGTAAAATTTTACAAATTTTGGGAAATTCTATGCATTTGATTAATTTTGTTAGCCGAAGGGCAGTGCTGTTCTTTAATCTATAAATCGAATTTTTTAGATCCAATGAAGTCCTGGATTCTAAAAGACACATGACGGAGAACAGCACTGCAAAAGCTTACTGGACATAACAGAAAAGCTTTGCTAGACATATCCTCGTGTACAATTATGAATTTGAAGATACCTTTTTTGACTGTCGAGCCATTCGTTTACCTATGCATGACGGGGTTCTTTCTCAGTATCGTTTCTACACCGCAGCTGATACTGGAAAACCGGTGCAGCGAAAAGTATGACGACGAAAAATGCAAGGCTATGTACAAAGGCCAGTTCAAGAGCGATTATGAAAAGGTGCAAGAAGATACAGCAATATGGATTGCAGTGTACAAAGTTATATCTAATTTTGTAACGCTTTTAGCATTACCAACAATCGGTACACTAACTGACGTGTTCGGCAGTTATCGCGCGATGTTTCTTGTACCGTTGAGTCTTGTCTTCCGAAGTAGTTTCATGCTTCTCGTTCTAAAAGATGGCAATTCTTTCCAGACATGGATACTTCTGTTGATCGGGCCTATTCCAGGGCTGGTTGGTGGTTTTGGTGGCTTAATAGTGTTTGCTACGGCATATATATCTGAAATCACCCCGTACGAACAACGAACTTTGCGGATAACGTTAATAGACGCCTCGGCGGTCCTGGCCGGTTTTACTGCCACGCTTATAAGCGGTTTCATAATCGAAGAATTTGGATACTTCGGAATATACACAACAGTGCTCGGATTGGTAACTCTTGCTTTGATCAACTGGTTCTTCTTCATCAAACCGGAGACAAAACGGACGACTATTGAACCGAGGAAATCTGTAATCGCAAGGGCCATATCGAGTCAAGCTTTCACCGATTCGGCTGCGGCATTCATGCTGACGAACTCTGAAATAGGATACGTCAATAAAACACGAAAGATCGACAAAGAGTGCAGTCGCAAGTCTATATCATTCGCAGACGCTGGTTCCCGAATAACGCCTTTGTATTTGTCGCGCGATGGCATGGAAACCATCGTCGACGGAGAGGAAAGTGCACTAGAGGTAATATCGTATGCAACTGATAATGAAGATGATTTAGACGATCATGCATCAAAGATTGTGGAAGACAAGCCTGATTTACTCGACCAGGAAAAAACCAACGCGGTAAAAATGCTGGAAACAGTACCGTTGAACAAAGACAGTACACAACAAAAAAATAACTTTAGCCTCAGAATGGTTGATGTTCAAAACCAAACAGATGCGAGAATAAATGCAAATCAAATTAGAGACAATAATAAAGAAGTGAAAGACAGAAGAGAAAGCATCTCCACGCGTAATCGTCCTCGATTTTCAGTTAAAAGACTCAAAGATGCAGCGAATCCGTTTAAGAATCTAAACCGAATTCGCCGCGCGGTGAAGGCGTCAAAGAATGTCAGATTGCAAGTAGCTCTGCTTGTTGTTTTGGCATTGACAACATTTTCCAATACTGGAGAACTGAACTTTATAATGATATTCCTAAGAAATGAGCCATTCTATTTACGCCCTTTGAATGTTGGTTTGGTAATGGCATTTCAAAACGGTTCGATAGCGGTCATTGGCCTGATATTGTTTAACATGATATTCCAAAGACTTTGCAGGACCGATGACCTGGTGACGGTTTTGGTGTCATCAACTGTAAGCATTGTCTACTTCATTTCAATGGCACTGGTTCGCTCTTTGACAGTGCTCTATCTAATTCAGATACTCCATGCGATTTGTACACTCAGCATACCAGCAATTAGGGCGTTTCTCTCCAAGATGTCCAAACCATCTACGGTTGGTGCCATGCTCGGACTTGTTTCCATGGTAGAAACATTCTCCTCCGTACTGGCATGCTTCGCAGCACCACTTTCGTATGCTAAGCTAGCACCGATATTTCCAGGCGCTGTATTTTTCATATTCGCCTCGTTCATGCTTATAGCAGCTATAATCGCCCTCGTTCTCAATATTCTATACGCAAGGAGTCATAGAGACAAAATTCGAACGATCGCAGAACCGGAAATAACTTGCGAATCAGGTTTGCAAAATGAGGACGGAATCAGAGATAAACTATGCATTACAGAATAAAAGATAAAGATATCATAAAAAGATAAGAATTGTAATATACATTCTATTTGAGATCTTTAAGAAAATTGGTTTAACCGAGATTACACAAAATATTCATTTAAGAAATGCAATTCACTACATATAATTTCTTTACGATTAAGTTCTCTTTGGCTTTGTATTGCGCACTAAATAACAAAATCATTTTGACTACTGAATGCTAACAAGCAACAAATCGAAATATAACAGGTACAAACATCTGATGGTTGTCAGAACACAAAACGACAAACAAAAGGTATAGTATACTGAAGTATATTAAAAGGCAATAACTATAAGGAAATAATGATAGAAAGAAGTATTAACATGGCGCTTGAATTTTAAAGCCCCCTTCTACTGCAATCTTTGGTTTGCAAAAGGACAGTAACCGAGCATACACATTTAGATTGCTTTGATCGCAGAGAACAAATTTCCTTCACCTTGGTAAAACCTTGAGATCTTACTACCTGTCCCACGAACAAGCAGCATTGAGCCAATCAGATCAGACAACTGCACAGCGCACGCGTCAAAAGACTGAAGTGCAGTTCGGCCTTCAAGTCATCACTTTTAACGCACCCTACGTTAAGTAAATTTACATAATTCTATCAAAATCAAAACTTTTCAAAAATTGTAAAAATCTTTTCCCGTTCCCGCTATTTCCAAGTTGAAGTTGCTTGTTTGCTTTAATCTTTTATGGCTTCAGTTCTCATATTGATTTGACGGAGGGAATTTTTGTGACAACAACTCCCTGGATTTTAAGAATTTTGCTCAAAACTTTTGTCTTAGATTGTCGATGGAAACTTTATTAACAAAAATTCATTGAAAAAGTTTTTCAGGAATATGGAAAATCACTAAACCACTAACACTATCGCTAAAAATTTTCGAATAAAAGTTGAAAACATTCGAACGGAACTTGCAGAGCCCTTTTTTGCCATGTATTTCTCAACTATGCTTTTGACACACAATTTGCTATTGATGCTACAAACTATGCTGGATTAAAATGTTTGATTAAATTTTATGACTTAACGTATACTATGCATTTTATGCAAGGAGGTACTCACTTAACAAGTTGATAAACTGAGTCTGAAGTTGCTATTATACCATCAATAATGTACTGTTTGTTATTACGCTCAATATGAGCAAGGTCATACTTGTAGTTCACCATCATTCCATAAGATCTATTCATACCACGTGCGCTTTTGTCAGCCATCCAGTTTAATCGCCACATGATAGCACCGTTGCGTAGATGAAAATTTGCTGGAATTAAAGGTGCTACAATTAATGAAGCGGTTGGGTGCAGACCCGATGTCAGACCAGAAGGATACATCAAGAGTAAAAGATCATTTTTGTTAAACTTGAGTTAAGCATTTTTAGTTGAAAAATCATTTGTAAACTTCAGTCAAAACTTGAATCAATGACTGCATTTAAAAATGTCCTTTAAAAGCTTCCAAAAATCCGTGAGAAATTACAGGATTACCAGCGCCTTAATACCTTTACAGGTTTCTAGAGTATCTCTAATATCAAGGAAATTCTTAAATTCGTGCACTTGTTAAATCAACGACGAACGAAGAGAACACATACCAACTGGGTCCAGTGCAAATCCTCTTCGTTTCTCGCAATACAGATATCTTTAAAAGAAACAAAGAACCTATGTTTGTCATCAAGTCTAAAGAAGGAGGAACTGGTAGATTATTCGATAACATTTCAAGGTGTATCATTCGAAAAGCAAAGAACAGTCGAAAAAGCTCCCAGGGGGGGCTCCGGGGGGGCTCCCATTCGGGCCTGACAGGGGAGTCCAGTCGATTTGAGGGTCTTATCAAAAGGCTACCAAATGGCCCAGTTTCGTTAATAACACTACCATTTAGGGAATTTCAAGTATTTGCTACCGTGTAGGGGGAGCTTTAACTCAGCTGCTTAGTTTAGTTTGCAATTTATTCAGGAAAATTCAAAAGATCGTATCTTTCCCGATTTAACAACAGTCAATGGCGAAGGAATTCTTCAAAGGAGGCCCAGGCGAGCACAAAGAAATGGATGCTACCAAGGGCATAATTTCGGTTCTTCTACTACCATTTGAGGGTTATTGTCAAAAAAGACTAGCGTTTTAGGGTAATTTTTAGCACTTTTGCTTTGGCCCTCTTTGACGCTGACCATACCCTATCTGTTAGGCCATAATGGGAGTGTCCTCCCCCCGGGAAAAAGATATTTCAAACAATCATAGACTAATTCATTGGCAATTTTTTTTACAATTTTGAACATTGCTCCACTTAGACATAATTGACTATGCGATGCAAATTGATCACCATATTAGTTAAAACATAGTCATCTGATTATGACCTAACAGCGAACGAGAGGAGAGTGATTCTGCACTATTTTCCTCTGAGTTATTCATAACAATGAAATTTTGCAAAAAACTGAAGAACAAAATACCGTGCACATAGTTCCATTAAACAATGTTGTAGTTTCGTAGAATCCATTTTCGTTGTCTCTTGAGCGTTGCCACCCTCGATTTCCTTTGAAAGACACAGAAATCTAATTGGTAAGACATTGTACAGAAGAATTGCGTTTAAGGACATAAACCATGGCACGTAATCATTGGCGCTATAAGTATTTCCTTAAAGTTACTGCTTAACGCTTGGCTTTCGATTTTTCATGTCAAGAGGAAGACTTTGACCGGCACATAAAATCTTGACCTATCAATGTCCAGTCTTCCAGATCATTTTTATCGTTTTCATGCACAACCGAGCAATTAATGTAACAACAAAGTGCGAAAATAAAGACAAATTTTGGAGGAGACGATGTATGCTTATTTCAACGAGGATTCTTGCACCAAGGGATCATTTTTATCAATGAGTTATGCCTGCGCAATTTTCATAGATTCACGAATCCAAAGTACGCGAAAAAGTGTACGCAACAAAAGGCATCGAAACATACCTAAGTTGCACAAGAATGAAAATTACTGTTTACCGGTCACAAAGGGTTCGATGTTTACCGGACAAAGGGTCACAAAGGCATAGAACAGGACGGTTTTAAGTTGCTACTCCAATTTTCACGCATGATGCGATGATCAAGGTTAACTTGCACAAGATACAAATCATCTTAAGAAGAACTATAAAAATGTGAACGTCTAGTGTAATGTGAAGAAAACGATCCGAAGAAAAAGAAGAAATTGCATCGAACGGGGCGAATTCGTTCCTCCTCTATGGCTGAGCTATCATCAGCAATGAAATACAAAGTAAGCTGGCACAAATAGTGGAATCCAATTTTGTAACGGAAGTATACATTTCCTGAACTATTGAATTCTGTGATGTGAAGATGTTGATGAAAACAAAATAGATGAATTGTCGTAACAGAATGCTAAAGAAGTAATACAGACAATTTGGGGGCCTACCTTTATCAAAGTCGAGATCTGATCAGCTGAGGCTTCACCAGAAATGATCTCGCCTAGCAAGCCATGCTTCTCCAGAAAATGATTTATATTTCCTATAGAAAATCATGAAAAATTGACACATTCAAGTCAAGACAGCAGCCAAGACAGCAAAAGTATTGTAAAATATGAAAGCAAAAATGTAAAAATTCACAAGCAAGCAAAAATGATTGGTGTGATTACCTATCGATTCTCATTCAAACTTTTAAAATACGTTTTAGAATAAATGAATACGAGATTAGACTAGAGCAGCGTAGTTCTGTGAATATCGTACTAAAACTTCGACGTGGCATTTTCAAAAACATAGAAGAAGTAATCTACGAAAATAGAATTGGCTTTTGGGTCTCTTATCAACTTGTGCAAAATTCATCCTGAAAAAATTTAACAGACAAGAAGTGCCCTTGTCAGTTAAGAAAACCAAACAGAATTCTACCAACAAAAACAGGAACTTTATACATGTGTCCCTTTGATATTGGTTATTCTTACAGAAAATGAGATTCTATTTACCTCAAATCAAACCCTCTTGATCGTAATTGTAAGTTTTGTTAAGACATTAAAGCGATAAAGCTTTTCCATGAAAGTTCACCTGGGTCAGTTTTGAGCTTTTGGCTTAGCCATTTCGCAAATCCAGGAATTGGCGATAAAGTGCCAAGATTCATTAAAGTAGGGAACTCCTTTTTCAGTTCTTGAACTACAACCTTGATCAGATAATTACCAAGGTCTATCCCTGAGAGACCTGTAATAAAAAAACCTGTAATTAAGAGACTTGTAATTAAGATTTCACGTGATATTTAAAGATAAGACACAAAAGGTGCAGCACAGTGCATTTGTTTGTAATCAATTTTACGATAAGGAGAAGAAATATTTCTAATTAAACAATCTATAAATGCATAAAATAAATTAGAAAAATGATGACAGTTAATAGCAAACAAAACGAAGAGAAGACATTTGATCTCAATATATAAAAACTTAAAACAAAATTCAAACTAAATGCAGAACAAGCCATAGTCTTGGGAGCATAGAGGTTGAGAGCGAAGGACAGACGTTAAAAAGAACCAAGAGCAAGATGATTCAGTGACGGTTGAAGTCTTTTCTGGAAGTAATTTGGATTTAAAAAATCTCATCAGCCACCCTTCTTCTGTTCCTGGTACCGCAAAATCTCTAGAAATGCCACTTTTTTTATATTTTAGAGAAATAACTATATTTTCGCGAGGTGTTCCAGGTTGTTGAGAGGTGTTTGTTGTTGAGAGGCGTTCCTGGTTGTTGAGAAGTGTCCCTGGTTACTGAGAAGTGTCCCTGGTTGTTGAGAAGTGTCCCTTGTTGTTAAGAAGTGTCTCTGGTTGTTGAGAAGTGTCCCTTGTTGTTGAGAAGTGTGCCTGGTTGTTAAGAATTGTATCTGGTTGTTGAGAAGTGTCCCTGGTAACTGAGAAGTGTCCCTGGTTGTTGAGAAGTGTCCCTTGTTGTTAAGAAGTGTCTCCGGTTGTTGAGAAGTGTCCCTTGTTGTTGAGAAGTGTGCCTGGTTGTTGAGAAGTGTCCCTGGTTGTTGAGAAGTGTCCCTTGTTGTTGAGAAGTGTCCCTTGTTGTTTTGAAGTGTCCCTGGTTGTTGAGAGGTGTTCATGGTTGTTGAGAGGCGTCCATGGTTGTTGAGAAGTGTCCCTTGTTGTTAAGAAGTGTCTCTAGTTGTTAAGAAGTGTCCCTTATTGTTGAGAAGTGTCCCTAGTTGTTGAGAAGTGTCCCTTGTTGTTGAGAAGTGTCCCTTGTTGTTGAGAAGTGTCCCTTGTTGTTGAGAAGTGTCCCTTGTTGTTAAGAAGTGTCTCTAGTTGTTAAGAAGTGTCCCTTATTGTTGAGAAGTGTCCCTGGTTGTTGAGAAGTGTCCCTTGTTGTTGAGAAGTGTCCCTTGTTGTTGAGAAGTGTCCCTGGTTGTTGAGAAGTGTCCCTTGTTGTTAAGAAGTGTCTCTAGTTGTTAAGAAGTGTCCCTTGTTGTTGAGAAGTGTCCCTGGTTGTTGAGAAGTGTCCCTTGTTGTTGAGAAGTGTCCCTGGTTGTTGAGAAGTGTCCCTTGTTGTTGAGAAGTGTCCCTTGTTGTTCAGAAGTGTCCCTGGTTGTTGAGAGGTGTTCATGGTTGTTGAGAGGCGTCCATGGTTGTTGAGAGGCGTCCCTGGTTGTTGAGAAGTGTCCATGGTTGTTGAGAAGTTTCCCTGGTTGTTAAGAAGTGTCCCTGGTCATTGAGAAGTGTCCATGGTTGTTGAGAGGTTTTTCTGGTTGTTGAGAAGTGTCCCTGGTCGTTGAGAGGTGTCCATGGTTGTTGACAGGTGTCCATGGCGGTTCCACTGTATTTCAAATCCCTTGAATCTAAATATTCAATCTCTCCACTAGCTTTTAGTTTTTTAGAAGTTGACAATTACCGTCTAAATATTAATAGAATACTATGTTACTTCGAATATTTTTGTAAAAATGCCTATAAAATATTCCTAATAAACTCAGTTTATGAGTATCATTGGAAATTCGTTAAGAAAACAAAATCACCTTTCTGTGTAGACGATATTGTATAAAATGTTGCAGACGTGACACTGTCCGGAGTCCTATTGATTTCTGGTGGGGTATGTATGCCCTAAAACAATGTATCAATATACAATCATATTTCATATTTTTGTCTTTGAGTAACTTTGTAAAGAAGGTATCTGCTTTTTAAACATTTTACTGACTAACTAAATAGATATGCGCTTAAGACACGATTAGTAATCACAAAATATTTTACAGTGAAACAACACAAGGAAACAAATACAAATAGATACTAAACATAAGAAATTTTCCACTTCTGATTGAAAAGGCCATGCCATGTTATTCAACATAACTAGAATTTGCGAAAACTTGGGAAAATTCAGCCAGAAGAAAGTCACCCGGCATAGTCCTCTTTAAAGATCTTTCAGGTTCACTTTGCTAAAAACTAGGCTTATTTCTCACCTCCATGTTGAATCTAAGATGGTCACCCAAAGCTGTATGCAATATAACCAACGGTTCTCCAGGAAGAAGTCTGTGAGTGAATATAAAACATCTTCTGTCCTCATTTAACCGTCTTTTGAAGTCGTCCCAGCCTGTGGTCGGATGCACTTGCTCATAAGCCATAACCTGCAGACACAATTGAAAAATAAATAACCCCAAGTACTCGAGAAGTTACGTCACGCTGCACAAAAGATCTATTTCAAGTAGAGGCTGGTACCACTAAAACACATTCAAATGACTTGCACAAAGTGAAATAATAGAATGAAAAGTAGAAAGTGAAAAGGAAAAAGAAAGCCAAAATGCAAATGCTGATTTAAATCAGCGTGCACAAACATTAATGTCACGGTGATCGCAATAAGCGCTTTTTCAGGCCAATTTCAAGTTTCGTATCAGAAAGCCTTGAGATCAAGCTGCATTTAAAATGAGGTCTGTCCTACAGAACGTTAAGGTAACTCCTGAAAATTTTAGTTAATGAAACCTTCTAGCATTATTATAAAAAGGTGAATCAACCAACCTTCTCTAGAAGAGCGGCTGGTGAATTCCATGTTACTCGTTCAAGGTTGAGAAACCCAGCTGAAAACCATTGTGCTAAATGCTGTTTCAAATGTCTTTCGAAAGCATGCAACTGTGGGACACTAGCAGCAGCTCTGTCACTTTTCATAAGGCCCTAGAATTCAAATCAATTTTTAAAAACAGTAGGTAATATATCGCCTGTATAGACAGGCCATCTTTACCCAGAAATATATTTTCTATATTGATTAAGAAAGCACTGTTGATTAACATGGGTAGACAAAGATTATCTTTGCAAATCTTCAAGAAAAATATTTCACAAATTTTAAAATACCAAAGACGATCATTTTATCGAATATATTGCATTGCTAGCTGCTGGTGTAACTTCGTTTAGATTAAACATGTGTTTTAGGAACCAACTTTAATAAATTTCACACGATAAACTTTGTTTTCAATTTCATATCTTTATGTGGAGTGACCGTTGGTTTTAGTGTCAATTCCGAAAAAGTTTTGTTTTTGCAATTTGGCAGGATTCTTATATTTTGAAAAGGGATTTTGACAGAAATTGTATTGTAGAGTGTTTTGATTACAAAGTATTGATGATTTGTAACAGATTCCTATGTGATAGGCTTTTTTGTATTTGTTACTACCGCGCTTCCAGTGGTAGTTTTTAGGACATAGAGAAGCTGTGCTGTTTCGAACAGTGTCCTGGTCCTTCCTCTTGATGTGACCACAACTCGTTATTCTTAAGCTTAGAATCACACCTGGCGACTCTCTTCACCCTAAGAAAAAGTTTGGTCATGTCAGTCACTAGAACTACATTTCCTTGAGTCTTTAAGCCAACACTTTTACCATTGAGCCAGCTTTCAACGGATACAAGATTGAATGGGTACCAGGCGATATACTTTCCAAAGCACATTTAAAATAATAGGGTTGACTGTAAGAAAGCATCAATATATAATTGAGATCTGTCTTTAACACGTATAAATATCATATTGTCACAGAGAAAAAGGGTTCTAGATATATGGTCTTTGATATAACTTAATACAATATTAGTACAACAAAAGTTGTGCGTTTTTCCTTATCTAGACATTACTTCAGTGGAATATATACATACCAGTAGGTCCTTCCTCATATTGACAAGAAACTTCACCCCTTCCTCCAGGTGACCAATGTCCTTAATCAAGTGCTTATAAGCTGGTTCCAGGCTGCTTGCAAGACGTTCAACTGCTTTGAAGACTGCAGCCTCTCCTCTGGACTGTGTAAGGAATTAAAATTTTTTACTAAAATCAGAGTTATGATTTCTATAGGTTACAGAAAATGAAATTTTTTAACATTTACCTCAAACTATTGGCCAAATGCAAGAAAAATATCTTTTAACTTTGGTAAAATAAGATCATATAAAAATACATTTAAGAGCATGCAAAGCAACACAAAACTCATCAAGTTATTTTATCATAAGTTAACAAAATTCCGGCAGATTTGCTTAAGATTTAAAAATAAATTTTAATTGCTGCAGAACAGAAAATTCAAAACCCTTCATTCTGAAAGACAATTTTTTAGACACCTACAAACATCCCTAACACAAATATATTTAATGTATGATTACAATAAACCAGTCTTCGTCATAAGGAAATCACCATGCGTGTGGCAAACCACACGCATTATTTCTTTCATGCGTGCGATTCACACTCTTAAAAATCAGGCTATTTCGGTCCCAGTTTACACAGTCCTGTTCAAAAACGGAACCGAGTCGGTACAAAATTCGTTTTGTTTCGTAACAGGGTCAAAACCATTCCGGATGGCAGAGCACAATTTGCTCGGTTCCAGAGTGCTAGCGTAAACGAAAGGGCGAGCCGCGACCGTTTTCTCACGGTGCCAAACTTGTACGCAGGGCCGCCTAAAGAATTGGAGGTCCTGGGGCTAACGCGGAGAATTAGTGCCCTGCGAGCGAAGCGAGCAGAAATTTTTTGCGACCACGCCCTTTAAGCTAGCTTAAATTCGTTTATTCGCTTCAAATGATTTACTGTTTATGGGCATAACTTTGTTACTTTTAATCAATTTTATTTCAAAACAGAATTCATTACTTTGTAAGGCCCCCTTCACCTCGAGGCCCTGGGGCAATTTGCAGAGAGCTTGAGTGTTTCTGCTGTGTTCTTTCCAAAAACATTCGACATTACAGGACAACTATAGGGAAATATTAATTGATACAGTGGCGTAGATAAAGGGGGGTCAAGGGGCAGGGCGACTTACGTGAAGTTATGTACAAAATTTTGAAAAAATAAAAGCTCTTATAACATTTTGGTCGGAAAATCTAAATTTCTCGCCCCTTTTATGAATTCTCCTATCCACATCATTAGATTGGTATTAACCTTGATTGTCGGAAGATCTTCTTTTAGCGGGTCTATTCGTCGCCTGCCTCTCGCATCTATGATAAAAAAGCCAATTTTCTTTTGAGCAATTTCATCGATATTTACTCCGATAATGGCGAAAACGGGAAGGTAAAAGTTTTGGACACTACCTGACGACCGCCATGTTTCCGGGAGAGTTAGAACAAAGCAAAGCGATAAGCCACGATACAGAGCGAAATAGTCACTATTTAAAGAATAAGCCGATGTTGCTCAGCTTATGGAAGACAAAACTTCCAATGTTTCGTTGAAGAAAACAATTTTATTCAGGTCAAAAACGACGGTCAAATATACAACTCATGCGTGCGATCAATCGCTCGCATTATTGGTGCCATGCGTGTGCCGATGCGTGCGCGTGCGATCGCACGCATTGAACAACAAAGACTGATAAACCTGTCGATTTGTTATGGGAAAAATTACCAAAAGTTGCATAATACTCTTCAAAATGGCAATAATTTGTTTATTGCAACTACTAGGTGGCAATATTCATTATTTTTGGTAGAAGAGCAAGCAAAAAGGAAGTTATCTGTCACTTGTTGATAAGATACCTTATATAACTAGCAGATGCCAAGATGGATGTTTAACAAGTCAATTTACTAAGATGAACAAAATGTTCAGAATATCATCATAATTTTAAATCAATACAAGAAATTTCTAATCTTTCACACTTACTCCTGCATTTTTGTAAAAATTAATGGCCTTTGAAATCTGTTCCTCATCTGCAACCAGATTTGACGATATCAGCGAGAAAAATGAAAGCTTGTCATCCTTGAGAGAAAATAATATTAACTACAATTGAAATTATCTTGATGATAAAAGCTAAGGAAACAGTCTACAGGGGAGTTGGATCATGTCAGTGTAGTTTAATGTGGCAAATGATTGGCAAATGATTGGCAAATATTCTATCAAAAACAAACAGATTACATGACAGAGATTGAATTAGAGGTTATAGAAAGAAATAAAAGTCCCTTTTTTTAAAAGCACTTTTGTTTCCTTGGGGTGATCACCCTTGGGGTGAAGCTCTGGAATCAAAGTTGTCTCTGACTGGTTTAAGTACTTAATTACTGATCAAGCTCCACAGTGCGTGAATTTCACTCCTATGAAAATAAATTTAAGCACAATAGAGGACAGACTGCCTTTAAATAAATATTGTTAGATTTGTGATTGCCTTTGTAAACTTATCAATACAAGCAGCTTGTGGCAATACTTTTTAACAAAAAAGGGCAGAGCAATTAATTCAAATGCTTTGTACCAAAAAATGATTACCAAGAATACAATAAAGAATGCAAAGTAATCACGCAGAAAAATAAGATTTTAATCTCATACCAGTTCTTCGAATGAGGAATAGATCCTACAGAACTCTGATGCTATAACCTGTCAATACAAAATTTAAGAGAAGTAGAACAAGAGTTAAGTCATTTGAAATGACAGTTATAAGCTATTTTCACAGCCAGTAACTACCAATAAATTACTTATACCTAACTACCAATAAAGTACACTAGAAATCAATCTATTCATTAACTGTTTTATTCAACAAATATTAAGGGAATGATAGGCAATATCAACAAAAAAATGTTGGAAATAATCAAAAAAATAATTAAGCATGATATTTTTTATCTTACACTGGGGAGAAGATTCCCTTGCTCATGTGATCTTCTAGCAGCCAAGGCTCTTTGCAATTGTCCTCTCACTTTTTGGAGACTGGAACCTTCTGAAGTGATAGATCCCAAGCTTGAGGACGATTGCACAACTGATTCAATCAGCCTGCTCCATGACCCATCAGTTGAGTTCTGGAAAGATCATTAATGTTTTAGTGTGACCATAAGAAAATTACAGTTACTTCACTGAAATATTGTTGTTATGAATAAATGACAGTATAGTCAACAAATCAAAATAAATGAGATGAAAGAAAAGGAGCATAAGTCTAACTTGTTTTTAAGTTCATCCTAAAACAATTTAGACTAATTATGAATGTTTTACTCATTTTCATTTTGTTGGTTTAGAAAGTTTCAAGATAGCACAGAGAAGCTAAACATAGCATACTCAAGTAGTTTTCGTCTGACACTCCTCTAAGTATAAATGTCAGGTAATCACCAAAGGTAAGCAAAAAAGCTTTTGGTTAGGCAGTTTGCTAGATGGTTATGCAAAATTCCCTGTATATTTAGGGGCATCACAACCAGAAGGTGTAGGGGTGTCACACCCCCAATAGTGTCTCAATAGAGTACCAAAAGTGTGAGGTCATCAAAAATCTTTTTAAAATTTCTAAATTTGACCACATAATCTGAAAGAGCAGCATAAAATACCTCTCAATATGCAAAATCAGTTAGAAATGCTCAAAATTGGGCAAGATATGGCCAATGGAAGGTTTAAATATTGCTTACTGGATTGCTTTTATTCTGGCCTGGTTCATAAAATTATCAACCAAGACCAAATAACAGAGGTTTGACAGGGCAAGAGCCTGTGCTCATGTGCCCATATCTCAGCCAATTTGTAATGCTTAAAACTGAATTTGCAAATTTAGAGGTATTTCATTTCCCCTAAAGTTTCTAGGTAAAAGCATCAACTGCAATTCACTATGAGCTCTAGAACTTTTTTAACATTCAAAAGAAATGCTAAGATGAAAAGAGTGTTCTAAATTGACAACCAGTGTTGCTTGTTACTCAGCTTTAGAAGTAACTGACAACATTGTATTTTTCAAGACCACTGGGAACTTGTACCAGTTGTTTTTATCTGCTGTTCAATTTGTTTGCAAAAATTTTGCAATTTTTCAATAGAATTTTCAAGAACTTTCAATAAGATTAGAGGATTGCTTAAGAGAAATTTGCTCAAAAGAGTGCATTTTCCAGGGAAATGGAAGCATCAAAATTTGAATTTTCTTGTCCTTTGGCGCAACCATGGTGCCGCCACAGGCAGTAACTATATCCTTTGCCTGTCCCTTATACAGATTTGACAAAACTATTAGGAAAGTCTGTTATTATCATAAAAAAATAAAAGTTGCAAATTATATACAAATTTAGATTGATTGGCAAAATGTATTGTAGAGGATTGTGACAGCAACTAAAGAATTTTAGGCAATAATTTTTCAATCAGGTAAATTTGTATTCCACAGCAAAACTATTCTAGAGCCTAAGTACATCAACTAAGAAGATAACACGAACTAAGTCAGTATTGATAGTTATTCTGTTATCAAACCAATGCAAGATTGTGTTGACCTTGAGTAAACTTGATTCTTCATTTGCCCTAAGCAATATGATACATACATGTCACGCCCAAATTTCGAAATGCCACACCCTTTATCAGGTGCTCAGGAACATTTTAGAAGAAATATCGCGGGTCCCGTGTGGATTTGCCAAACTCTGCAGTCTGGGATTTTTGCCTGTTACGATAAACAACCCGGTGATTATGCATGAATTTTTCTATCTAAAGTAAAGATGTATTCCACTGAAGGTTTACAACTTTAAATGATAAAGAAAAATTCTCACCATCCTTGTTTTCCCTACAGATATCTTTCCGTCGGCTTTGAACATCAACCTTGAGCGTAGTTTACCTGGTAATAATGTCGAGATACGGGCACCATGTCTTTCAGTTTTACAAATATTGCAGGCTCCTCGAGAGAGTGCTTTTCTCTCGACCGGTCTTATTAGATGCAAATTAGCAATTTTCTTAATGAAAATGGCTCTACTCGAACTTGCCATGATTGGTATACACTGAACCCTTTCAGGGCCTAAGAAGTAGCAGTTGGCCTCGTAGCGAGATCGAGAATCTCAAGGACACTCGGGTCATGCTGCGTACTGCCGAGTGAGGCAAATTTGTTAACTTCCGCCATTTTAAATAGTGGCAAAAAGCGAGCTGCGATAGGGTTCAGTATGAAAAATTGCTTGTTTTAATTAATGATTTTCTCGTGGCTCACAACTATTTCAGAGCCTTTTCTGAAGCAGGTAGTTAGAGGAGATATAAATCAACAACACATAACAATTTTTTGGGGTTTTTAAAGAGAATTTTAAAAATTATGGCTCTTTTAGTTTACGCAGTTACGGGGGAATATGGCAGTGGCTTGTCGTGTTTTTATGAGTTGAAAAAGTATGTGTTTGCAATTTTTATCTTCATATAGATTAGAAAAAACTTTTTAAGTCTATTACCTAATAATATAGACCATTTGAGATATATAATTCTTGAATTTTTCTGTCTGTCGTTTAGAACCTAATATGGCATGAGTAGGACAATGCGAATTTTTTTTTTATTTTATTTGTCAAATTGAATTCGTAGAAATGAAATTTGATATGAATCAAATTTCTTTCCTCTTGGTAAGGCCAAATTAGAAATCTTTGTCGTGAAAGTGTACCCCGAAGGTATTTTATAGGCCTAAAGATACGGGGAGGGACGCATTGTGCTGAAGAATAATTACAAGCAACGAGTGTGGTCAGGGGCGGTCTGGCCCGGGTGGCAAAAGGGCGATCGCCACCCGGGCCCTGTGTACAAAAAAATTTACGGGCCTTTCCGCGTTGGAGAAAACTTTTTAACTTAATGTCAAATACTTAATGCCCTAGACTGATTATATTGCGATTAAAGTCCCAATACATGCGCTTCAAACCACCCTAACCCTGGTTTCCGTTATTTCAGCCATGTGTTCAATCTTACGTGTACCCTGGGTCCCAGAGCCACAAAATTTCGAGCGCGTAAACAGAATGCCAAGCAAGCGTACTCTTATCTTCTTTTTCCGCTCTCTAATTTATGTGGCTCTGATGCCCAGGGTATCTGACTGTCAGAGACAAGGCTGTGGGAACGAAATTCATTTTGGGGGGGGGGGGCGGCTGCTCATTGTATTTATTTCCACTTAGTACACTGTTATACAGGACATAAGGCTTAGGCTGCAATTATCGGGAAGGGGCTTCAGTAAATGAAAATAACGTAAAACTCAAAACAGGACATTCCGAAGAGAGATGACAAGGGGTCGTCACTATCATCTAGTTACAGAGATCTGGATTTAACAATGCCAAGAGATTTGTTGACACAAAGATGAAGCAAAAGGGCAATAAAAGCCCTTTTTCAAGATTTCAAGTTCATAGAATGTCAGAATTGCTGGAATTTGCAAATTGCTACCAGCAGCTTATCGATAAAGTGAAAACAACAACTGGTGGAAATAGAGATCCTAAAAACAGATGATCTCAAGGAACGAGCTCTTAGAGAAGAAACATATGGAGAAGAAAACTGTGACTTTCAAGGTGGGGATTCACAAAGAGAGAAAGGACCCCAAAGTCGACATCGACACCCTTTATCAAAAGGGTAAAAGCTTGCCAACTGTGCATACCCTGCGTATTCAAAACTTTGTACCGATGCTCATTTTTATTTTTTTTGATATATTTATATCTTTTATCATATATAACATTTTTATAAGAATATGAGCATCAAAACTGGTCAAAAGTTGAGATCAAATTAATAACAAGCTAATGCTGAGTTACTGTTTAATGCATTTTTTGAACAACATTTTATCCTAAAACAAATATTTTTAGCCATGTGTGGTTGCTTTTCGGTCTATATTCAATCTTGTCGTGAAATGAAGGCTGTCTTACTCACTTTGTTGGCAAATAATGCCTGAACACCTCCCAAGAGCGAAAAAGCTAGCAATAGCACTGCTCACACCCTCTTGATTTAAGAACAAACTAAGAACAAACAAATAAATTAGATGGAATTATTTTTGTACATTTTATCATAAAGCAATAATAAAGTTGCTTTTGAAAATTTTAATAGTTTCTCTCCAAAGGCAACTCTTTCATGAATTGCAAATGATAGTTCACAAAAGGCAACCATTAGCTGCCAATTCTTTTGTTGATTAAACACAAAAATTATATTGACTCAAAAAGCTTTTATGAATAGAAGTAGACCATGCCATCTCTGAGGGTCTACTTTTGTCAGGTATCAGAATAAACCTACATATCATTTCATAATACATATCAAAATAAAAAAAACGTCCAAAAAATACATGATCATTTGAAAGGGAAAATGGGTCAAAAGAAGTGCTGATCGTTTTTAAATTAGAAAGTGGAATAAATTGTAGCCCTAAGTAAGATATTTCAAAATACAAGCATATGAACAATTGAAATATTTGCTTAGATCGCAAGAAAGATCACATAAATTCATTCTACTACATGGTTTACATAAGTTAACATTACAATGTCATTTCTTACACTGTCTCTCAATGGCAAGAGAATCATTCACCTCCTTTTGGGTGTTTCATCATATCATTTCAGGAAATTAATCTGAAGGCAGAACCACCAGGGAGAGTGTTGGTACCAGAATCAAATTATTTGGACCTAACTAAGCATTCATAAATGAGAAATTGCTACAAGCTTTTTAATTAAAATCAAACAACGTCTCTCAGAAACCCCCTCCAGCCATCAACCCAAATTTTCTGTTGCTGTTGTTGTTGCTTCGTTTGTTGATGAAATTTAACCAAAGCAAAGGGTAATATGTAAAAAATTTCAGAACGACTGTAATAAGCAGGCTGTACAAATAAATTTGCCTTGAATACCTCGCCGCAGCTACCCTCTCATTGACTGAAGGCTACACAACTACGCCTTTCTTTGAAAGAAAAGAGGCTGCAAACTTGTCAGTTCAGTGCAATAAAGTTGACAACCCTTTCAAGTCTTGCTAGTTCTGTATGTTTTAACTCAGCTGGCCCTCGGAACTCCTCTGCCTTTATTAGTTCTTCCACTCTTTGCAAAAGCTCCACTTTAAGGTGTTTACAGGAGAAACAACACGATTTTCATCATAAATTTTCCACATATCATCCAATGCAAAATGCCGGGTTTGCACTGGGCTCCTTGGGGGTAGTGGGCAGCAAGATAAACTTACACAACATACGTCTCACCGATGCCGCACAATCGAACAATTTGATTGGTGGGATGATGCCTTTGCGAACTTTAAAAAAACCATCAGTCTCATGGATACCCCGAATCTGACTACATTGGATCCCTGCGATTTCCCCGATATCATTTTTATGGATACTTGACTTTCATATGATTACGTATACTGACTGAGACACTGAGACCAGGCCAACTACAGTAACGATACTTTGCACTAAACAAATGGTTATTTTTTGCACACATCTGAAAATTTGACTGTCTTACGTGCGAACGGTGAGACAGTATGGATCCGCCCCTGCCTAGCAGCATACCCTTCCCTCTACAAAGCGTATAAATGCTTGATGACACTTAGCTGCACCCAAGTTTCCTGTGAAAGATTATTCAGCGCTACTGATAAATTCAAAAGAAGAGAAAACTTTCCAATTGATTACGAGCCAGTCATTGGCCAATTTGCTGATTCATTTGCACTTCTTCGAAAAGAGTTAAAACTTCGATAATTTAAATAAGTTTTGATCTTGATTCTTAAGGAGGCAGTTCAGGGTAAAAATGCTGAATAACTGAAAATATGGACCAAATTCAAAAATTGTTTTTTTGCATTCTGTGATGCATATTCTATGCCCCTGAGGTTGTTTAGCTGGTATTTGAAGCTTTACTTTTGAGAATTTTCGATTTGTTGTGAGACCACTTACAAATTTAAACCTTAGCAACGAGTATTTTTTGGTTGCTATGGTGAGTTTTTAACAGAAAAATGCCAAATACAGCAGATATTTAAACCGACAGAAGTCCCAGGTGTTTGTCCATTGTCCATTCCGTCTTTTCCAGCCTCTTTACCATTCAAAATTGCATTCACTTCAACTCAGTTTCTTCAATCTTGAAGCACCTCGTGAAATGCTTTCAGTTCCCAAACCAAAATGTCGCCTGCTAAAAAGTTTCGATCTATTCGAAGGAAAGTACGTAAGGGATTCAAAGGTATAAAGATCCAAGATATTCGTAAGGCAGAACAAATTCCATCAGCGAATGCTAGTCCAGTGCAGGCTACAAGTCCTCCTCTTACAAGTAGTGCACAAGGGCCTAGTGAGTCAGGAAGTGTGGCAGACCAAAGTTTCGACCTTGACTCATCCTTCGAGGTTATCGATGAAAGCAGTTATGAGACTAGAAACAGGTCTTTACAGCTCGGTAAAAGATATGAACAAATTCATCCTGCGTGTGGTTTCAAAATTATTGACTTTGATCTGCTAAAACAGAGTCTAGAAGCAGCATTTATTTGCACACTTTGTAAAACCGACAAAACGGGAATTGATATCATGGTAGATGAAAAGAAGAGAAAAGGACTTGAAGAAAGCTTGTATTTTGTGTGTAAAAATTGTGGAAATGAAACTCTACTGCAAACAAGCAAAGCATTAACTGGCAGGAAAGTTTCAGAGGTCAATGCCCGCTCTGTCATAGCTTCATCTTCGATGGGTCATGCCAGATTGTCAGATTTTTGTGGCACCATGGGACTACCACCTCCTCTTGCAAAGTCCAGTTATCAGCAACAGCTGAAAAATGTATGCAAACATATTGTACAAGCGACTGAAGGAGTATTATTTGAAGCTTCAGAGAAGCTGATACAGATTACAGAGAAAGAGGAACCTTTTCAAATACAGTTTGATGATAGTGGTAGGAAAATTGCAAATGTTGGTGTCACAGTTGATGGCACATGGCAAAAACGAGGACATTCTTCCCGGATTGGAGTTGTTTTTGTGATGTCAGTTAGAACTAGTGCTGTTCTTGATTATGTTATCAAATCAAAAACATGCCATGAATGTCGATGTCATGAAAAGGATGACAAGGAGACAGATCAATATAAATCTTGGCATGAGAATCACAAGTCCCGTTGTGAAATAAAC